TTATTATTATTATTATTATTATTATTATTATTATTATTATTATTATTTTTATTATTACTACTACTACTACTTATAATCTTTACTATTTGAAAAATTACCTATTTTGGTTTATTTTTTTTAATTATCAGATTGTTTTTTTAATTTTTCGTTCTTAATTAAAAATTCAATATCCCTCTCTAATTCTAAATCAATTATTTTCTAAGTATTTAACTCTCGTTTTTTATTGATCGACTTCGTAATTACTTTTTCTTACCATATTACAGTACCACCAGTATGAGATATTGTCTAATTCTTTTCTTATGAATTTATAATTTTTAATAAATGATTATTTTATTTTTTTACCTTCTTTTAACTTTTGAGATTTTCCTAACTGTTATTCGAGCATAAAAGATTTTATTTCATTTATGTTATGATCTTCTATGCTTTATCATAAATATCCTAGGTATCAGATGTGTGAGCTGTAATCTTCTTCTCAGATTCAATAGTTTTTTGTTATAGTTTGGCCTGATTCTATTAGACTTAACAAAATTTTCCTTTGACATGAACTCTTATACCCCCTGAACTAGGAGCAATCTTTTTGTAATATTAAGCATAAGATAGTCTTGTTTCTAAGCGTCTATAAATAATAAATAAGTCTTTGATACCTTACAAGATAACTGGAAATGCTAGTAAAACTGGAAAATGGCTCCCAAGTCATTTAGGATTTAGCCCATCCCAACCATTTCACTGCATACAGTATTTACTTTTTGAACATTTTCTTACCATAAACAAATTCAACATCATAAATGTCTAAGGGTTTACACTAAATATATACTGCTATCATCACTATCGAATTCCCTTCTTTTACGATCGCTCATAATATTTTAAATAGTAATCCAAAATAAATGCAGGAATATTAAAAACACAATTTGATCATAAAAGTTGATAGTAATTGCCAAATATAATAGTATTTTTTAGTGTGCCTTTATAGTGAAGTCTTTGTTATAGATATAGACCCAATTGAGGCAATTCAAGATCTAAATGTAATTCATTAATCAGTTTAAACCTTTTGATAAAAGTAACATTTACACAAGGATAAATGGTTGTTGTGTAAGATTTTTTGTGTGTTAAGTGATCTAGGTGTAAAATTGAGGGGTTTTGGTTATAAATTAATAATAAATTTTAATTTAACAGATGTCTACCATGTTATTAATCGAAACGATCAGGAGGCAAGAAAAGAAGATAGATGATTTGAGATCTCAAATAAAACGAAGCGAGAGTGTTCGAAAGAGCAATAGAACGACGCGTAGTGTGAAAAGTGAATATTTACAATGCAAGAGTTCTAATAAGACAGTTGTAAAGCCCGCCCAAAAGATGAAGGAGAAAGATCAAACCATTAATATTCTGACTGAGAGACTGAATCGAGCATTTGAAGTGGAGAATGAAGTATTATATGTAACAAAATGCAAAGATGAAACATAAACTCCAAAAGCAAAAAGTCTTGTTTAAGTGTCTCTATAATGAATTATAATGCGAGGTGTAAAATTTGAAATGTGAGATCCAACGGTTGGCCACGCCCTAAAAATATAAAAAAGCTCTTTACTTTTGATTTATATTATGAATAATAAATCATTAATCTAAGTTTAAGTCAATGATTATGTGGAGACCCCATAAAACAAATCGCACAGAAAGTTGATATCAAAAAAAATCTAACCTTACATGAAGGCTTATGGTTTGAAGCCAGAGTTCTTCGAAGTCAAAGGTAAGTAAGTAGTATTTAAAATAAATAACTCTACCAATCTTAGCAACCTCAATAAAACAATGTTTTCTTCAATGCCTTCTACGAAACGACTGACCTAAAAGAAGGCTCCTTCTTAAAAGATTGAATCTGTCAAAAGGGCAGTTGTTTCCTTGTCAGATTTTCAGCTTTTGCCTCTTACGACTAAATATGCTAACTTATTCTAAGAGATTTAAAATAGTTAGGTTTCTTTAATTCAAAGTTAGTGCCATGATTCAGCATCTGCAATATTCAGATAAAGCCAAGATAATTTTCAAGATAGAAGCCAACATTAAAGACTTGATTCTCTTAAACAAAGCATTGTCGAACTTGAAAAGTAAGATATCATTTTGATAAAGGATTAAATAAGTGAAGATTGACGAATTGTAGAATTTGTAAGAGAGAATTGAATCAGTTAAAAAGATAGAACAGATTAATAATTCTTAGATAATAATACAAGGCAACAAAAATCTAAATAAAAGGCAAGTTCGATTTAAGGCAGCGACAACTATTCAAGCCTAAGTAAAAAGTTGGATAGCACAAAAGAAATTTAATGAATGGAGGAAGAAGAAACTAGAAAAATTCAGAAGGATCATTATAATCTAGAAATGGTGGCAAAAATAATTAAAACTTATAAAAAAAAAGGATAAATTTGAAATAGGACACAATGATAAAAGATTGAAGGATATAGATGATCATCAGTTCATAATACTATCAAACTATTCATACAAATTGAAAAGGATTAGGATTTTATTAGTTGAAAGAAAAGGTAAGCACAAATAAGATTTTAGATTATATTTAAATATTAGTAATTGTTAATCGATATTAAATGAAGAAATAACTAAGGATTCTTATGAATTCAATATTTTAATAGACTTGATTACCAATTAGATAATCAATATTATACATGTTGAAAATAATCAACTCAAAATTGATTTGGAATCAAAGAATTTTATATATATTAATAGATTACTTTTATAAATTGAAATCTAAATAACTTAGATTATAGGAAATAAATACCATATTTTAATATTAAGGTAAGAATTACCTGTTCTCGAAAATTAAGAATAATAGATTTAATAAAGTTAATAATTAGAAAATAATGAATCAATAGAAAATGAGAATACAAAAAATTAAGTATTTCATGAGGAAATACCAAAATCATAATTTAATAGTTAAGATTCAAATGATATTCAACTTTAAATATTTATAGAAGAGAATAATTAACCATAATCAGATGAGATGTAAGAATAATAATTAGAAGAGAAGTAAGAATAATAATCAGAAGAAAATCATTAACCATAATTAGAAGAGAAGTAGGAAATATATATAGACCAGTAGAATGAACATTAATAAGATGAGCATCGCAAAACATATTCAGAAGAGAAACATGAATTATAAACAGACCAAAATTAAGTACCATAATCGAATGAGAAGCATCAATCGGACTCAGAAGAGAAGCATGAATAGTATTCAGAAGTGAATCAAGAGAACGGAAATTAGTAAATCAATCAAAACGAAAATGAGTAAAGCAAACAAGATTAATATATTGAATAAGAGGTAGAATATTATAAAATTAAACTAATACCTACTGATACTGATCACAACAAAAATGAATAGTTCTATACTAATCAAGTTGTGGAAGAGGATAAGAACAAATCAAATTTTGAAGATGAAAAATAAAACTTAATTGATTAAGCTGCTCTCATTAGGAATAAAGAAGAGAAACCAAATCAAAACGATTCAAATTAATGGAATTCAATAATTGATGATTACCCTAAGTAAGATTTAAAATAAGACATACAAGAGTATTAAAGTCAAACTAGTAATAATGAATAAATTGATGTTGAGTAAGTGTAATTTGAGGATAAAAACTAAGAAATCTAATAATTAAATATTTAAGAATCTATAGTCCCTGAAGGACAACAAGATTATGAGTTCAATGTTCATATCTAAGGTTCTATCGAATAAGAAGCATATAAAGTTAATAATTAAAAAGAAGAGGATATAGAATTACATTTAATAGTATAAAAGATAGAGGAAACTCAAAATTAAACTAATATAGGTTTGAGTTTAGAGATATAAAAGAATGAAGAGAATAATATAGACTATGCATAGAAAGAATCAATAAAAAATGATGATCAAAACAATTAAAATAATTAAGTATCGAATTTAGAATCTATCCAAGTAAATTAGCCAGTTGAGCTCTAAGACCCTAAAGTTGAAGTTTAACTTAATAGAAGTAGAGATTCCAATTAATTTGAAACTTTAATTTAAACTTAATAGGTTATTAACTAACCGGAGAATTCAAAAATAAACGACTTTATTGAAAATAAAGATAATAATGATTTGGAAAATAAATCAATGACTGAATCTGTGGAATTAAAACAATAAAATGATAATATTTAAGTCTCATAAGCAGAAGATCATGAACAAGTTGATGTTTAAGAGAGATAAGAATTCGATCAATCCGAAATAAGGAATCAAGAGAATTAAACAATAAAGTTTTAATTTAGCACAGGATTTTTAAATTCTTAGGGTGAGTATTTAACATCCTAATAATTTAATATTTCATTTTAAGAATAAGATTCTTTAGAATATTCTGCTGACAATTCTAGAGAATTTTAACCAGTTTATGTAACAACCTTAGTTGTAGAAAACATAGAAATTGATGTTTATTAGTCAAACTTAAGGTTGACATTCAAGGACAAGAATAAAGAATTTGCTGAATGTATTTTCAACATGCCAAAAAAATTCCAATCTTCTTTAGATTTTACTAAAAATAATTTATATGTGTATATAATGGAAGGTCACATAAGATGTTTGGAAGTTGATTAGGGCATGAAGATTTAAAGGTTTGTTCGTAAAATGAGATTTATAAAATCAGTCTTATTTTAATTGAACTAAGACTTATTCTTGATAAGTCTTCATAGATCAAGTAAGCATCTTTATTAAATTAGGTTACGCGATGTAAATTTTCATTTTCAAAAATGGTAGACTACAAGAAGAAGTAACATTGAGAAAGCTAAGCAAATAATGTAAATTAGGTTTAAAAAAATACTTTTTGTCCATAGGCCCTTAGCTGATATTCTCTTAAGGCTATCTTGAAGATACTGTATTAAGTATATTAGAGAATCTAGGTTGCAAAAATTGATTAATGTTGATATAAATATTAATATATGGTTTTTATGATAGTACTATTATTAATGGTATACACAACATCAGGTTGTACTAAATTTCAAAAAGACTCGGTTCAAATCTACTCCTCTCAGAATGAATAAGTAAAGTTGAATTATGAGGATGTGTTTATGAGCAGAGATTTTAGCAATATTTAAATAATTGACCAATCACAAACTCTTAGTTACATTGATCCAATTAAACTATTGGAATAAGTCGATTATGATTCCACTTAAATTTTAGCAGTTGATGTTTTATTATAAGATCTTAGTTATGAATGGAAGAACAAATTCGCAGCTTTGGTAAAAAATAATAATAAACTCAAAATCTCAATAAGTAACCAGAGTAATACAGGTTAGAAGAGTAGAATCCCTTAATTTGATAAATTCAGCACTGATATAGATGCAGATCTTTGTTTTGACTTAGCATTTCTATCTGATTCAATTGTTGTAGCTGATTGTATATATGTAGAAGAAAATGGAGGAATTTAAAATGTTATGTTTTTTTGGGATGATGAAACTCAAACTTTTATGAAAAGTGACAATGATAATTTACTTGGCTATACTTCTGCAACCAAAAGGAAATTATTAGCTGCTAATAAGTAGTTATTTCGAGCTTCTCTTTATGATAAGAATCAATAGTAATTTAATTCAGTCCTTGAAGTATTTAATCAGTAAGGTATGTTGGAGTATTATCTTGATTCAACTGCTCTCAAGTACTTAACCTCTACTACTCAAAATTTATAGATTCTGGATTTTCGAATAAGCGGAGTAGGTTAAATAGCTATTTTAAATTACGATGGATGTGTTTTAGTGTTGAATTATTAAAAACGTGAAACTTAATGGAAACTATTACATGAATTCTAACATGGAGAAAACGTAAAATCATTTGATTTTAACTTCAAAGTTGGAACTTATGTTATTAACTTTGGAGATAAGATTCTATTTTAGGCTCTCACGGATTCATTTTCATAAATCTTAGAAACTTCAATTGACTAAATTTATATTACATAATCTTTAATATTCACATTATCAGAAAATAAAATAATAAGAACATTTGATTAGTAATTAAGAAGTATCTCTTAAAAGGAAGTACCAAATATAAATTTCCTATTAAACGATTACACATAAGATGATATCATAGCTATTAAATAATTCAATATTGGAAGGTATCTGCTACTAAAGTAACACTCGATAATCCATAAGTCAAATATTATTTATGAAGATACACATGTATCTTAAATTATATAAAATCTGCCTAACAATGAAAAATGCACATTTTAAATACATCATTCAACAGTTTCAACAGATACTGAGCGAATATTTGTATCAGAAACAAATCAAAGTTTATTCTCTGGAGCCATACCAACGTATCCAAAAGATGCTCAAATCCATTTAAATGTCCAAACAATCTATGGATAGAATATCAAAATAAAGGCTTTAAATATCTCCAATAATTTAGTAAATCTCCATATAGGTTTCAAAAAGTTTGATAATTCAAACATTTAGATTCAACCAAGCAATAGTACTTTGACCTTTTTCTCAGTTGCATAAATTGAATAAGAATATTTGATAGCTAAATAATTTAATAATGATTGGGTTCAATTGACTTATTGCTCTATTGCAAATTCAACTTGTTAGATTTTTTAGGTTACTATGAAGTTGGACTATTTAAGGCAGAATAATTCATGTACTTGGTTTTCATCTAATACTATGTTCATAGCGTATCCATAACCAGATCCTTATACTCTTTTTGTATTCACAATGTAAAATAGAAAAATATTCACTCATACCATCACAACTAAAAGTTATGGTGATAAGGTTTAAAAAAGCAAAGAAGTTCTACTTCTATTATCAATAGCTAATTCTACGATCCAAGCCTACTATTCTTCCTATATTGATTTAATGAGTCTTTTTGAGATTAATTCCTAAACCATCCAGGCTTTGGGATTGAAACAATGGGCTCCTTCAGGAATTCATGCTAATCCATACAGTACTAAAGTATTTGTTAAGAATAAGGATGACACCGAGGTGATCATTTTAAGTTGCTCCTTGATTGGATTTTCAATAATTGACATCCTAACATTTGAGGATAAAGTCTAGGACATCCTAATATTTGAAAAGTATTTTGCAATTATGATTGGCAATTAATATTTAATATATGATATGGTTCAATAAGAGGACATTCACTTTGTCAGATATTTGCCTTCTTTTGGTTATAAAATGGATATGGCAAAATAATATACATATGATGGATGGATTTACATAATCTCTGATAATAAACTCTTGGTTTATAATGTGAACAAATTGAATATTAATTCATTTTGGCATAGAATTGATTATTATGAAGAAAGATTTCTGACAGCTTTTGATAATAAAATTTTTATAAAAGAGGATACAATTATTGAATTTTATCATGAATTGCAAATATAATCTACTTGTGAAATGAAAAATTAACTTTTCATTGAACAAATTAATATGACAACATTTATAGGAAATTAGAATTAGAATATTATTCTTTCTTCAGTTGAAACTATCAGGAATTTTCAAACTTAAATTCAATTAAATTAGGATGATTTGAATTCAACTCAATAATTAAGTTAGAAATATTAGGACTTTTGTGAAACAATTTCAGATGATTGGATCAAAAACTCAGTAGTAACAAACATAGAATTGAGTTGTAGAGATTGTAATAATTAAATTTAATTACAACAATATCTAAACTTAAAAGAAATCAATTATTTTGAAGCTGGAGTGGACATCAAAGAATTAGATCAAAATTCATTGATTATTCTCTATCCAAATTAATTTACTATTATCCAAAAATCAAACAAATAAATCATTTAAGAAACCCAATTTGATTATAAATGCATTCAAATATTATATTCATCATCGTCGAAGATCCTCTTAAGATGTAACATTTAAGATTCCTTGTATATAATTTAATGGAGGTCTATTGATGATACTTTTAAAGTTGATAAAGAGAATTTAATAATAAATTCGAAGTTAATCGATATAGCATTGTTTGGGTAAGATGTGTTTTTGATTGAGAAGTATTTAATTACCTATTATTAATGTAATGAAGATTTTAGACTAAATTAATGCAAATTAATTACAAATGTGTAGTTACCAGGATATTATATGAACATCATATAGAATACGTCCTATTATTACATATATTATTACGACTACCAATTAAATATATTACCATTTGATCCTAAACCAAGTGGATTATAAATTGATTAAGAGAAGTATACTATTGATATTAATAAAAATATCAAGAATCATGGATTCTAAAACGTAGATGAAGAATGGTTGAATTTGCACATAATTAGCTCTGAAATAATTAATTAGACTATAAAGTAGGAGCTGTTGTTTATATCTTAAACATATTTACATTTTTAAATATCTGTCGAATTATCACCAAAAAAGGGTCAGTCAAAAGAGAAATTACTTGTATTCCAGAATTATGCAGATTGGGTTGCAATAAAATCAACCAGCTATTAGAATAAAGTGATCATTTAGTATCAAAAGGACGAATAAAGCATCCTCACACTATATAAATAAAACTAATACGAGGTTATAAATCCAATTGGAGGAATAGAAATTGCAGCTGATTCAGATTCTAATTTCGATATAATAAGTGAATTAAATTAAGTAAGTAAATTCAATTATGTTTTAGCCATTTCTCTATAGTACAAATTAAAGAAAACAAAGATATTATAACAAATATAGTCTTAATGATAATTTGGAATTATGTGTAAAGGGAAAAATAGAAAATCAGTAATTGCAATTTAATGTATCTAATGGATTCAATTCAACAATTGCTTCTGTATAATTACTTGTTGTCTACAATTACTTTACATTCTGGTAAATATGGGTACTAATAATTGTGATATTAATCTGCTTTGGAATTGGATATTACTGTTGGAGGAAAAGATAGAATGAAAAATAAAGGAAGCTTTATTTATTAGAATGAAGAAATCTATTTAATTTATTAAAATATGTAAAAAGAAATAGAAATAACTATTATATAATTAAATATTTCATTTAACATTTGATAAGTATCCAAAATTGCTAGACATTACAATATTTCTTGATTGATCATCCCAACCTTTCATATTTAAACTTTTCTCCAATTCTTATTGTAATTTATCGTATTTTACTTTCCATTCATCAACCTATTTCACCTAATAATTATTGCAAATATAATACTTTTAGTTAATTGAGTCTAGTGTTCTCATTAGCAAGTAATGCACACTTATTCTCTAATTCCACTATTCTTCTGTTTTTATCATCTAAAACTGAAGATGTCTCTAATCTACTAGTGTCTTCTTTAACAACCTCTTTCATAAATGACACTTCTCTTTGATAGGAAGTTAGTTCATTTTTCAATTTAGCAATCTCTTGATCTTGGCTTTTGATTGTCTAAACTAAAATCTAGATTTCCTCAAACATATTATTGTTTTTGATCTCTAAACTTCTATAATCAGAATTATTTCGAAATGAATTTTATTAATTTTCTAATTATCTTATTTTTTGTAATAATTATTCTTCTCTTTATTATGCTTTAACTAAATTGTTTTCTAATGCCATTACTTTCACATTTAAGGAATCTGCTAAAGATTAATTTTTTGATTAGTTCAACTCTCTCAATAATTACTCTTCTTTATTTGAAAACTATTACAATTAATCTTCCAAATCCCGAATATATGTTTCAAATTTAGTCAATTTCTATTAAAGAGATTAATTAGTAGATTTTAACTAATTGATTTACTCGTTTTTTAATCTAATATCTTATTTCAATCCATTTATCTCATTATTTAATTATTATTAAACTTGTTCAATCTATTTTCTACTATCTAAGGACATCCTTTCATATTTTTCCACACTCAATCTTTCAGTCTTAATCTTAACATCATCAACTGACGATTGCAATTGTCTACGTAGATCTTCATTCTATTTCTCCCATTACTAACTTAACTAAATTATTTTTTTATATTAAATACTTGCTTTTCCTTCTTATAATTATCAATCATTATCTCTAAATCCTCAGTTACTTCTTTGATTCTCTCATTAGCCTATCTTAATTTGTCATCGTATCTTTCTTATTAATTCAGAATTTCTTCTTTCAACTATCTATTTTTCACCTCTAATTGACTCAAATAAGCTGCTTTATCATTTAATTACAAAGAGAATCGCTGATTTTCTTTCTATAACTTTTATTCTGTTTTTTCTAATTCAACATGATATTTAGATTTAATTTCTTATAATTCATATTGAACCTTTTCTAACTATTAATTGAGAGATTGCTTATCATTTTTAAGTTCCTTAATTTCAATCTCATATTTACGTTGATTTCCTTTAAGCTTCTCCTCTAACTCTAGAATAAACCTATTTTATCTATCCATTTCTAGGGATCCATTATTTTATTTCGTAATTTAATCCTCCAAAGTTGTGATACGACTCTACTACTTCTTAATGATTTGATTGGCTTACAATAATTCCTACTTAAGACTTTCGCTTTATTTAACTGAGTTTCTGAATTCAATATCATACTCAGAAGTCCTCAATTGTTTTGTTCGTTTATTCTACTCAGACAACTAATCAATCTCCTTATAAAGTAGAGATTTCTCCTCTTCAATCTATTGATTCAATTATTCCAACTATTATTATAATTTTTTATTGTTCTATTCTAAAATCATGATTTATTTGTTTTTCAATTCAATTTCACTATTATTCGAATATTTTCCTAGTTTCTCCTCTTCCAATTATTGCTACAATTACCTAATTCTTTCCTCCATTTCACTTGCTATTTTATATTGATTTGATCTGTTTTATCGAGATTGCTATGAAAATTTGTCATCTTACTCATTTTGTAACTGTTTTCTTACTGAAATCAATTCTTATTAAATTTAAGACTTTTATTAATTCAAAATATTGACTTAATTGTTTAAACTAATAATCTTGTTATTTAATTCTTCAATTTACCTACTATTGCTAGAAGTGGACTATCTTGGTTATTGATCACTGAATCTTGGTTTGTTTTCATAGATATTCTGAGAGAATTTAATTTACATCTCAGAGATCTAAGCTTACAATCCAGTTATCTAACTTAGATATCCTGAATTCATATGAGTTAATTAGGTGTTTTAATCAGATAGATCTTTAAGTCTCTCATTCAAAGATATTATTTCCTCTGAATGTTAACTCAATTATTCATCCAAAGTCTACTTAATAACTATCAAATCTTTAATTTGTAATTGATCTGTATTCTTTTAATTATTTAATTATGTTATTTAAGTTAATAATTGTTAATTGATTTCACTTAACCTATAGATCTATTTATCTTAGTCCTTGTAAAAATTGGAGTTGTCCTTTTACACCAATAATAACTACGATTATAGTTGATTGTTGATGATATTTAACTTTTCAACCTATGCTATGTAATCGTCAATTAGAATTTCTTATTGTTATTACTTTTTCTAATACACCTCAACTTAGCTAATTAGTTTCACATTTTCCTATTCAATCCTTTTAAATGAAAGGTCATGTTCTAATTGAATTCTCGAGTATTATTCCTTGTATCTATTTTCTAATTGCCTTTGCTTTTCATCGAAATCTTATATCTCTTTATTTAACTATTTGTTGTTCAACTGAAGCACTTACAATTAACTAATCAATTTGACATTTTCTTCTTAAGCTATTTGTAATTCAATTAATATTTTCTCTGATGACATGCCTGATGTGTTACTCATGAACTAAGTCTTAATAGTATTGGTTGTTATCTAAATGTTTTGGTTTTATTAGTGTGTCTAGTTTTCTATCTACTCCTTGTCTGATCTGGCTGTTAAGATTCTGTTGAGATTTGATTGTAACTGATTGTTATCTTCCTGCAACCTCTATATTAGGTCTTGCCATTCACGTTTGGATTATTGGAACTAAAACAATTAATTTTGCAATTGGTTATTCAAACTTGTATGATAATGATAATAATTTACTCTTGTTATTGTAGTTTATCTTCACGCAATTGTTTTTGCAACTAATCTACTTGACTCTGCCATTTCTGAACATTTGTATTAGATTCCTTGTATGCACTCAATTGTTGATTTAAGTGGTCAATCTATATTTTAAGATTTTAATTTTCTTGATTTGTTATTGAAATAATCTAAGCATTTTCATTCATATCATTCAGATATTGTTACTTTTATTGTGCAAGACTATTTTATAAAAACTTAACCTATTCCTAACTGTTCTCAAACTTGAAAATGGTATCTTAATATTATTCATTAAGAATCTATAATTGATTGTTTAGCTCCTATTGATTTAAATTACTTAATTATTACTACCTTTCTAGTTTGTTTGTTAACTCTTGTATTTGCTGTTAAAATTGCGATTATAATTAGTCACTATTTTAACTGCTTTAAGTCTTAGTCTACTCAATTTAAATTGTTTTTTATTCAAATTTCACCAGTTTCTCCCTAACTTAGAGTATCTCTGAGTTCAATTTGGTAATTTTATTCTCATAAAGTTATTAGTTAACTTGTGATTATTGCAACTGGGATTTTAGTTCTTAGATCTCTAACTCCAATTTCAATTTCTATTAGGATAATTCATTATTGTTTTTCTTTATCTCCTAATACTCCTATTAGAGCATCTACTAGATTTATTCTTGTTGATAAGTAATCTATTTCACTTCAGATTGCTTTTGCCTGACAATCGATTATTCAGATTTTAGATTATTTTACAATCGATCAACGATGCTTTTCAATTCAAAGATCTAATTTTCTTTTTGATTTTCTGAATCATTCAATTATTGAATTTATTCTTTCTACTTTTTGATTTCATTCTAAAGTTCATTTATTCTGGATGAGAAAGTAGTAAATTATTATTCTTACTCAATTAATTTTTATTACAAGTCTTGCTTTTCAGATTTTAAACTTTGCATGTTGGACTCATAAGTTTTCATACTCATTGTATTTAGTCGATCAGTATTGGAAGAATCTAGAAAATAGTAAGTGAAATACAAATACCATTTTATTGTGATTTATTTTTGAGTTAGGACTGTTCAAGTTACAATTACTCAATTTTGGCATTGGCTTAAGATAATTCAAATCTTAATTGACTTGAGGCTTATTATTCATTTGATAAGTTTAATTTAACTTACTTTAATTCTTACTACAAGACCATAATGGATTAATTTAGTAGATTTCTTTGCTATAATTCCTCTTATGATTGTCTCAATATCTATTTAGTTTCACTTATTTGAGGATTCACAATTGAAATAATTTGTTGATTTGATTGTTACTTGAATGAGACATCAGTTACTTTTTATACATAAGAAATGATTTCCTTTTGAGACTCTTCAATAGTTTGACTTTTCTTCCCACTCATCCTATGAGTTGAACTTCTTATACTTTTGGTAAAACACTATTGAACTGGTTTTGGTTATACGCCAGTTTGATTTTCAATTTGTCTCTTCTCTACTTAAGATTTAAGTTCTGAAATTAAGGACGCTTATTATTGTATCATATCCAATGAATTTTGTCTAATTTTCAATTGTTCTTCCAATTCCAGGATCTAATCTTTACAATTCTGAAGTTCTTCCTTTAATTAAACAATAAACTTATCTTTTTCATTCATAATCAATTCCAAGTTCTCTGCCTTTTCAATAGCCTCAGCCTGATCGTTTTGGTTGTTTTCAATAATATCAACCTTTGATATCAATTGCTCTAATTGTTCTTGCAATAAGATTATTTGATTATCCTTTTCCATGATTGTCCTATTCGCTTACATTCTGATACTTGTGATTTCATTGTTCTTCTTCACTAATTGATCATTTAATGCAGTAATCTGCACACTAAAGTCAATTACTGAAGCATCTTATCTTAGATTGACCTTGTTTTCTCTCAAAAAATCAATTTCCTTTTGCAGTTATATCACCTATTATTCGTAATGTTCTTGCAATTACTACATTTCTACATTCTTGGCATTTTCCTTAATATTGCTATTCCTCAAACTATTCTCCTGCAATGATTAGTATTATCTATTGAGCAAATCAAATTCTTGCTTCAACTTATCATATTCGAAGATGAGTTATTCCTTATACTTGTTCTGTTGTTGAGCTGCAAATAGTTATTATGCCATAGTTTCCACTTGTTATGACTGATCCTTGTATCTGTCTGCCCAACTCTACAATTCAACATCGTGAGACTATAACAATTCTTGGAATCTCTCTGACTCATCCTTATTCTGAGTTTTCAACATATTGACTCTTGTGTTCAATATACTAACATCATTATTGAGATCTTTGACTTATTATTTCAATTTAATATTCTCCTATGATAATTACCATTCCTAATTTGATAGTTACTTTTGCAATTATTAGATTCTATTCTTTAGTTCTATTTCTATTTACTTAGATTTGGATATCTCCAAATCCTTCTCCTTTAATTGGAAGTCATCAATCAACCTTAAATCTTCATTCTACTCATTGATCCTTCTTAATTCCAGAGTGGCTTGTTTGAATAGTGCATCCAATCTCTCTACTTCTTTATTTAATTTAATGATTTCTGAATTCTTCAAAGAAATTTCATTTCTGATTTCCATATCCTTCATCTTCTGTTAATTTGTGATCTGCAAAATCTCCTTTCTTAAGCCATCCTTAGCCACTTTCTCCAAACTCAGTTCCTTCTCTACTGCTTCCTTATTACCAGCTAAACTTTACATTTATTGTTGCAGTTCAAATACCTTCGCATCATACTCAATCTGTTTCTCCTTTATGAATGCGAACAACTCTATTTAATAATAACTTATAATCATTACCTTCCTTACTACTTTGCAATCCATTTATCTACAAGTAAGCCTACTCTGATTTCGTCTACCCATGGTAATGCAATTCTCTCACCTTCTAATCGAAATCTCTCAATTAGGCCTAAGCAGTGACCAATTGCGTATGCAAGGACTCCTTCTCTCCACTAACCTACTTCAATTGATTTGACAGTTGATTAATTTGCATTTCAAAATGCTATTCTTATGCTTCCAATTAAGACAAATATGATTATTCCTGATTCTTAAATAAATTCTAAAACTTTCTCTCATTCTCAGCAATAATGGTCAAATACTGTTAAGTAATCCTCTATTAGTCCTACCCTCCTTATTCACTCAACTATCTGTACTTGTCATTCCAAAACCTATCCAACTATTCAATTTGTTTCTTGTGTTCCTCAACCGTTTTCTCAAGCATTTATTTATTTTGAACAAGCAATCTGTTAGATTAGGCTTCGTTATCCTAATGAATTTCAGTTTATCTCTACTCGAATTATTGAATCATAGAGTCAATCTATTTAGTTGTTGTCATCTTATATTGATTGAATTGCTGCTCACTTGATTCTAGTTATTGTTGTTTAACAGTCAAGTCAGTCTTTAACTTACTGATTTCTATATTCAACTTGTTGATCTACGCATCAGCTTAAGATTTCTACTCGCTATATTGCTAATGCTTTTAAGCTATTTGCTATTGTAAATTGATGATTTCTTGTTTTAATTGCTAGTTTTCCTTTTGCATGGACTACGCAAATTAATTGCTTTGTTGCTATTGAATACTCAAGTCTCTGGATAAATTCTGGACTTTGACTTGGAAATCATCTTTGGTTCTTCCAAATTGATTTTACTCCTTCTCAGCCTGTAATTGAAGCTCATTCAATCTGCCCATCATCTCTTAAATCTTCGATTGGTATTGGTTGCTGACTTACTCAAAATGCTTGTTATTTGCTTAGATCTCTTGTTTCTTTTGAGCAATTTCTTGATTGGCTTTTTCGAGCATAGCAGTCTTATTACTGATGTCTTGGTTGAGTTAATCGATTCTCATTTAGGCTTGAGATTGGAACTGATTGAGTTTATCATTGTACTCCTGCAATTACTTCTTGGACAAGGATTCCAATTACGAGATCTAATTGTTCTTGGCAATATTGATGGCTTCGATCTTCTATTATTGTTGATAGATTTCATTCTTTCTAGAAATGAGTTCTTAACTGAGTCGATCAATTTCTTATTTTTTTATAGCCAATTCTTATTGTAATTGTTCAATTTGTTTTTGAGATTGAACTGAAAAGACTCTCAATTTATCATTCAAATCTTCAATCACTCTCTTGGCATTGGCATCTTGTTATACAAGTTATTACGATTTAACTACATTCAAATTTTCAGCATTTTTCTATAAAAGCAATATTTCATGTTTTGCTGCTTATAACTCATTAGTTGCTTTGTCACACGCTGTTGATTTTAGTTTCAATTCCTGTGAAAGTTAGTCTACTCTCAATTGAGTTTATTATTTAACGATATTCAATTATTCATTCGCATGATCCAATTATCTTTTGTATTGCTATTCGGTATTGGCTAATTGCTGAGTCTTGATTGATAAATCCTGCGATAGTTTTTGCAATTGCTGATTCAACTATTATTGCGATTATTTGAAGGCTTGCTCTTGCATTTGCAATCTTTGGTTTAGTTGCTGTACTTCATTCAGAGAGGCTTTGACTTGCATCTCGAGTTGCTGATTCCTTTGATAGACTGCTCTAACTTCTTCCTATTGCTGTGGAGTGTAGCTCATAAAAAATTAAATTTATTGTTAATGAAAATTTTAATTAGTTGAAATAATAATTCACAGAATGTAAATAAATATAATGCTCGTTTGAGATGATACAAATGAATATAAATTTATTTAATTATGGAATGGGTCTATTATCTTTTTTATAACTCTGGGAGTGGTGGAAATAGGGGTCAACAATTTCTGCAACTTGATGTAAGTTCAAAAATATGATAGTAAAAAGAACTTAGTTTCAATATCAGGGATAGAGTTTGCAGAGTGAGGTTTTACAATATCTGCAACAGCGAATCAAGAGAGACAGGGTTGTAGTTGATAATGAAATAGAAAACAGACGACATCTACGTCGTTATGGCTGGAGGAGATGGCTCCATCATGTGGATAGTGGAATTACTATTGCAACATCAGGTGAACATCCATCGATGCATCATAATTCCATTCCCTTTTGGAACTGGGAACGACTTTGCGAATACTTTGGGATGGGGAACCTCAGTGCCCAATGATGTAATCGGTTTTGGCAATGAAGTGTTGAGAGGGTTTGTGGAATAGTGGGTTGAAGGAGTTGAGTCCTTTTTCGATGTCTGGGATGTGGATATTAGACTGAAAGAAGTAAGTAGTTTATACATGAAAAGGATGGATTCATTAGTGAGATCAAGAGGAATGAAAATGGGGCAAATGAGATGAAGTTGCAATTGAAGGATCAGAGATATTACAAATAGATGATCAATTATTTTAGCATCGGAGTAGATGCACGCATCGGATTCGGATTTGATAAATATAGGACATCCAATCAATGTTGTAACAAATGCGTCTACTGTTGGGAAGGATTCAAGAAGATGTTCCTCAAAACTCCTAAAGTTAACCAATCTATAGAGAACATCCATCATGTGAATGATGATAATCTAGAAACTGGATTGATTTCGAAGCAGAACAATTAAATTGTAGTACCAGGAAATCCAGTCAATTTGTTGTGTTTGAACATCAACTCCTATGCTGGAGGATTGAAAAACATATGGCTCAATGCTTAATAAAATTAAGTCAAATCCTATTCCAACATTCCTTCCGTTTCCGATGGATTGTTGGAAATACTCTCCTTCAACTCTATTTTAGGATTAGGATCAGAAAGATTGATCCCTGGATAGGCTACCAGATTAAGTCAAAGTGGAGGACCACTCAAATTGAATTTCAAATAGAATGAATAACTTAGAACATATTTCCAAATTGATGGCTAATACTTTTCCATTACCAACCCCTACTTAGTTCTTATTAGGTCGTGCTAATCGTTGCCTCAAGGGAAAATACGTGTCTTAATCAATTAGAAGGGAATACTTAAATGATATTAAATATTATTAACATAAATTTATTGCAATTTTGATTGAGTTAATAAATTAATTTAATTTACTTATGTCAAACAAATATTTGAATGAAGAATAATACAATTGATATTAGTAATCCAACAAACTATACAAATATAAATTAATTCATTATAATCTTTCCCTTAATCCTTTTAAAAAGTAATATCCAAATATTCTAAATCCAACAATAAATCCAATCAGAATGTAAATGCAATTCCACATCCCAATATGAAAGTCATACAGATCTCTTGGGTCAGTCTAGAAACTACGATTTGTGAATTCGTTTAATGAAATTGCCTCATAAGCATACCGTACTGGACTCAGATACTGTAACCATCCAAACCAAACTGGAAAATTCTTGGAATTGGCCATGTAACCAGATAATAAAATCACCGGCATCATTATAATCGGTACTGCTGTCAACGCTAATTTAATATCCCTGAATGCACACCCAACCATCAACCCCAAAGAATTTGAACAAATGCAAAGTAAAATACAAATAAAGAAGTTGATTATGACTATTGATGCATCCTAATCATTATAACCAATCATCCAATAAGATATGAGTTGTAGAATAAGAGGTTGTAGTATACAGAAGGGAACTTCGACAAATTGCTTCCCAATAAAATATGAAAAGGCTGAATAGAGTTTCGAATTTTCCTCTCTTAAAAACACTTCTCTCTCAACAGCAAAGCCAAGCACTACTTACATCATAGATCCTACTGCAAAATTGACACACAGGAAATACAATGATCCTTCAATGTTTCTGACATCAGAGATAGTCTCCGATTCCATTGCAGCCTTCCAAAACACTCCTCCATGTAACAACCCCTAGAAGATAGCAGAGCCTATTCTCGCATTCATTTGCATATCATCTCTGCTAAAATTCACAAAGCATCTTCTTGTTAACAATCCTATCTAATAAGATATAGTAGTTTCAACCGATTTGTATGTTATGATTGATTGATTGCGATTATTAATTTCTTATCTAATCTCATTTGCCAATTGCAATTCATAATTCTAAAAATAAAGAGAGTATGCCTCCACATTCTTAGGGTCCTCACTATGAGTGATAGATATTAAATAATCCATAGGATTAGAATGTGTAGGACATTCGAATCCAAAAGATTTGAAATAACTAATAATTTTACATCTATCTCCTTAGTAGATTAGTTTGCCTTAAACCAATAACATTATTTTATCAAACAATAAAAAGATGTCTGAACTTGGCTGATGAATAGTAAAAATAATTGTTTTGTCCTAATCTTTGGCAAGTAATTTCAATTGATGTCTAAACAATCAATTATAATGACATACATAATTTAAAATGCAGTAAATGAATCTAGACCTGATGTAGGTTCATCAAGAAGAATGACACTTGGATTCGAAACTAATTCGTAACCAATAGAAGTTCTCTTTCTTTCCCCTCCACTGATTCCTTTGACCATTGCTCCTCCCACTCTGCTATTCTAACACTTCTCCAATCTCATGCTCTTAATTGTTTCATCTACTCTCAACTTTTTCGTTTCCTCATCGTTGTATTTCAAACTAGATACAAAAGTAAAGGCTTCCTTCGGAGTCATAGTTTCCAAAAGAACATCATTTTGCATTACATAAGAGGCAAACTCACTAAATTTGTCGTAATTATATTTATCCTGATTTGCATACAATTCGCCAGTTAGCTTACAATGCTTATTGTTTACAATCCTGCAGGCCAAAACATTCAAGAGAGATGTTTTTCCAGCTCCTGAACTCCCCAAAATGGCAGTAGTTTATCCTCCTGGACAAATCCCCGATACATGATCCAAGATCACTCTCTCAGCTAATTCTAATTTAATGTGAATACTTTTGCCATTCTGAACTGAGTAGTGGATGTCTTCAAAAACTAAATCAACAGCCTTTCTATTCTAAAAGGTCTTCGATGAGACATTGGTTGTGGCTGATTTCACTACCTTTAAACCTTTAACTTCCTAATCTGGGTGTATTCTTTACATATTATTAAATTTAGAACTGAGTTTAAAATAAATATTCAGGTTCGGGAAAGTGGGAATTCCGAAAATATTTATATAATTTTAAGAATTCGCGAATTTGAATAATTATAAACTTTTAAATTAATTCACAATTAAGTGTTCACTTTTTATTTCTTTTATCCAACAGAGCCTTAACTTTCTCGACGCATTGTCCTTGCTCCTTGGCAGAACTAGCTACTATGGCTGCTGGTATTGATCCCTTAGGATCCACCATTGTGATGAAACAAGTCTTTGTTCCCTGCTCTGTTTTTTATAATATCCATCCAGCTATCTTTAAATCCCCTCTTACTGACTCCTTTATTGGAGGCAATTCAGGATACTCAATTGATTTTGCTATAACCACCCACCTGTTTTCTTCTCGAAATACTCTTGATGCAAACACAAAATCTCTTGATTTCACAACAATTTTAATCGTCTTAAATCTCTAATACACTATGCCTGTGTCTCCATCCAACTTTTTAACCATGTATCCCTATCATAAATTACATATATGTGTACTGAATCAAAGAGGGAATCATAATCTCCTCTCTTCTCTACTTTCTCAATGATCTCAAAAATCTCTTAGATTGTATAAGGCAAGATCCCCTCCCCTCTACTCATAGTCTGTCCTGTTGCTTCGTCAAATCTGGTGTGAATCAAGAACCCTCCCTTGTCTTCCTTCTATTACCAAGAAGGTCCTAAAGGATAGACGGTCTCTAATTATTTTTTAGCCTCAATAGTCATATCAAATATCTTTTAGATTTCTGGGGGATATGACTACTGAGGTTATTATGGCTACAATTGTTATGGGGGTTGTTATGGCTTTTAAGGTAATTGCTATAGTTGCGAAATTTGTCTAGGAGAATTGGATAAAAGGGATGGAGGTTGTTATTCGACAGAGATGGATTGATTTGGAGATTGAGTAGTTCTAGAATAATCAGGCTATTTGTAGATAATTTCTGATTAAATAACAGACATCTAATCACTTGATGTCTTAGAGGCTTGGTATTCAATTAAAATGCTTTTTGGGTTCTGCTTTTAGATCTTGATAAACTGTTTAAGACAAGGCAATATTTGCATCTGAGTACTGTCAGCAATGCATCTCACTTCTACACTGTCTTCATCAAACAGATATTTGATAACAAACAATCTCAAGATTTTTACATGAAAATGCTCAACCACATAGAAGGTGTCCTCATCATTAAATACTGTTTAAGTAAACTTCTCAACCAATTGATTTGAATACAATGCTGTGATCAAATTCTTATCGTTATTTATCAACAGCAGATTTGGAGTCCATTCTTTCCTAACGTCAAACTTACTAATCAGATACACCAAGGCATTGTAATCCACATTCATTAGACATTTACATTAAACCATGAATTATTGTACTTTCTCTGTTTATTTAGGAGGGTTGTGCTTTTTGAACAACAATGGGAGAATAATTATGTTCAATGTGATAAGTATGCTATAAGTGTAGGTTCTGTTGTCCACGAGACTCAATAGTAGATAGACCAATATCGATAGCAAAGTAAAGAATATGATGGCTATCGCAATAGTTAATAAATATCCAACATTTTTTATCTCGTCGGAAATTAAACTCATTATATTAGACTTCGTCTCAGCTTCTTCATTATTTCTCTCTGCTTTTTCAGTCTTGTAGAAAAATATGCCATCGATCACATTTATTAATGTTAGTTATTGAGACTCAAATTTCTTTATCAATTACTATGCTTGAACTTTAATTTGATCCCCTTGAGATTGTTTAATCAAATCATTATCGGGTTGGAATGTGGGTGGCTTGACTTATTGAATTATAATGGAAGGCACAATGGTTTATCTGACTTACTAAAATTGTTCTTGTGCTTGCACTTGGATTTCCTATTTCTATTCAGATTTTTATTTAATCTAAGTGATTGCTTATACAATTATTTTATGCTCCTGATTTGTGTGTGCCATTATTTTCAAAGAATCATCACCATGAATAATTTATATCTAAAACCCATTATTGGTTGATAACTCTTTCACTTTGCAATGAATCAACTTAAGTTCAGCCTTATTTTGTTTGTCCTCCTTTCTGTCTCTATACACCAGTATTCCCTATTAATGTCATCGTGATACTTACTTCTTGTGTCACTTCAATGTATCTCATTACCCAAAACGTCTTTCTTTTCAACCTTGCATAATTAGCAAATAATGACATGATGTGTTGAGCGAATATTAATTTTAATATTATTGATCAAATAAAACTGATAAAACAATTGTTTTAATAACGATAACCAAATCGATGACCATTATCCATCAAAGATAACAACGCCAATATCGTACAAAATATAATTCTTTTTATCTTTATATTTTACATATTTATAACCCTAAATATCAATAAGATTAGAGTTATTTTGATAGATATTGGGTTGTGTGTATAATGTGGAACTCACTCATTTTTTTCACATATAATGTCCTTAATAGAACTCTCAATTAATACTCAATTCACAAATCAAAAGGGATTGCATCTTTTAACCTTAATACTTTAGTTATTTATACTATATCTATTTGAAGGGGTGTAAATAGAAAAATAAAGTCACTTCATTTATATGTAAATTAATTATAAATATATTATGATTAAATACCTGCTCAAATTTTGTCAATAAAAATTTATCAATCAATAAAATAAAAATAATGAAAAGTAACTAGGAATTCGAATAAGAGATTGAGAATTTAATTAAGGAATCGGTTTCCAAACACAATTCTCCAATGAGGGATGAAGGAGAAACCAAAGGAAAGAAATAAAAAAAGCAGTTCTTTTATAATAGAAACAAGATCGATATAAATGAAGCATGGAAAGAAATTGAAAAATTATTCGAAAGTTTCACTATACAAGGAAAGAATTCCGTCGAAAAACCAATTGTGGGAGAAGAATAAAAAATAATTGAGCAAAAAGAATTGTTGTAGACACCATAACCAAAAGTTTATTCGCCTTCAATTTAAACTACAAAAATCAAAGAGCCCAAAGATGAATAAGAGAAGGATAGAATTAACTGTAGTGCCACAAGAAGATTGACCTTTAACTTGGACTGATTTTGTTCATAACTATATATTAAGTTAATATTATAAACTTTTAAGAATTTTATAATCACTATTTAAGAAAATATGGTTTATCCTTCTTAGAAATAAACTCATACAGAGAAGATTAATTTATAACTTTGATCAATCAATATATTCTAGATGAATGATTATCATGATAAATTAGGAAACCTATTTTTAAATTCCAGCATTGTTCTAATTATCTATATATTCACTTATTTTATTTAGAAAATAATTAATAATCTGAATAGCAATCCTTTTTTATTAATATTTGATTGATATAATTTTGTTATCAATCTTGTATAATGACAATAACATACTTTATATATTCTAAATATTAATTAAGTAATTTAGCATTCTTTGTTGTATAGTATCTAATATCTAATATCTAATATCAATCAATCAGCAGAGTATTTTATAATGCAGATTAGAATTACATTTAAATATTTTGACTTTTAATTACTTGAGGTTATCGACCATTAAAACTTAACTTCCAGCTAATCAACTATATAATTGGCTAAATTAATTATAATTAATATTTTTATGACTCCATATTAACCATTCTAATGTATTTGGTATATTCTATTTATTGAATTAATGATGATATTGGCTTTAATTATTTTTATTAAAATTCTAATAATAAATAAAATTATTAATAATAATTAACGATTATTACATATTATAAGATATATTATAATTAGTTAATGAGCGTCAATGATTTTTGATTTATACAAAGTTATGGCGTGGCTTGAATAACACCTTATTGTAAAGAACATCCAAGCCGAATAGGGTGGCGAATAAAATGGCGTACATGGAGACGAGTTCAAACTTAGAGAGTAATGCTTGGAAGCCATAGACATGCTATTCATAAATCAAATAATGGAGGCCTAGTTTCGAGATATTATATATATATACCATAAATTCCAAAGTAGAGTACTACATAGACAAAGTAGATTAAGCCTTTGATTCTCATCTTTAAATGAGGCTATTTTTCGAATTGGTTGAGTTGCCTAAAAATAGTCAAGTCTCTTACATTAAGATCCAGTTTCCTCCGTGAACATAGAACATGAGGACCATGTCAATTTAACTAACATCTCTATCAGCGAAGATCAACTTGGGGTCGAGGAGAAACATAGTCCAAAACATTGTCATGACTATGAACATAATTGGATTCATGCACTAGTATGCATAGTGAGTGAAAGTGTGATGTCTTGGGATGTTGATGAGCCATCCTCTTCTACGGATGAATTTGAAGTCTTCAACAACCTGTGGGATGAGGAAGGAGTACATGCACAAATTGCTGATATTTGTCAAGTACTTTATTTAGTTCCAGAATTCTTCGATTGATTTTGAGTCAAAATTGATATACATAAAGTATGTGTGCACAATCAATTGCACTAAATGAATAATGGTAGGAATCATTTGAGTTTAATATTATTAATGAGAATTATCATTATTTAATTTTTCATTTTAAAGTGTTTACTCTTCTAGAAATTCTTGAGAATTAATAATCAAATGATACGGCTACCTTTAATTGTATATTTTAACTGGATTTACCTAAAAAGATAAAATTCGATGATTATTATTTGTAAATGAAAACACCAAAAATTCAAATTTAATATGATAGATTTAATTTTAATAATAAACAGAGCCATTTTAATGAATAATTCCGCTATAAAAAGAATATGATATTTTTATACAATAATAATATATAAGTAAATGGTATAATATCAAGGGGATTGATCTTAATACTCTTATTAATCAAGTAATTAAACTTATAATGGAGTTTCCATGATTTCATCTTGCTCATTGATTTGCTCATCTTCCTCAATAATCTTTTGGAGTTCAATATAATCTTCCTCATCGTCATTCATTTTCAATTTAACTTTCTCCAGATTACCCTCCTCTTCATCAGAACTAGATGCTAATATTCTATAGATCATCTTAAATTACCTTCGACAGAATTTTCATTTTCGTTTTCATTTTCAATTTCCTCCTCATCACTATTCACATCATTTCTGAATCTTACAGAATCCCCATCTGATTGATCTCTTCTTTCACTGAATGGAAAATTAGATAAAGTCATAAGCGATCTCCCTTATTAAACAACTGATTATTCACTAGAATATAAATGATTTAATACTTGTCATCAGGTTCACTTGAAGACTCTTCCCTTGAATCTGATTTCTTAATGAACTTTTATACATTCATTTTGAATAAGCAGTAACTACCGTCATTATTTTGAATTAGTTTGATTCTGTCATGACTTTGATAACTTTTATTATAATTAGAAATCATCTTCTTTATAAATACAAGATTTGAAGGTTTAGTCTTTTTGCTTAAGAAGATCCTCTTATGCTTAGTGAGATGATACAAAATGCCTTTATAATCAGTTCTATGAGGTCTTTATTCTGTCTACTCTTACTCCTCCTTCTCAAATTCAGGTTCTTAAAATGCCACTTTCAATTACTTTTTGCTATTCTCCTCTTTGATAGGTTCTTGAATTTGTTACTCACTCTCATTTTAAGTGATCAATGTTTTCAATGACTTAGTTTTCTTCAATGTTGGATTGGCATTATTATCCTGATTTCTTCTCCTTCTCTCTTCATTTTGATCCTCCTGATCACTTATATGATTGAGATTCTCCTTTTTCTCATCCTGATCATCTACTATATAATTAACTTCAGTTGTATTGGTTAGATTGTTTTGATTATCCCTATTTTCATTTTTGAAACTGATTTCATTGAATTTCTGAACTGATTATTAAATCAAGACTTTTGGATTGACTTTGTCTGTTTCTTAGGTGATGGTTGTATTTGTGTCTGCCTATTGTTCATTCATCTTTTGTAAGAATTGCTCATAAATCTCAGTTTTATTCACTTAACTATGTATATAATCCTTTACTTCCTTTGAACTCCATGCATCACTTATCACCTTATTGAATTCTTCATAGATGGGCAAAGCATTTTTAAGTTCAGTAACAGATTGATCATCTGATAGATGTTTCATGTATTGGATAATAGTTCTATGTATGGTGTCTATACTTTTATCGATGTTGACATTGTCTACTTTTGGAATAAGGAATTCATCAGCCTTATCTAAAAACCATTTTTGAATCAATCTAATATTTTGAAAGTTCTCAACATATTTGTTATGTCTAGAATCTAAAGTCATGTATTTTGATCTCACTGCAAATCTCTCCTTATGCTTTGATTCCTTTTTAATGCAAATTGCAAATGGTAACACTCTCTTGTACTTTTTCATAATCTTCATCATAAAAATAGGTGTCAGATGTACTCCTTCAATGATGATAGAATCCATTTTCTCATCAAAAGTATTAATTACATGTTCTAATCTCTATTAAACTAATTCACATTAAGCCTTATATCCTTTTATTATCCTCCTTTGATCGCTGATATTCAGATCAGGCAATGTCTTACCAGCCTCATAAGTACTTGCAAACAATACAGGGTTTTCTTCTTTCGACAAGAAATTTCTCATTATATGTCTTATGGAATCAGTGCTTACATTTAGTAAAGTAATACCTCAGGACTGTGGAAATCCCAAATCTTGACGCTAAGATACTGCTGGCTGTGCTTTTGCCAGTACCTGATGTACCACCAAATAGGATGATGAGTGGCTACTTTTTTTCTGTCAAACTCCATGCAATTTAAAAATCTTCTTTATAAAGGTCTTCTTTTTCTCGAATATATTTTTTCTCAAATACAGAGTTGAATACTAATTCTTTGAAGTGTTTTTCAGTTATTGTGGCTGAGTTTACTTGTTTATTAGATTATCCATTTAATGGTTGATGGTTCTTTTGTTTATCAAAATTTTCTAAAAGTATTGAGTGTTTTTGTACCCAACAATTTACTGAATATCATTTCAAAGATTTTCTCACAAAGAGAATATGAATGAGCTGCTTTGCATCCGCTAATTTGCAAGATTATTTTTAACTTTTCCTTGTTGATTTTGCGGACTATAATTGGTAAATTGAATACTTTATTGTTTCTATTTATCATTTGATGAACTATCTTTCAGCACAAATATTACGTTTTAGTCAACATGATAAACATTAGAAGCACTCATTTATTAATTATTTTCTTAGTATTAATAATTCTCTATATAATTAAATATTAGATTATATTATGTGTATGAAATGCAATTGCCGACCATACAACCTTAATTTTCAAATGCGTCATCAATAATAATAAATTATATCAAACAAACAAAGAACTAATTTAAAATTAAAATCTATGGTATTATTTATTTACAATAATATAGACATGTTTACTGTCTGAAATTATTTACAATACAAAAGCTAATTGCTTTGCTTTTTAATTCTTATAATATATTTACAATATGGCTGCTACTTAATCTTTCTTCTCTGAGACTTACGATACAAGATTTCCAACCTGGTGTTATGAAGCCTGTCCTTGCGATACATAATCAATTGCCTTTTCTGCTCATCTCAAAATTTAAATCAACAATGGTAAATGGAAAACGAAACTTCTCTAAATAAAAAACGAGTTCATACTAACCAATACTAAATAAGTATAATAGACAATAATTTTTAGAATGACTTCAAATGGATGTGTTACCTAAACGCTACAATGAAAGTTATTAAGAATCCAAGAGAATAGACGACCACTCTCGAACTATCTTAAGGTCCAAATATTGTGGCTATAAGAGGAGACATTGAAAATTTGCTTAAAATCATAAAACGATACACCATACAGGAAGAATTCAGAATGAAATTCTAACTAGTAAAAAAGTTGGGACAAGGTGCCTTCGCAGAGGTATTTATAATTTATAACAACTTAGGTCTACTCAGCTAAGAAAAAATAAACTGAGGATTATTTTGCAGTAAAAATGTTCGAAAAATCATTAATAAATTCTCATTTAGACAAATAATCATTATTAAAGGAGATTAAGGTCCTAAGAACAATCTATCACGAATCTACAGTCTCATTATTGGAATTATACGAAACATAATGTTATATCTATTTAGTTATGGAATTACTTAAAGGCGGAAATCTTAGTTCATACCTCGATAAGAATGCTCCTCTTTCGGAAAAATAGACAGCCTAAATTATCTATAATCTATTGGTCTCTCTTAATCACATTAACAGCTTTGGAATCTTCCATCGGGATTTGAAACCTGATAATATTGTATTTCGCGAAAAAGGAAATTTGGATAGTCTTTGTGTTACTGATTATGGTTTAGCTGACTTTTATAATCAAGAAGCTAAATATTTATTCCACAGATGTGGAAGTGTCGGATTCGTAGCTCCTGAAATCCTGCATGATTTTGCTTATGATTTAAAAGTTGACTTGTATAGTGTTGGAATTATAATGTATTGTGCCTTGAGTGGTACAATACCTTTTGAAGGTAATACTCACCAGAAAGTTTAATAAAATTATAAAGGAGAAGTCAAAACTAGTAATTTAAACTTGAGTCTAAAGGGATTATAGTTTATTAATAGCATCCTATAACCTTATCCTTCTAAAAGAATAGACTTATAAGAAGCACTGATTCATCCTTGGTTCTTGGAATAAAATTTAAACAATCTTAAAGTGTTTAAGTTAAAGAACAAGAAAGCATCCATTACGAATCAGAATGTTATGCTAACTCCTCCCATAGGTAAGAGTAGTCCATTTTCAACTCCAAGATCACCTCAAAGTCCAATAACCAATCCTTTATAGCAATCCTCGTTTCTAACTAAAATTGCTGGAAAAAAACTCAGCAACTTTTAACTTGAAGATGCTTCAACTCCAAGAGAAAATCAGAGATGTAATACTTAATGTAACTTTTTGAAAAAAATTGCAATAAGAAAGTCTATTTTCAATCACTTAGAACCTTTAAAGAGATAAAAATAAACCGAATGATGCTTAAGGAGTAGAATCATGTTTATATTAAATGTATAAGTAATATTAATATTTCTTATTCTCTAACACTAAAATGTCAAATCAAATCATAATTAAATTTTATTTTAAATTAATTTTTCCAAGAAATTCGTATAATTCAAAATTTGTAAAACGAATATATATTAGATAAAGAATAGTTTGATTCGATTAGAATTGTCTCTAAATAGGATATATAAACAATATAAAAATGATAGCCATCAAAAGTAAAGAATGTAAACGAATACTTTTACAATATATTATTGATCTAACCATTATTGTTTTTCTTAAAGAGATATAACATATAATAGTATGTATGATTAATTGATTTGATATGACTAATTTAGTTATATGATTTACTAAAGGAAAATAGATCAATAAAAATAGAAATATTAAACTGTTATTGGAAAAGAGTAATGCAAGAACGAAGATCATAAATTGAGTTATTGTGATATAATAATATTAAACCTATCATTTCTTAACAGATGAAGTTGAGACTTAAGTCAGAGGTTTTTAGTAATAGCTGGTTGATGGTCGTTGTTAAGGTTATTACTGTTAAGATTGAACAGCAGATTTGTTGACCTTATTAGTTTGTGTAGCCATCTATTATTAAATAAAAGGATAATAATATCCTTGTTTAGTTTGCATCTATTAAATCATAGAACTACTCTTATGATGTGTCGGTTATTGAGTGGTTTGTTGTGCTGCTTATGATTATTTTGGCATTTCAACTGAGGATTGTCTTCCACCCATCTAACCTGATTGTGGTCTCTAAGCTTTCCGTTACTGTTGCAACAACAATTATTGCTGATAAATTTGTTATTGAATGAGATCTGGTTGTGAAAGTTTCTGCTCTTATTGATGATCTTCTTTCTCTGGGGCCTATTGAGCTTGATTTTGCTTATCATCTAAAGAGACTCCCAATTATGCTAAATACTTGGCTTACCACTTCTTTCTTTGTTCCTTCTTTCGTTAACTAATATCTGCATACAAGGCTTCTCTATACTCTTTGATTGTAAACTTCTTATTGTCATTCATTGTAATCCTTATGGGATGTTAACAGACTATCTCTTCTTCTGGCGAGGAAAAGTCTCTTACATATTTATGTTTCAATGCTTGTTCTGCTGTCAATCTTTAATTTGGATTATAGCACAACAGTCTTCTAATCAAATCTAAAGCTTCATCTGAAGCACCTTGGAAAAATGTATTGAACTATTTTTTCTTGGATGCATTTATAGAGGCCAAAATGTTGCCAGCTAAGGGACTATCAAGTGATTCTATTTCATCTGCTCTTGGCTTTCCTAATAGCTCTATAATTCTCTCAATCTGATTAAGAGTTGATGTCCCTGGGAAAATGGCTTTGCCAACAACCAACTCACCTATAATACATCCAACTGACCACATATCAACTGCCTTTGAGTATTTAGTAGATCCCAAGAGGATTTCAGGTGCTCTATACCATCTTGTTGCTACGTATTCAGTTAACACTATTTAACCTACAAATATTTTAAATCTAATCTTGTACTATCATCTTCTGTCTGAGCTAAACTTCTGGCTAATCCAAAATCGGCTACTTTTATTAAACATTCAGAATCCAACAAAATGTTCGATGGTTTCAAATCTCTGTGGATTAATTCTCCTGAATGGATGAATTTTAATGCCTTCAGAGTTTAGTAAACTATGTATTTCTTGTGAATCTCTTCCAATATATTTGCTCTCTTTATTTATTATTAAATCGTTACAATCACTGCATGAAGATCAGTTTCCATATAATCAAATACCAGGTAAAGATCCTTATTATTCTCAGCCTTTATGATGTTGAGCAATCTCACTATATTTTCATGCCCATTTAATTCCTGCAAAAACATCACCTCCCTAAATGTCCTTTAAGCATCAGTAGCATTATGAAAAGCATCAAATACTTTTTTTAGCGCAACGACCTTCAATAATTATTCAAAAATACCTATTTCAATTTTTTATCCACTGCTTTCCACACTATACCATAAGCACCCTTCCCCAATTTTGATATAATCTCGAATTTCCTTGCAATATGAGGTTCTATTTCTTCACTCATTTCGTTATAAAATTTTTATTATCAATACAAAAAAAATAAATTATTTAAAAAATCTTTACCTAAACTTACACCTATAAAATCTTTATTTTTCATAGAAACCCACTATGACCTCAACCAAAGCTCTATCATAAGAATAATAAATATCACATATCTAAATCAAGATTCAAATCCTGAATTACCTTCCCTTTTCCTTTAGCATTATAATAACCCGCAATTATTTTGAATTCCCGAAATTTCAGGAATATCAACTTTTAACTTAAATATAATCATACTTCATAATAACTTCATAATTTAATTTATGGAGTCACTTCAAAATACATCAACTATAAAGATATATAAAAAATCAATAGATAAAGTACTTTTTAAATCCTTCAAAATGACCCAAGATATATTTTAAGCTTTTTGTCGTTTATATTATCTCTGTAAACACTACCTAGTATAAAAAAGGATGCTTTTGTCTACAATAATTGATTAAAATTGAAAACAAAAAAATGTCCAGATAAACAATTAAGTATAAATTCACAAAATTGCTTTTTCTTTATTTTATTTTAAAAATTAATGTATTTTTAGAAAATTAAAAAGGAAAAAATAGTAATTTTAGATCCAGTATGATATACTAATAATAAACGATTATGATTGGTAATTGCTTTATAAATCAATTTAATGGGGTTTGGCCATAAGTATTTGTTATCAATCAACCAAGTTCTATTGATGTTTATCATAATGGCCATCTTATTATTTATTATTTATTTATCTAGTACCTATACTAAGTGAGTCTCCTAATTCATTGATCTCTTTCGTAGTTTCTCGCAGTGGTTTATTTGATTACTACCCATCTGCTTTGATTATTAATTATTCACCATTCTAATCATTAGTAATTTGTTGAACTACAGGTCGTTTTTTCATCAAGTTGTCAGTGTTGTATTGTGAAAGTAGGTGGAGTTGCTCTCCTAACCACAAGCATATTTAAAAAAGAAAAGCTATGGTATTAGCTAGTTCCATTTTGCTTATAAAATAACCTACCCCAGAGAGTGGTAAAGTTAAATATAAATTCACTATGGAAATAATTGTTCCATGATAAAAATGCTATATTATTAATAAACCACTTGCCGCTATGGAACAAACTTAGGAAGGAATTTATTAGTGATTGAAAACTTCTACAATTAGAAAAATATGAACAGCTAATGCATACAAACAATAAACAAATTGTATTCTTCTATTTATCTTTTTAGTATATGCTGCAGCTTTAATAAAATCCTCTTCAGATATTTGTTCTACTCTTTGATTATTCCCGATAATTTAAGGCTTAATCATTAATCAAAAATATTAATTTGAGTTTCCCAACAAATTTTAATTACAAACCAACCAATCCTATAAGATATGATTTTGTATGTATCCTATAGATTTAAAAATTTAAGATTATCAATTAATCTCCAGTTTATTTAGTATGACGCTTAGTTTGCTTATTAATATAAAAGTATCTTTAAAGTGTGATAAATAATGATTAAGATGCTTATGATAATAAGGGAAGTGGAGCATTACTACCCTTAATCAAATACTTTATTTTATCACAACAAACTAAAATTTACAGTTACAGATATCTACATTTAATTAATTAATAAATAATAGTTGAAATAATAAAATAATCGAACTTAAATCATTATTGTAATAATAATTGAACATTAAATTAACTTCATTTTATATCATACCTTATCTTGAAAAAAGTGAAAAAAAAAGGAGAATGAAAGATGTGAAGTATTGAATCATTATGAGTATATTATTCTCCATTTTATTTAAATATTATTTTATATTTTCCCTAAGATAGGTTTTATTTAATTTAATGTTATAACATTTTTTTAATTTATTAGAATCGCTGATTGCTTAAACTTAAAAGTAAATATATTATATCTGATGATATTTTTAATCTTGATAGAAACTTCTCCACAATAACTTTTATAACAATCTCATTAATGACTTAAATCTAACCAATATTTTACTAATCTTAACATTATTAACTCTATTTTCTGATATCATAAATAACAGTGTAATAAATATTCAATTAAACTATCTCTATGTTTTCTGACATGCTCTCTACTTTGATATTTCAAAATTTTGGTTCTCCAGTATTTTTGATTTATTTATTTATTCTTCTAATTCCTTTTATCTTTATTCAGATATATCTATTATTAGTAATCTGAAATATTTTTGGTTGCAATCTAAAATTATAAAATCCTTAATTGAGATAAAAAGAATCACTTATTCTCTTAACTTTAATAATAATATTACATAAACATGGAAAAAATTTATAAAGTTCACATAGATAACCTAGATAAAGATATCTAAGTAGACATAAATGATAATGAGACTTTGGAGAAATTAGTTGAAAAAATAAGAGATTTATAGAAATTACCTTTTCAGAATGTAGATGTGTTTTGTGAAAATAATAAATTGGATGTAAAATTCAAAATCAACGTCCTAAATATCAATAATTCATCAAGTATAAATGTTAAGCTCTTTTACTATGTTAAAGTAAAAGTTACGAATGAAATGCAAGAATCCTGTGAGATTTCGAAAATAAACATCTATGATAAATTAGCATGCCTAAACAAACAAATTTATAATGAGTTTGGCATTTCAAATTATCATTTGGATCTCTATTAAGGTTAAACTCTCTTGGAGCCTTATCAATCACTATACCAATAATAAATTTTAAAGGATTGTGATTTGAGATGTGTAGTGAAGCCAACCTTCTTAGTAGAATATAAATCTGAAGTATACACCTTTTTCACCTTATTAAATGAAGATTTTAAGAATATTAATGAAAAGGTTAAATAGAGATTAAACTTAAAGTTAGATTTCGAGCTCATTTACAATGAATAGGTAATTAATAACGAGGGTGATAACTACTATAATTATTCTATTCCTCAAAATTAAAAGCTAGAACTAAAAATACTAGATAGTGTCATACTTATCGTATCCTCTGTTGAGACCCAAAGTTTTAAAGTAAGTAAATCTGTATAAATCTAAGAATTAACTACATATTTAAAGTAATTATATTCAATTACTGAGGAGGTATCATTAACAAAAGGAAATTAAAAGTTGCTACCTGAATAAACAGTTTAGGAACTTAAACTTAAAGATTATGAAATACTAAAATTAGAATAAATAACGATGTCGGATTTATATCTGATAAATAACCTCAATCCAAAACAGTAATTTAAAAAAAAGATTGATATTCCTATTACACTTAAATTCTTACAAGATCTACCTTAATTTAAGGAGAAAAAGATTCATTTTTATAACAGTTCTCAGTAACAATTATCGAATTAAGATGAAATTAAGTTAGAACCGAAAATAACCATCTACTATAAGGAAATCTCTTAAAGTTAGATTTTTTCTTGGTTGCAAATAGGGTTTCTGAATAAACAAACCTAAGTGAAGATTATAAAGAAGGTACCTCAAAATGATATAATCGATAAATATATATAGGAATTGGTTGGAACATAGCAATCTAACTTTTGGTTAGGAGATCAATAGATTTCAAAAGGACATACCTTTGAAGGGATTGGAGCATAGAATAATGATTGCATTACCTTTGAAGTAATCAAGAGAAGTGTTTTGGTCTCATATAGGGAGTAGAATCATATTATTGAAGTTTAAGATGATTGGACATTTGCAAAATTAAAATAAACTCTTTTGCATTAATTTTAGAACTCTACGAATAATTATTGTTTGATACATCGCGATGCTTAACCTGAATTACATCAAAACATTCTTGCCATATACAAAGAAGGAGATGTCATATTATTCACAGATTAAAAACCTAGTCTCGTAATCAATTAGAGCAGAATACTTGATAATATGATACCAATTACAATATACATTGTTGATAAATAAGATGAAATAACACTAAAAGTGAAGTGCAATACGACGGTCTAAAATTTGATTGATAAATTCAAAAAACTGTTTCAGATTAATGCTTCCATTAATTTTATCTTAAAATTAAACCAAAATAGACTTTAAGAAACTTTTGAAATTAATTCTACTCACAGCAATGCAAAGTTCTTTATAGAGTAAGTAAAAAATTGAACTATTTAAAAGTTTATAATTTATTATATAAAATTAATGTTAGTAAAATTCTATTGCATCTAATTTGGATAAACTTATGTAATCCCAGTTGATCCTAAATCCGTTTTACAATAAGTAGTAGACTCTATAAAACAAGAATTTAGATTTAACGATGCTACTTCAGCAACTGCCTATATAAATGGGAAAATTATAAATTGTGATCTCACCATAGAAAAATTAAACATAGGAGAAAATAGCAAAATAAATTTGCAATTTTTCTTATCTGAGTACATTAATTTTTAGTTGAAAGAAGATGGAAAATAAGTCAAGACTCTCATTATGAATATTTACATCAGTATTTTGGAGGCTGAAAGGTAATTGGCAATGCACATCCTAACTGATTATCATGTGGAAATCATCCTTAATGACAAAAAGTTATGCAAATCTACGTCCTTATATTCAATCGGTTCAGAAAAAGTACATAAATTCCAAATGAAGGTAAATCTATAAATTAAGAATTTGGATAAATTGTACTTCTTTCGATTCTCAGTCTTTGACACAATCTCAAATATTAAGTAGAAAATACGAAATCAACTGCAAATTAAAGGAGGATTTTGGATGTTTTATAATGATAGAATTTAAATAGACAAGATGGATAACATGGAAGAAACCATTTATTCATTGCAAATACCAAATTATTAAACCTTGACCATAAATAGATAACAACATATAACTTTCGTTTATAAGTTTAATTAATGTGCCGAATAGTATTAAATTTAAACAAATCAAAGTTTGAGAGACAAACTCGATGAAATAAGAAGGAAACATAGAGTGCTTAATAATTCAGAATATTAAATTAAATGTAATGGATAGGTCGTTCCTGAACTTCCCATAAGCAAGGATAAAGAATTTCTAATCGAAGATGTGATAGAGGTGGAAGAAAATAAGGATGAATCAACTATTATAACAATCATTAACTTCTTTAATAAGACAAATAGAGAACTTAAAGTAGTTAATATAAAATAAACATTGGGAGCTTTAAAAAATATAATAAAAAATTAGAATGATAAATGCACTAATGTGGAATTTATATTTCATGGTAATCAATAATTAGATGATGATAACAAAACATTTTAATAGTTAGGCTTCGAATCAAATAAGCATTACTTAATATAATATGTGCTTTATGAAAGTAAGAAATCATCTCGCAATAACATTAAGCAATAATAGATAAAGTAATATAGAAAAGATATATTTGAACACAATAAGAAGTAACATTTGACTACAATTTCACATAACAGAATCTACTTTACTGAGAATGAGAATTTTAATGAAGGAGATAAAACAGATAATACGAACAACATAATTGTAAATATTAATTGCAATTAAGGAAATTAAGATTTTCAGATCCCTTAGTAAGTAATAATAGATGAAAATATGATCATATCTCAATCCATAATCTATAAAGCAATCTAAAAATATAAAGATACCTTTATTCTTAAATATAATGATAGGCCAGTTGACATAGGTAAAAGTTTGAAAGAACTTGGAATAGAAAATGATAGCATAATTGAGGTGGCTCTTTATACTGATTATTAAAAGTAAGTTGTTTCATAAGATGAGGATTAAGTAAATAATGCAGACGTTATTATTCAAATTTAATTTTTTAAGGACGGAATTTAAAGAATGGAGTAAAAAAAGTATAACTTATATACAATAAAATTCGCTTTGATTAAAAAAGCTCTATTAACTGAATATTAATTACCTGATAATTATGAATTAATGTATAATGGGAATAGAGTAAACTTGAATTCAAATATTTAAGGTGTTATTAAAGAAAGTGAAAATCTCTTCATTTTGGAAGAACAAGTTAATTCGAATGATAGAAAACGTGTTACTCTTGTTCTTAAAATGATTCCAGATGGATCTCCAAAAAATCAATCAATTCAAGTTGATAAAGAACTTGAACTCTCAAGTCTATATCATTTAGGTAATCTAATATTTAATATTATTAAGTTCAATAGAAAATAAAACAACAGAATTTCACTTTATTTTATGACGGCGAAGCAATTAAAAACTAAAAAGAAACCTTTCTAGAACTGAAAGACGACAGAGAAGAGGAAGTTGAAGTCCTTCTCGAAGATGTTCCCTCATCTAATATACTATGATTTATTATTTCAATAACTATGTAAAGATATCTTTTGAAATCTGAGTCTAGACGATATTCTCTTCATTTCAGGAATTTTGATGTGATTGCGAGTAACGTTAGATGATAATAAGGATATGTTACTAGAACGAAAAGAATAATTATGATAAAGTGGTGATTTTTCAGATATCAAGATAATCATTAGATGTGAATAGGTACATGATCCTTGGAAATAGGTTGAAAATTGAATTTGACACTGTATAAAGGCATTTTATTGATGAAAGAGTTTAACAAAATAACCACAGAATTTTGATTAAAAAATTAATATTTTAAGAAGACTTTGATAAGAGATTAAAATATTTGGATGGTTTATATAATCTCGTCATTCATTGAATAAATCAATAGGCTGCATGCATTGAGCTTTACATGTTGCTAAATTAGGTTATTTCTGATTTATCGACTTTGAGCAAGTTCTATATTTTTTTTTCAAAAACACTAACAATCATGATGGAAGCTAAAAATATTCCAATATCTCTAAATTATTTTAATCTCTTTTCTCTTTCAGCTTTATTGGTTGGGTAAATGGATTTTTTGAGTTTCTCCCAAGATGTTCCTTGTTGATTGCCTTTTTGCTTTCCAAATTACATTTAATATTTTTATTTATGGTGTATTATTTTGTAATAAATTGATGAATATATGATATGAAAGAAGTAGAATATTTGTAATAATATGTTAATAATAGAATTCACATAAATGGTTTAGAATAGCTTCCAGTTCCTAGATTGAGTAATGTTCTTAATCTATCATTTTCATCTTTCAATCTCCTGTTTTCTTGCAGAACATTATGATTAGAATTGGCTAGAGTGAATAATGTAATTGATTACATAGTTCAATTCTATTCGAAGATTATGGTCTTTGAACAATTTGTGATTGTTGTTATTGTAATTATTAGATTTACTTTTAAAGAGTGTCAATTTGAATTTTAAGTTGTTGATTCTCTTATTCTAAATCTCCAGCACTTTACAATACATACTCTAATTCATCAAAGCCTTTCCTATTAAATTAATAATGTGTTTTGCATACCTTAAAGTATCTAATTCTTATTTCAATCTCTGATTTTCCTTTTACAAGAATTCACACTATTTCTTGTTGTCCTCGAAAGCATATTTTGACAATTTAATTTAATCTAATTCAATTCTCAATGACCTATTTTCTTATTCTAATTGATTTCTATCTGCTATGAATCTAGCTGTAAGTTCTCGTATTTCTCTGTCCACTTGAATTCTTCTTTGAAGTTCATTTTGATATCTCTAATCCTCACTTTCCTTATCTCTATTTTAATATTTAACTCTCCATTATTCACATTCCATTTACAATAGGGCTAGTTTCTTTTCGTATTCACCTATTTTGACTCTTTGAGATATAACTTCATTTTCAACTAAATCTACTCCCTTGAATCTCATTTCACTCGTATTGAATAATTGCTAAATGTGAGTATTTTCTTCTCTCAATCTATCATTTTCAACAGTGAGCAGAAATACAACCATGTAGATGTCTTCTCCCAACCAGGGTTTATTTGGAGGTTGTCCGCCTTGCATTTCTTGGAAGTTGGGTCTTTCTTCAATGATCTTAGCTTGAATCTGTTGTAATTGGAACTTCATTCTTTATTCCTATTGAATTTGCGAAATGGATTGAGGGATTTCTCTATTTGGTTGCATAGGGGGTCTATACTCCATAATAAATAAATTTATTTTTGATTGGTTATATGAATCACAATATATATATATATATTTATTAAATAATATATTCATTTAGCCCTCAAATTGTTGTTACTTGTCAATGTTTTCATTTCCCATTCGATATAATCCCTTTCTAAGAAACTCTCCTGCTTAATAGGTTCTGGTTTTTTGTCTTTGAGTTGTTCTATAATAAGACTCTGCATTTTGAGGATCTTATCTTGTTTTTCTTTTTCCAGTTGATCTAAAATTTGTTCATTGGTAATAAGGATTTGGCGTGAATCATTTTCATCATTGTATTATTTGGGATTATCGGAATAGAGGAGCATCAATTTGAGAGGGTTAGTCTCCTCAACTTTGGAATTGGAGTTATCTGGGAGTGTTTCTGATTGCTACTGTTGCTCTACTTATTGAATTTATATATATTTAGCCAATCTGCTATGATGAGTAGACTAATCTGGCTGATTTAGTTGTTGTTCTTGGTCTTATTAGAGGTTATTGATATCATTTTAGGTTGATAACTCTTAGGAGAGCTAATCATTATCTAATTTGTCTAGCCAATATTACACTGAATGTATGGATTCCTATTTGATGGGATATTGTGAGGGATCTTCAGAATGGTTCTATTGCATTTCATTGACTTTCAACAATGATTCCACTTAAGCATTGATCTAATCTACGAATGGAGTTTACGAATACAGATCCAATTAATCAACTACGTCCTATTTAATCTCATTTATTACCACTCTTTCTACAAAATCAGTTCTCGGAGGATCCTGAATAATATTCTAACTGGCTTAGAATGCACTTAGAGTAACTGATATAATTATTACAATCAATATTCTCATTAAAAACGTAAATTAATAATGGATAATCCATTGGGCAACCGAAACTTATCAAATACTTACTTATAACAACAAAATTACAAACTTATCCAACGTCTGGGAATGGGTGCTTTTGGAGAGATCTATCTAGCCTAAAATAAACAGAAAGAGGAATTTGCTATCAAATTGGAAAGAACCAATTGCCAATATCCTCAAATACTATATGAAGCCAAAGTTTATGCATTCCTTCATCAAGATACACAACAACTCGATAAAGGTACCAACTAAATACAATCTCTAAGGCATTCCTAAAGTATTCGGGGCAGCAACAGAAGGAGATTACAATTATTTGGTCATGGAGCTATTGGGATCCTCAATTGAAGATTTGTTTGCTTAATGTCATCGCAAGTTATCCATTAAAACAGTAACATCAATATTAATTCAGGTTTGCACACTTGCTGAACAAATGGTCTCAAGACTTGAATTCATGCATTCCCGATCCTTCATCCATCGTGATGTCAAACCTGATAACTTCCTCATGGGTATTGGTAAAAAGCAGTCCAAACTCTATGTGGTAGACATGGGTTTGGCCAAAAGATATCTAACAAAAGATGGTCACATCCCATTCAAAGAGAACAAACCACTCACTGGAACTGCTCGATATGCTAGTATCAATACTCATTTGGGATATGAACAAAGTAGAAGAGACGATCTCGAAGGCTTGGCTTACGTTCTTGTTTATCTAGCTAAAGGCACTCTACCCTGGATGAATCTTGCATGCAATAATAAAAATGACAAATACGTCTTGATCAAAGAAAAGAAAATTAAAACTACCACCGAACAACTCTGCTCAGGATTACCTGAAGAAATGACTTAGTACTTAAATTATGTTAAGAAATTAAAGTTCGAGGAAAAACCAGATTATAATTATTTGAGGAATCTCTTCAAGTAAGCACTACAGAGATAGAACCTTTAATTGGATTACATTTACGATTGGACTAAACCAGAAAAAAAACGATAAGAAAACGATCAAGTAGATGCTATTCGAAAAGTTAAAGAAGAAATTGCCAATAAAGAATAGGATCCTAAAATCAAACAAATCCTATAACCATAATAAAATCCTGCTAAAGCCTAATCCATCATTGCACCCAAACCTTAACCCATCAATTCTCCAAAAGCCAATCAAAAAGTACAGCAACAATAAAATCGCCCTCAATCTGCTCAAAAACCAGTAGCCCCTAAAAAACCCCAACTACCAACTCAACAAGGCAAAAAACCACCCGTTGAACCAAGAGTCGCCGCACCCAGAATAGTAATTAATAAAGAACCTTACACTAAATATTGATTTCTTATTTTGAAGGTTTTATTTATTCAATGATATTTACTGCGTTTTTAATTTATAAATTTACTAGTATAATATCAATACGTTTTGTATCCTTAGCCTTATTCAAACCTTTAAAACATATCTGATGTACTACTGTTTTTGATTATAATTTCGATTGGTTTGACGAATATGATATAAAATCATGTATAGTTTCCTTATTTTTTAACAAATTAACATAATAATTACGTTAAATGGAACTTGGGAAAAAGCCTTGATTTCATTTTTACTTTATTTTACAGTAGTCAGATAAAAAAATTACAAAAAAAATATTTATTTTGCCTTGAGAGCTTCTTCTTATTTTATTAAATGATTCCTAAACAAGAATAAAATTTATCTCTAATATCACTCATGTACTAACATTTATGTACATTTAAATATAATGTACTTAATCACTTAATTTGATTTACCTTATGAGGATCATGATTTAATAAATGGAAGGGGTTTTTTGGAATTGCTGAAATGTATTAATATAAAAAAAGGCTTGAATTTTATAAATAAAATAGAAAAATTAACAATTAAATGAAAAATAAAAGATCAATCATCTAAGAATAACAGCCAGATCATGATTTGATTCGTAAATAGAATGAAATGAATTTACAACCGGCACTATAAGTATATAGAATGTATACTTAATTACATACAGTAGCTTAAGCAGAATAAGTGGCTGATTCTTTGTCATCAATAGATTTCATACAGAAATAATGTGAAAAGAGTATGAAAGTTAGGGATTTTGCAATGTATGCAGCATAATTTTTCAAATATGAATACTACAGTTTTGGCCAAACAATAATGAATTAAGGAGAGTATGGAGATAGATTTTATTTGTTACTGAATGGTGATGTCGGTGTATACATGAAACGATCTAGCGAAGATGTTCAGAATGATTTAGAGTTATTAACATAGTAATGTAGTGAGACTAATATTGTTGTAAGTAATGCTTAAAAGAAAAAGAAAACTGTTCTGTTAAATTAACTAAACAAATATGAATTAGCCTTGAGAATGCTAATAGATAATACGTTGTACTATAATAATGGAGTTCCTCTGTTTAAAAAAGTGTGGTAATATTATTCAGGATAATGTTTTGGTGATTAAGCACTAATACATGATCAACCAAGATCGGCAAGCATTATAGTAGTATCAGAAGAGGCACATTTGATATCAATGAATAAACATGATTTTAGATAAGTGTGTGAGAAACAGATTCAGGAATAGAATGCAAATGTGGATTATTTTATGAAATTATTTAATGGAGCTAGCAAATTTACTGTCACTAAATTTATATAGAATTTAAGAACTACTCAATTTTCAGCATAGGAAATATTATGGAAAGAGGGAGATGAACCAAAGTTCTATTTTTTGATTTTGAAGGGTAGAGTGCAATTATATAGGTATATTGCAGAAGAAATGATTACTCAATCTGTAAGTAGAAAGAAGAAGAAGATCATCTTAAGTTAATTATCAGATAACTCATTCGTTGGTTAAGAAGAGATAATTGATTCTCTTCCTTATAGATTGTATTCTTGTTAAGTCTTGGATAACACAACAGCATATTTCATGGAAGCAAGCGAATTCAACAATCTGAAAAAGAATTTCCCAGAAATAGTGAAATTACTGAAAGACAAAAGTTCTTTAATTTCTGATTATATGAACAATAGATAAAATAACATCATTTCAATACTGTCATAACATGAAAATTAATAAAAAGAATAGCCATAGTTAATGATTACTGAAAGAAAAACTGTGTAAGAGATATTCAAAGATCCACATGATAGACCAGATAAAAACGATATTAGATCATAAAAACCAAAAATACTATTACAAACTGAAATAGCCCATTAGAATATGTTATATCATTAGAAGAAATTGCCTACTGATGCTAAAACCTAATTTTTGATGGTGGACACAAATCTAATTGAGTAAATCAGAGATAGAGTATCCAGACAGATTTGGACTGGTGCTGAAAAGAAGTAGAGAGTTAAGACTACTCATCTAGATGATAATCAAATTTTAACTAGTAGAGTTTAAAGTGCACTAAATGTCAAATCTAAGAAAATGTAGAGGTTTTCATCCCTTGAAACTATACTCCAAATCACCTCATCAGAACCTCATTAGACTTCTCCAACCTTTATCACTTCCTCAACCAACACTATTCCTCTTATCTAAAGATCCTGGAATCCATAGAGTAGACAACTTAAGGCTAAATTAAGAAGGAAAATGAGTGGAGCTATGAGTCAAAACACCTTATAAAGTCGATAAATTGAAAATGAAGATATACTCTCTCAACTCTAACTACCTCAAAGAATACACACAGCCAAATCTACAAATAGAAAAATGTATGTTTATTCATTTATTTTTAAGTTGCTCCTCTTTTGGATTGCGAAAAAAGAGTGATCAAGTTGTAAGTTATATTTGATTATTTATAATTAATTTTCATTTTTAATTTTCCATCTAATCTTCAAATATTATTATAAAATTCATTCAAATGCTAATTAAAGATATTTATTCATTTGTTAATCTAAAAAAATCAAAATAACTTCTATGCGTATAGATGTATTAAAAATATATTAATTATTGATTGAATTTAAAATCAAATTCAAATCTATTGGTAATTTACAAAATAAATTAAGGACAATACTTCTATAATAGTGAAAACTTTAAAAATTAGAGGTTCTATTATTTCAACTTTAATTTTGTTTATTTTTAATTTCTGCCTAAATCAAACAGTAGTAATAATTAAATCTGATAGATTTAGTCGAAAAATATTGAAATTGATGTTGAATTCTTCTTAAATCTTTGTAAAAGAGTAAAAAAGGCAGAGAACCAAATAAATATATAATGGATGTAGAAAATAATTATTATTAATCATTTGCCAATATACCATTTTATTAAAAGTGAGTACTTAAACTTCATCAGATCAATTCATATGAGATATTTAAAGGATATTGTTTCTATTTCTTGCGTGGGTGACGTGTTATAATAGTTAAATTTAAAATTAATATACGATTACAAATAAAGGCTATGCAAATTCCTCAAGATCAACCAGAATTCAGACCGAGTCGACTAACTCGATACTCCAACTAAGTGTTTTATACAATGGAAAATTGCGAGGTTTTCAACAATCCGATTGAAAATATGGACTTATTGATGTAATGAGATTATTACCTTAAGGGATTAAATACCAATGTTATAATAAGTGTTTGAAGTACGATATACATAACATAAAGAAAACTAATTATAGAAATTTTACAACATGCCAAATCAAGAAAGGATGTTTTATATGATTGATAAGGATTCGGGCAGGATTTTTGACATGAGAATTCCAGAAGTATGAAATTAGCTATTTATTAAGTAAGCCAAGGAAATCCAAGAAATAATGAATGGTAATACGGTTAATTTTATCAAGGATTAGGCATGGAATGATTTTATGTACTAAAATATAACTATATAGATTGTTGACCAAAAAAATGAACGAACACCTCTTAGACTATGCAGAATTGGGGGATGCACAATCAATAGAGACTTTACTGATACCTACCATTGAATATTACCTTGATGTGGATACAAAGTATAATAAGTTCATTTAAACTATTAAGAGGTCTGGATGATTGGACAGCTTTGCATTTTGCATCAAATGAAGGGAATTTGGATATAGTGAACATACTCTTAAAACATGGAGCAACAGTTGATGCACTAACCAAATTTTCAAGAACCCCTTTCTTTTTGACAGTAATGTAGAATTTCATAGAATGCGCAAATGTTTTGTTGCAACATAACGCCAATATCAATATATAGGATAAGGATGGCAATACTCCATTGCACATCGCATCCTAAATGGGATCAACAGATATGATAGCCTTTCTATTGGAGAAGAAGGCTGATCCAAATATCAGAAACTCTTTCAATTAGAATTGCATCCAGATTTGTTGTGATGCAAATAGTTTACAAATCTACATCAAATATGGATACGTTCACAATGAGGAAGTAATTATACTTGATCTATACTAAGAGCTATGAACGCACCATAATACCAGGCACAAACTTTCTCTTAAGAAATAGTAGGTATGATCACGTAATGAAATTTATGGCTAAAGAGAAACAAGCTGAAGGATAAACTGCAAATGGTTAGAATTAAGTTGCAAGCTAAAATAATACTAATAAGAAAATATGGAAATTCTAAAATCTAGCTAAATTTTAGAATGTTAATCTTTTGAAATATAAGATGACTCCAAACATGTTCAATTTTTATTAATTATTGGGAAAAGGATCTTTTGGGGAAGTATATTTAGTGGATAAAATTGGATCAGAAAATAGGAAACTGTTTGCTATGAAAATATTAAAGAAAGAAAGAATGATGTCATAGAACTTATTAAAATATGCAGAAACAGAAAAGGAAGTATTGAGTGTAATGCATCATCCATTCATAGTGAAATTGAATTATGCATTTTAAACAGAATCTAAATTATTTTTGGTGATGGATTTCTGTCCTGGAGGAGATCTCTCCAAATTACTTGATATAAAGAGAAAGTTACCAGAAGAAGATGCTAAAATTTATGTGGCTGAAATATTATTAGCAATTGAGTGTTTACATAAAAACAACATCATATTTAGAGATTTAAAACCAGAAAATGTTGTATTAGATTCAGATGGACATGCTCTTTTAACAGATTTTGGATTGTCAAAAAAGGGAGTCACTGACGAAGAATTGAATAAATCATTTTGTGGTTCACCTGCATACTTACCACCTGAGATATTGTCTAAATAAGGACACAATAGAATGGCTGATTGGTATGGATTAGGAGTTATGACTTATGAATTATTGGTTGGTATTCCACCTTATTATGCTAATGAACGTGAATAATTGTTTGATAATATCAGAAAAGGACCATTAAAAATACCAAGAAGCTTATCTACTGAAGCTAAATCATTTATTGTAGCTGTAAATTACCTTTATTATTAAAGTTGTTAAACAGAGATCCAAACAAAAGATTGGGAGCTAATCTAGATGGTGAAGAAGTTCGAGAACATCCCTGGTTAGCAAGTGTCAACTGGAAGGATTGTTATGATAGAAAATTAAAACCACCTAAACCAACAGAACAAACATTTAATAATGTGCCTTTGAGGATCAACTTTATGGATACTGATGAAAATAAGAATAAAATTACAGGATGGTCATTCTATGAAGAATCATGAAAATTATAACAAATTCTCTTGTATGAATTATTTTTATAAGGCCATTTCTCTATTTGATCTTCTACTATTCTGATAGTTGTCTCTCGATATCCTTTAACATTTCTATAATAATTATTAAATCCAATTGATAAAATTATTTCTAATAAGATTTATTTGAATAAATTATCTTTAAGAATGAATCATAAATTTTTGTTTATTAAATCAACAATTTATTTGAATTCGCTCTTGGGTTACTTGAGTAGATTATTCGGGGAATCGCACTCAATAATTTGTCCTGCACTTAATACAACGATTTTATCAGATTCCATAATAGTGGAAACCTTATGGGCAATCGTAATCATTGTTTAATTTTAGAAATGGTCTTTAAAGATCTAAATTAATATATTAAATATTACATTTTTGATTAATTCCTCAGTTGGATTATCAATATTTGCAGTAGCTTCATCTACTAAAATAATTTTTCTATTTTCAATCATACATCTTGCTATCGTAATCAGTTACTTCTCTCCTAAACTCAAATTACCACCACTTTATTAAATCTTTGTCTCCAACTTATAATCTTAGAACGATTTCATATTATATAGTTAACAAGCTTAACATACTTTTTCCAAATTTTAATCATCTGCTTGTCCATAAGGATCAAGATTCTCCTTCAAAGTTCCCTTATATATCAATGACTCTTGGGGAATTACACTAAATTTCTTTCTGAGTTCTTGCAATGCATATTCATTAAGATCTGTTTCATCAATTTTTACATCTCCATTTGTTAGATGAATCATTCTCATCAATGCCATTATTATAGAACTCTTACCAGCTCCAGTTCTACCCAATATACCAATTTTTTCACCAGATTCAATTGTTAAACTCAGATTAGATAAGACATCTTTCTGATTATTGGGATATTGGAATGATGCATTCGTTAGAGTAATTTATCCAATAGATTTAGAATTAGTAGAGCCTTATGCATAATCATCGTATTCAATATCATTTGATAAGTGTAAACATCTTTCAAAAGATATTGAATACATTAATAAATTGCCATAACTGACAGCCACTTAGACTAACAATTAAGATACATTGGACATTTAAATCACTATTAAATAGGTCATGGCTGGATTATTATTTGGATATAGAAGACATACCACAAACAATATAGTTTAAAAGATATTAGTAATAATGCTGGATGTTTAGGAAAACCATTATTGTAATCCTGCCAAATACATTTAATTTCCTAGATCTAAATCAATATTATTGTAATGGTTTTGCAGAACAAACTTTTTGGGAAGACATGATCTAACAAACAAAAGACCCCTTATTATTTATTGGTAATATGTAAACACGGGGCTTTTTGAAACTGATTCAATACGAGTCATTTCTGTTAAACATTTATAGTATGAAATTGTAAACAGGAGGAGGATGATAACAAATATTAGAACTATAGGGTAAGCTATGTAATTCAAAAATATCAGACTAGTAATCAAAGGCATAATCAAATTAGTGAATTGAATACTTAAATTGTATATTTGATTTGGAAATAGCATATCGATATTGTAGATATCCTTACTTAATCTATTCATTAATCTTCCTATCAAAATCTAATTGTAGAATTAAGTAAACGATGCTTTCATTAAAGAAGCAAAGATGTTCTTATGAATAACAGAGCTAGTCTTTATTCCAATTAACAAGAAATATCCTGTTATGGAGATAATAGCAATATAAATTGGAATATTAAATATAGGAAAGTATACTAAGGCAACCTCTCTAAATTCATCAGGGTCCAATTCAGGATTTGATAGAGTCTTGCTTGACAGTGTAGATAATACCATTAGAACACTAAAATATGTAACAACAGCAATAATAGCCCAAAAACCTCCTTAAAATTAAAATATAGTTTTGATAACTTTGTTATCAATTTTTCCAACTCTTTAATCTTCGCTCATCAATGTAAAAGATGCTTTTGATTTTGGTTCTTTATCTTCTAAATGATTATTCTCAAATTGGATATCAATTAAATTTAATTTTTCTTCTTCAACTTTAATTTATGAATTATACGGAACCAATCTATCATTTTATAACAAATAGATTTAATCAACTCCTGATAAATTTGTCAATTAATTTGTAAATAATATTCTAGTTTTACCATGAAGAAATTTAAGAAAACATTCTTTATAAATATGGCATTTGACTTTGATATCAAGTGCGCTTAGAGGGTCATCAAATAAATAGATATCTGCTTCTTTATAAACAGCTCTGGCTAGATTGATTCTTTTCTATTAGCCTCCTGATAGGTTATCTCCTTTTTCACTCAATTGAGTGAAATCCTTATTAACAAATTAATTGATATCTTATTCCAATGCAGTCACACGCATAACCTTTTTATATCTCAATTCATCAAATTTATTCATGTAGATGATATTATTTTTAATAGTATCACTAAGTATCCATGGTTCTTGGGTAGCCAAACTAATTTCTCCATTAACAACAATCTGACCCGAAACACAATTCGTTTCATTTAAGATTGACTTAAGAATTGTAGATTTGCCTGAAGCAGAACTAACATAAATAATGATATTTACTTTCCAACAATTACTATATATTAGCCTTTCTTAACATCTAATTTCAAATTGAATTATTAATTTTATTTAAGATATTAGTTTTCATCAATATATTTCCAATCAAATGTTCCATCTATCTTAATGTCATGTCCTTTATCCTCATCATTATTCCATGGTTAGATTTGATTTTCTTTTAGAAATGAAGTGATTCTGCTAATAGAATTGATAGAAGCATAATAATTTTTGAGTTGATTAGGAAATGCTTACAATAAATACATCAATTAACTTGAATTTTACATGATCACAGTTGTAATTGCAAAAGTAATAAAGTCAGCAAAATAGAATGTGCATTCCCATGTTGCAAAGCTAAGAATGTTCTACATAAATTAAATAAAAATTAAGAGAAGAACTTGCTACTTTAAGAATTTTAGTTCTTTAGCTCTGAGTTTCTCAATTCTTTTTTCAAAGTATGTTTCATAACAATTGAACTTGATTTATTTAATTTATAATAGTGATTCATCAACTCCACCCATTCTTTCATCTTTAGCATGCATAAATTTGTTTTGTATCTTTCCAAAATAGTACCCAAATGCGACTCCAAAAATAGCTTAAATTATAACACCTATAGCAGGTGGTAAACTATTATCCTTCACTGTTACGTAAAATACGAAAAATGCTCCCAAAAGTTGATACGGTACTAAATAAACTTAAAATCTGTTGATGAAGTAATATGACGATTGCAAAACATCAACTTAGAGCATATTAATTAAATCTCCGGGATTGTATTTAGATGAGCGTTGTAATGGAAATTTCAGTGTATGTTCCATCAATTGAATTTACAATGCACCTTAAATTTTAATGGAAACTATAGCCTACAAAAATTATTAGATAGGCTAAAATATTGACAGAGTAATGTAATATAATAATTACAATACAGCAAACACAAGTACATTTGTTGTGGTGAACACTGTGTTTGAATCTACAAAATAACTTTAGGCTTTGCTCATCATATAAGGTAAGGTTAATTGGAAAGTGCAAGTAAACCAATATATCAAGCAATTGAGGATTATATGGACTAGAATAATTATCAATATGTTACATTTGAAAGACACCCATAATGATTATCTTAGATCAGGATGTAGTTCATAAGATTAGATAAAGGTTTTGTAACTAGTTAGTGATGAATGCTCTTTTAAAACCTTAGGAATTAGCTTTTGGTTGAGTGGCTATTTTGATCCTTGCTAAAATATCAATTGATGTTAAATTAGTACCTTAAATATTTTGTATATCCATAGAAAAAAGTAAGTTTTTAAGGTTCCAATTCGTTGAGTGGATGTGTTAATCCCAAGCAAGCTCTCTTCTTATTAAGTCTTAGTTTCAACTTTCTTCATAAATATAATTATTTGATATAGATTTCAAGACAAATTAGGTTATATAATAAAAATATTCCACAAAAACATAAATTTTATAATATTAAATTGCGATTTACTATGATAACAATTGGAATATAAATGAATAATAATAATAATTATTATTATTATATATAAATTGTTGTACATCAAATTATACTTAATTTTTCACCATAAGGATAGCACATTTCACTTAGATAGGATGGAACAGTGGCAGCTGGCTCAGATTTGGAAATAGCCAAAATATCCTCAGAATTGAAACCGACAGTCTTCTTCAAGCATTAAAGATTCTATAATTTAGATAATGAAGATGTTTACTTTTTTATCAAGTGCAGATAAATTAGGATGAGTTAAGATCATTCTCAAAAGCTATCTTAAATAGGTAACAGGATGAAATTGTAAGATATAGTACCTTTCAACCAAAAGATTGACTACGTCATGTAATTATTATTCAGTTGTATTTTTATATTAACATTTGAATATATTATCCCATAATTCCTGATTATGTTAATCCAAAAGTGATAAATCAAATTTTTCAGCTGATTTAGCATGGATCCAACTATATACATTCTACAAAGGATAATCAGTTTGATTCATTGATTCGACATGTTGATCTGAGGCATTACCTATATGTAACATTTCTCTAAGATCTTTTAATTCTTCATCATTCAATCTGGACTCTTCAATCCAAACTAACTTCTCCTGTTATTACAAATACAATTAATTGTCTCTTCTTCTAAATTGATGTTAAATTCCTTATTTTTTGTAATACTTGTGACTTAGAATATCCAAGAATAACTGATCATCAAATAATTGACTCAATTATAATAAGAGATCACTTGCACTAAATTCTCCAAATTGTTTGAAATCTGAGTGAATTAGATCATCAAACTACATATCCTTTATTCTTAATTGAGTCACTTATACATTTGGTTAGTAAAGACTCAAAGAATCTAAGAATTATAATTCCTGTTTATTTAATTATTTGCCTTCCATTTATTTATTCATCAAATAATAAGTGATCAATTTTTCCTCTGCTCTTGATCTCTTTCTTGTAACAAATTAATCGATATCATACAGTAAGTCTACATCAAGATATCTATCAGGTGTTTATTAGATATCTAATTTCTCAACATCACTTTCATTAAATAAAATATCGATATAATTAGTTTTCTATTTGTAATAGGGGGAGGAATGTTTTCTTCTTAATTCACCCTTAATTTCTTAAATTTTGTTATAAAGGATTCTATTAATTTTACCAACAATACTTCTAGCTTATTATTTGTTAATTTCTTTATTCTTGACATCTTCTTATAATTTCATTAATAATTCCTTTCTCATTTTAATCAGATCCTCCAATGTTTTGTTGACTTACAATTTTTTCCTTAGATATTGAGTTGTTAAAAATGGATTGTATTATTTGATTTATTCTTGTAATACGACTTCTGGATCCCTTTATAAGAAGATTCCAACAGGTTTAGTTGATTTTTTAGATGATAACCTTTCTTCTATCAATTTATCCCAAAACTTAATGTTGAATACAAAATCAGCAATTTCAGGTAAACTCTTAGATTTCAATTCAGCATTCAAATTCAATAGATTTGCAATGAACAAATCACTTGCATCACTCTGGTGATCCTTTTAGTCTTTCTATAAGAATCTATACAATTGATTAAGTTGTTCTAATTCCTCATCTGACTTTTTAGCCGAATGTTTCTTCCACGCAAGTGAATAAGATTCAACAACTATCTATTATCTACGTTTATCTGAATGTGGAATTGGAATCACATCTGAAATAAAACCATTATCTTCCAATCTCTTAAATAAGTCTTAGTCTGGACAATAAGTGGGATCATAAATTCTATTACTAATCAAACTAGCTTTAAATCCTTCAATAGATGATTAAGGATTATATATTGATTAAGATGGGATCATTCCATACCATTTTGGGAATTTGATTGGTTGAACCTTAATTTCATCTATCAAATCTTAGAATACATTATTCTAATTCAAAATTTTTAATCTCTCTTGTAAATCAAGTAAAGTTTATTTCAACTTCAACTTATTTAAATTATCATTCTTATTTAAATAGTTCAATGCTCTTTTCTTCAAATATTGCCATTACACATTAAAGATTGTTTAAGAACTCAATTCCTTACTGTTTTCTTCTATTTAGACATTTTCCAACCTATCCTTGATTTTATTAAATAAGATGATATCAGAATTTTCTAGGTTAAATGCCAACTGCAATTTCTACTTGAATTGTTCCTTATCCTTACCTAAGAAATCATATAATGTCATATATGGCTATGAACCAACTCTTAATTTAGCATATCCATTTATTTCATTATTGACACTCACATCATAAATCTCAATCAGTTGCACTGACTTAGGTAAAGTCTCTTTAATGGCCTTGTATACTTCAGTATGATTAATGTCCTTCTCTTCATAAATCAACTTCTGTCCAGAGTGTTTTTCTAATACATCAATTCTTTCTTGTTATTTTTCATTCAAATCTCTAATTGTATTCAAATTCTTAACTCTAAACTTGAGTTCTTCAATGAATAGTCCATAATTTTGATTTTACAATGCCAAGTATGTAGCATAAGCAATTAATTCATCTAAAGAGAGGATAGATAAATTCTCTGGCAATGGGAATTTTCTATCAGTTTTATTCAATTATAAATGAAGATATAAAGAATCAATTGAATTAAGAAGTTCTTCATCAGTAACTTAGGCTAAATACTCTCTGCTTTCAACATTGAGACCAGCATTTGCAAACGCCTTTGCTAATTTATATTTATCTGAATGAACTAATAAAGATTAAGCATTCTTTAATCTCTCTGCAATTTAATGTCCTTTGTATTCAGAAACTGCTACCATCAAATTTCCGAAATCTGATAATTTTGGTTCAATAGGTTTTGTTTGATCTCTGTGTATTAATTGTATTTCTAATAGATTAATTATAAATGCCATTAGATCAGGGTCTTTACCTGAAATATATGAAAGTGCAGTTTCTAATGATAATGAGACATCCTCCTTTTCAACTTCCGCAGGATGCAAAAGACCTGAAGATACTAAGGCTTCTTCAAATTCCATCATTTTAATGTTAGTATTAACGTGCACCCAATCAGATTTTTAGATATCAAGTAATTATAAATAAACTCTTCTGATTTCTACGATTGCTTCCAAAACATAGAAGATATCAGATTGTGTTTCTTCGATTAATTTTTCAACTTCATAAATGAAATTATTGATAGGCACTTCCTATTTTTCTTCAAAGATATCTAATATAAATGCTTCAATTAATTATTTTTCTTCAGAGTTTAACTCTTTGGCATCTAATTATTAAAATACCTTATCAACAATCTATTCGCTATGTAAATCTACTCCTGTCAGAGCCAATCCGTGAATTGCTTCTGCTAAAACTCTATAATCATTCAAATTTAATAAGTCTTTAATAAGGACATCGAATCCCATGGAAGATTCAACTGATTTATGATCAAAGTAGGATCTATCTCCTCTTCCTTTTAATGCATGTCCTAATTGAACAAATGTTTATCCAACAATTTCTTCATTTGAGTATTCTCTTTTCTACAGAAATGCAGCCAAAATAGTTTTAGCAGGCACATTAGATGTAAAGAAAGCATGATTTTACATTTTGAAAGCAGCTTAAGTATTTTGATCAATTTATTTTTGTAATTAGATTGCTATTAAATATAGATGGATCCAACATACCTTTATTTAGAGCCTTCTTAAATTATTCAAGCTATGACTTGAATATTTACTTACATTTGAGATATTCATACTCCTCACTAATTCTAAAGAGAGATCTCTATAAATATTTTATCATAATTAAAAGATTTTAATATTTTTATATTCACATTCACATCCTCCTCAATGCACTTGTATTTCTTTAAGTTTAGTTTATCTCAATTCTTCTATTTTTAACCTCATTTCAAAACTAATTATTCCATGCTAAACTCAATTTATTATGAAAGACATTAATAATCGCAGAATCAAATAATCCTGAAATAGCATAATCTATTTTACTTAGCATAAAACACTTTATGGTAACTAATTATTTATTATTAATGCTTAATTTCCACTAAGTCTTAAAATCACTGCAGTTATTAATTAACCATCCCTCTAAAATGTCAATATCCAGTTGTCTTTAATATCTCACAATTTCTTCTCTCTCCAAATTATACACGCTTACTCATCTTGCTTTAATTAATCTCTTATTGGTCTCGTCTTCATTTTTCTGTTAACATTTTATTTATTATTCTTATTAATATATTATATAATAAATGAATTCAATACAGCAATGTCCTACTCACAAAGAAATTTATGTTGGATATAATATAGAGAATTCTGATACTGTAAGACCTATTTGTTCTCGTTGCATTCCTTCTCTCAGCAAGGGCTACTTTGGAGAATAAAGATATCTCAATTTCGAATAAGCCACACAATTACTAGATTAATTAAAACAAACTGGATTAAAACAATATAAATCAGAAATACTTGATCAACTTGAGCAGACTATTCATCAGTTATATACTCAATTGAAATTGCTTTATGATCAAATTTCTGTAGTCTTCGATTTAATTATTCAATCAGATCCATAACAAGAACTTTTGGATTCTAAAGACCACAAATAAATAGCTTAAGTATTACATGAGAATTGCCAATATGATATTCACCAATAAAAATATAAGATTAAATCTTAAAATGCAATCCATATCAGATTCAATAAAGTAATTTCGAAGTCTTAACATCATATGAATGAATGCTTTGACAATATCAGTTAATAAATCAATTCACTAAAGAAAGAAGAAATTGACTTAACTCAATAGACAAGCAATCATAAACATAATCATAAAAATTATAAGGAACTATTTAAACTCAATACCAAGGTTTAATCAGTAAAATCTATGGCATATTATGATAAAATGAAATGGTTATTTTCAGCTGATTAGGATATCAAAATATTACAATTTGATCTTAGGTCAAAATAATTTATCTAAGAACATTCTGCTCACTCCGATAGAATCTCAGCCCTTCTAATTGTAAACGACACCTTAATCTCAGCTGCAATTGATAAAACTCTAGTCATTTGGAATCTAACTGGTCCAAAAATAGAAGTAAAAAATAAAGTTAATACCAAATCGACAATTCTTCAATTAATAAGATATTAAAATTCATTTGCCTCAATCAATAGCGATAAGGTTCTAGCATTCTGGAATGAGACCGCATGTGTAAATGAATTAAAGAATAAAGTTGAAATTACTAGCATAGACTGTAATAAAGATTATTCTTAAATTGCTATAGGATAAATTGATGGAATTATTAGAATTAGAAAAGAAAAATTTAACATTAAATTAGAAAGTCATTTTGATTGTATCAAGGCACTTAAATTTATAAATGAATCATATCTAGTTTCAGGAGGATGGGATAAATAGATTAAAATATGGATGGAATTGAAAAATGGAGATTATAGTTGTATTTAAACTATTTACGATCATAATTCATATATCAACTTTATAGATTATGTAGGAGGATATCTCATATCTACAGATGATGAGAAGATTATTAAAATTTGGTATTAAGATAAATAATGGAAAGAACACTCGTAAATAGGTCGATATTCTTTAGTGACAGCTATTCATACTTATCAAAGAATTTGTTTCTTAGGATTTGATGATTCCTCAATTTAATTGCTTTAGTTTAATTGAGTATTAACTTATACGTTTATTTAACTTAAGGTATTCATTAATCCTTTTAAGTGGGATTAAATAATTATATATTTATTATCTTATTAGTAATCTATCATAAATCTGTATTTTAAATCAGCTATTACTATCTTGCCTTACATCTAAACATCATAATATAAGTATATAAATTCGTTTGAGTTGATTCTAGATTTAAGTGTTAATTTCTGAAATAAATTACCATAGATAAACTAATACTTCTTGAATACTTTACAAATCTTCTTTAATAAACCTAATAATAATATTTTTATATTGTTCTGCTATTGATATGTAATCTATTCGAATTTTAAGTGGTTTAAAGAATTCAGTTTACTGTATTTGATATGTTTTACATAATACAAAGTGGTTTCATTAAATAATTTTTTGAAATCTATGAATCCTTCCACAATTTCCTCGTCTTAAATATTAAGAGATTTTCTAGTTGATCCAACTTCCATAGATTAAAATTTATTGTGTTTGATATGTTAAGAATTAGTTGTTGATCCTAAGGAGTGCAGTTAATGTCAAAATCTATTTTGTTCAGAATGCATTGCATCATGGCTTGAAAAGAAAAGTATTATCAAATATTGAATTTTATAGAGACCTGTCCATATAATTGCAGTAAGGAAATTGAATTGAAAAACCCTCATCGTATAGTCAAAAACTCAATTTCTCAAATAGAAGTAAAATGTTTAAATAAAGGATGTGGCAAATAAATGTAAATTTAAAATCTAGATTCCCATCTGCAACAATGTGAATACTAAGAAAAAAAATGTCCTTTTCCGGATTGTGATTTTAAAGACATTTAAAAATAAATAAAGCTTCACGAATAAATTTGTGAACACAGAATATAAAATTGTAAGAAATGTGATTCAAAGTATAAAGTCAATTAAGAACATGATTGTCTAGTCTAATTGCTTTAGAAATTGAAATTATAGGAAGAGAACTTCTAAGTCTATTAACAGAAAACTGATTAAGTTATAAGGGATTTGGTTACAAGACTAACTAAATTAGAAGATTCCTAAAAAAGACCCAATAAACCAAAATGTTTCGAAGGACATGAGTTAAAATGGATATATCCTAAATAAGGAATTTAATGTGAGTCTTGCAAATACGCTAATGAGAATATAAGATATGTTTGTGAAATTTGCAGAGCAGCGTATTGCTAGAAATGTAAGATGCCAGAATTCAATGCAAACATTTGTCCTGCTCATCACATTTTATAATTTTCGCAGAAAGTACATATTAATTATATGCTAGCCTGCGTTTGGCTTGAAATGCGATTTCTGTAGACATAACATTTATTCTAAAGGTGACTCTGTTTACAGTGATCGAACTTGTGATTTCGATATTTGCAATAGTTGCTTTTAGAAATTAAAATTAATTAAGTGAGTGATAAAATTATATAATTAAATGTATAATACTTCTCTAATTTATTTTATGTATTATTTAGAATATTAGACTAATGTCAACTCGTATTGTAATATTTTTATGTACATAGTGTTTGATCAGTTGATATAATACAATGAGAGATGGATAAATGAGGCTACAGTTATTGATAAGTGCCCTGAAAAAGATAAGAGGTTGTGTACTAAATTAGGAATCTGTTTTTCCAACTCTAATAAACATCCAAAATTACAAGTTAAATAGTGTGGTTTAGTAGTAAAAGATAATTCGTTCGGTTCTAAGAAATTTATCGCTTGTGATCCTGTAATACCACAAGAAGGAATTCATGAGTTTACATTTTAGATAAATAAAAATGGAGCAGTGTACGTTGGCATGTGTATTCTAGATAAAATCAACTTTGAGTCAGGATATGTGAATATTTGGGATAACCACAACCACGGGTAAAATAGAAATTCTAATAGAATTAGAACATATCTATTATGTAATGACGGTTTTGCTTTTTCCAATGATTCGCCTTAAGAAAACAAGGTAGAAACCCATTTTAAGTTTCAAAAGAGTGACAAAATTACAGTCTTTGTGAATCAAACAACAAAAACAATAAAATGGCATAAATTTGGAACTAATGAAATTATTGTATAGCATTTCATAAATATGAATAGTAAATGAGGTTTAAAAATAATAAGAACTTGTATCCTTGTTTGATGATTGAGGGTTAAAAAATCACTATTATGGATTGAAAATTAATTATAATTATAAAATCTAGGAATTTAGAATTTAGCAAATATATATTTTAAAGTAATTAATTAAATCAAAGTTAACATTTCTGAATTATATTTAAAGAACTTGAATTTATGTCATTAACATTTATTTCATTTGTTCTTATAGCAATGATATTTGGTATTAGTATAATTTTATAGTTCTATTCATATTAACTATGTAGTCTTGTTATTATTCGTTTTTCATTTGGTGTTTCTTCTTATTCAAAATCGATTGTCCATTTTGAAATTTATTCTTTGATTTCTTTTTCGAGTTACTCCATTTCTGGCAAACCCCTTCTCAGTAATGATGATCAAGCAATCCAATTTTGGAATCAACCATATATTTTTATTACATTTAATCTATTACTAATTCTATATTTTCTTAACATTATTGAATCAAAATCGAAAATATTTACATTATTTCAATATTTTTATATTTATCTAATAAAGCTTTCTGAATCTAGAATACTATAAAAGAATTAAGTGTGTGTATCAATTGTAATCCATATGTAAGAAACTTTTTCATGTTCTAAGTCTCTTAGGAAATAATTTTGTTGAATTATTTATAACAGACTTTAATATGAAAAATAATTATTTATACTTTAATTTTGAGTAAATTACTAATAAAATTATGATAATATTAGTCATTTCTTTTTTTTGCCAGGCTTCTTCTTTCCTTTTTCATCATCAGCTGGTTTCTTGAGTTTATCAATTCTTGCTTTATTCCCAGAGAGATCATCATGCAATTTACGAAACTCTTGATATTGTTACAAGAACGTAGATTATTGGACAGCTAGCGGATCAACGAATTCACTTATTCGGTAGGGTATTTCAGCAGATAAAATTAATCGTCTCTCTGTCAATATCTTTCTGAGAGCCTCTTTGATCTACAATATAGATTAAATGTAATACATTCCCTGCAGTAAATCCTTCTGTAGCATGAGCCAAGGAGCTTAAGGGGAAATTGGGATGCAGTTAAATCTTTCGTTATTCAAAAAACCTCTAGAATATCATTATTCTTGTCGCATAATTTGGACAAGGGAAATAGACTCTTCTTTTGAAAAAGGATTTCAATTATTTTTTATTTGCATTCCAAGGAGCATAACTACAACCAATTATAGTAACATTTTCTTTCTACTTCTCAGTGAAATACTTACCATATTTCAATAAGTATTTTCTCAATTTAACCCAATTCATGCCTCCTGCAGATGATGGCTATTAATCACCTTTCTTCTTCTTTTTCTTACCTTTGAAAATGCGTTCAATTTCATCAATATATATAATAGCAGGTTAGAAACAGGCAGCAGTTTTAAATGCTAACGATAACAAATAATCAGGTTTATCTTAATATTTATTTTCTATGTTTGCAGGTGATAAATCTAGAATCAAAGCATCACATTCAGTTTATAGTGCCCTAACTGCATGTGTTTTACCTGACCCATGAGGCCCATAAAAAAGGACATAATTACTTTCTTTGACATTATCCTTGATATATGGAGATCCTAATGGCATTCCAATAAATTAAACTAAAACCTGTCTTAAATCATAAATGGAGGGATCAGCTACTTATTCTTAGAGCATTTCTTATTTTTATCTTAATGGATTGCAATTTCCAATGAGATCTGAAATTTTTGCTGGTTCCAATTTCTTAGCGATACCTGATTCAATCAATTCAGCTAGCATATCTCTAGGATCTTTTTTTGCTGTTCCCTTATCTCCTGGGAATTTCTTTTTCTTCTTCTTTGCCACGCTTCTGAAACCAAAATTAATTTCTCCTTCTTCTAATAAATCATCTTCTTCTGCTTTTGCAGCTGGTTTTGCTTTCTTTTTTTTTGATTTCTTTTTTTTTGGATATTTCATTTTCTTTGCCTTTAATGCAATTCTTAAATTGATCAACTCCATATCAATCATTTCATCTACTACTTCTCTTATTTATTTTTCAACTCCTTTTGCAATTTCTCCCTTCAATAAGGAATTTTCATGCTTCTAATAAGGGTTTAACTAATCATTTCTCCATTCTTGGTTATGTTTTTCAATTAAATCTTGCATCTTGACTATAGCTTCTGTAGGCCCTTATTCTACTCTAATATCTTCATCTTCTTGCTTCTTCTTCTTTTTCTTTTTTCCCTTATTCTTTTTAGCTGCTTTCTTTTCCTTATCCAACAAATCCATCATTTCTTATTCTTCTTCAGTCAATGGCAATCTCACTTAATCTTTTTTATAGAATTAAGCAACTTTTGGTGGCACTAATTTACCTTCTGCTTTCTGAACTTCACTCATGTACCACCTTCTTCTTTCAGCCAACATTTAGTTTTAGATATCATCCTACCAATCATTCATTAAATTATCTCTTGCTTCAACTAAGGCTGTTTTATACTCTTATAATCTTTCCTATTGTTTCTCTTTCATTTTCTCTCTCTACAAATGATATGTCTTATAAGCATCGGTTTCTTGTAATGGTTTTTCCAATGTAAATCCCAGAAATAGTGATTCCTACTCTCTTATATCCCACACTATTTCTCTGGCTTTAAATCCTCTATAATATTTTTAAATCGTTGTTATGGCTTCTTCTCTCTCTGTAGAATCATGCACTTCCAATCCTTCTTGCAATTTCTTTTGTTTCTCTTGTTTCTTCAAATCTTGCTTTTTCAATTATTTTGCCAATAACACTCTCTCAATACCTTGTCTTCCTCTCTCATTCTTTTAAATAAACCATATAGCTTATTCAATATTTTCCAATACAGCTTTGTCTACTAGAACTTCTTCTTCTGGTTAGGTAGTATCATGAAATTCATTTAAAAAATGATTAAGCATTTATTTACGATAAGCAAGTTTTCTATTTTATTCATCTGAAAAATAATGAGGTAAAGTAACTTCAGCATCTTCTATGAGTCTCTTTTCATCAAAAATTACCTGATGTAAATTCACAAAATCAGATCTTATCACATTTCCTTAGGTTGAATAGAATATCATGGCCTACATATTTTAAAATCATTATAGTACCTGCTTGATTTGAATTTGTCTTAACATGGTATTTTCAAGCATCTTCTTTAATAAACGTCTTTTTTAAGGATGTAACAATTAATCATAACAAATTTCAAGTGATTTATATGCATCCACATAAAATAGGTATAATTTGCCATAGTACACAAACCACTCTTAATCAGGCCTTACTAGTTTTAGATTTTGCTTGACCTGATTCTCAACCAAGGGATCCATCTCTATTTATAAGGCCTCCATAAGTTAATTGATGGACTGTCTCCATTTCAAATTAAAATATGAAGTTGACATATAATAAATATATATATGATATGTCATTAAAAAACAGAGTACGGAGTTGATCCATTCTGATGTTGACAATTTGGACAAAGATGAATAATGTCCTTGCAATCATCTACATAACAAGGTAAACATGCCAGACANAATATCTTCATCTTCTTGCTTCTTCTTCTTTTTCTTTTTTCCCTTATTCTTTTTAGCTGCTTTCTTTTCCTTATCCAACAAATCCATCATTTCTTATTCTTCTTCAGTCAATGGCAATCTCACTTAATCTTTTTTATAGAATTAAGCAACTTTTGGTGGCACTAATTTACCTTCTGCTTTCTGAACTTCACTCATGTACCACCTTCTTCTTTCAGCCAACATTTAGTTTTAGATATCATCCTACCAATCATTCATTAAATTATCTCTTGCTTCAACTAAGGCTGTTTTATACTCTTATAATCTTTCCTATTGTTTCTCTTTCATTTTCTCTCTCTACAAATGATATGTCTTATAAGCATCGGTTTCTTGTAATGGTTTTTCCAATGTAAATCCCAGAAATAGTGATTCCTACTCTCTTATATCCCACACTATTTCTCTGGCTTTAAATCCTCTATAATATTTTTAAATCGTTGTTATGGCTTCTTCTCTCTCTGTAGAATCATGCACTTCCAATCCTTCTTGCAATTTCTTTTGTTTCTCTTGTTTCTTCAAATCTTGCTTTTTCAATTATTTTGCCAATAACACTCTCTCAATACCTTGTCTTCCTCTCTCATTCTTTTAAATAAACCATATAGCTTATTCAATATTTTCCAATACAGCTTTGTCTACTAGAACTTCTTCTTCTGGTTAGGTAGTATCATGAAATTCATTTAAAAAATGATTAAGCATTTATTTACGATAAGCAAGTTTTCTATTTTATTCATCTGAAAAATAATGAGGTAAAGTAACTTCAGCATCTTCTATGAGTCTCTTTTCATCAAAAATTACCTGATGTAAATTCACAAAATCAGATCTTATCACATTTCCTTAGGTTGAATAGAATATCATGGCCTACATATTTTAAAATCATTATAGTACCTGCTTGATTTGAATTTGTCTTAACATGGTATTTTCAAGCATCTTCTTTAATAAACGTCTTTTTTAAGGATGTAACAATTAATCATAACAAATTTCAAGTGATTTATATGCATCCACATAAAATAGGTATAATTTGCCATAGTACACAAACCACTCTTAATCAGGCCTTACTAGTTTTAGATTTTGCTTGACCTGATTCTCAACCAAGGGATCCATCTCTATTTATAAGGCCTCCATAAGTTAATTGATGGACTGTCTCCATTTCAAATTAAAATATGAAGTTGACATATAATAAATATATATATGATATGTCATTAAAAAACAGAGTACGGAGTTGATCCATTCTGATGTTGACAATTTGGACAAAGATGAATAATGTCCTTGCAATCATCTACATAACAAGGTAAACATGCCAGACAGCAGATTCCAAAAGAACATAGAAGGAGAATACAAGAAACTATATAAGCACCACTCCCAACTCTTCTGCTTAATTTAGTTTGAACCTTTTAACAACTGTATTATTAAATATATACTTATTTCTTGCAATTCTGGCAAATGAGTTTGACAGGATTGATTTTACCGTCTCCATTTTCAAGTAGAGAATTGACTAGTTTTATTTCTCGAAGACTTGAAATTTGTGGAGAAATGTTTAGAGTTGGAATCATTTAGGGTGTTTGATCATATAGTTTATTTTTATGTTAATCCTAAGTTTGTGTATAGATATTAGCATTTCTTTCAAGATGATGCAAAATATCATCCTCTACACTTTTCGAAAGATCTTTGTTTGCCATAAATAATTATTGGGAATTGTTAAATGAATAATTAAAAAGGATTGTTTTAAGATACACAAAATAATTAAATAAACAGTTTAAATATAATAATTGTTTTCGATAATTAATTTCTTTTGGCACTTGGAATAAATGAAGAAAAAGATGTCAATTGACAAAGAAATTTCTATCTTTTAAACTAAAAATGGATAACACTAACACAAGTTTTATTATTTAATTAATTTCTATAAAATAAAGCACGCAAATGTCTGCAAGAAATAGCAATTCTCCTAAACAAAAAACCTAATCTATGTCTTATTCCAAATCAGAATTCTTGTCAAATTCTAATGAAGTAGTCCATAGAGGTGCAAAAAGCGAAATAATACAATCAAACAAAATTTCGGATGAAGACCAATTTGATAACTAAGAATCTAAAACCAAGTCTGGGAACTACTATAATATTATTGTCATAGGAATAGTTATTTTAGGATTAGCTGCTGGTTTAGTGATAGGATATAAAATAATGAAATCAGGAAATGTTTAGGATGAAGAACAAATGAATGTGTTTGTGAACATAGTGTCACAATCTCTACTAAGTAATCTTGAGTAGCAAAAATTTTTAATAATAGATGATTAGCTTAAATAATTGAAAAAGTTTTATGAAAAACAATTAACTAATACTATTTGGTAGAAGGTATGTTTATAGAATATAAAAATAGATTGTGACGCATATTCAATAGTAACCTAATGTATTACTTAGTTAAGATAAGAAAAAATGGATATTGAAAGTGTGAAAAACATTATTATTTTATTATTACCATTTCACAAATCAAGGAAAGATTTAACCTTCTTTATTGTAGCCTCATCTTGGATTTCCCAATGTCCAGTCATTGGATCAATTTTAATTCTTGTTTCTTTGCAATAATACGCAGCAGGTACTAATTTAATAACCTGATGTAACGGAATGTTTAATTTAGGTATCTCAGGTACCTCATGTTCATGAAAGTATGCATACAAACATCTCAGTATGGCTTGATGAGCAATAACTATTACAGGTAATCTTGATCTTTCTATTTCAAAAATTATTTATTCCACTCTGCTGATTACATCAAGATAAGATTCTCCTCTTGGATATCTGTAAGTTAGTTTGTTCATCTTGCGTTCCTCATAATCCTAAGGGAACTTATCAGCAATCTATTAATATGTCAATCCATCGCATATTCCTGGATTTATTTCATCCAAAGCCTTTAATGAATAATATTCGACTCCCAACAATTCACAAACTTCATTACTTGTGCGCAATGCTCTCTGCATAGTTGAAGTAAACATCTTGATATTTCTACTACCTTCTAATTCCTATACAAAATATTTGCCTAATTATTTTGCATACATCAATCCTGTTTAAGTTAAATCAGAATCTCCTCCAACTTTATGAACAACATTATATTAACTCTCTCCATGTCTAGACAAATATATTGGTCTAGGATAAATGTGCAAATTCATCAAATATGAGACTAATTTGGATTATAAGAATCCTTAGATATTATATATCATAATCTAAATTAATTGTATTCTGTTTTACATCATTTCCGATATCAATGATCTTTATAAATGAAATGTTCTCATCCATATCTATTGGTTCATATACCTTAGCATATTATTCAATTCTCTATTGGAAATCTTAAGTAGCTTCATCTGATGACTTTCCTACATAATCAGGATTGTTCAATTTGGTCAACTAAATATTTCTTAGAATGACATCTTCATCATTGCATATTGATTCAACCCAAAACACTTATACTTCGCTAAACTTTTATTGTAATGTCTCCATAATCAATTTTCTTCTCTACTTCGTGGTATTTGTCCCATCATACAAACTCACATCTCCTTCATTCCTGAGATAATTTATCATGTCATTCAAAGCCAATAAAGCACATTCATCTCTAGCTTTCGATGCCTTCATATAATTATGATCTCTTACATCCTTATTGCCTGGATCAAAGAAATTCGAGTTGCAGTCTGTTCCACATATTTATCTTCTGTAATTTCCAATATTAAAAACTTTACTCTTGAAACCCATCCAATTCAAGTATCTGCAAATCTTTCTTGAAATGTAAGTCTTACCTCTTGCTGGTAATCCAACCATTCCTATTACCATCTTTTGTTGTTTTCCCAATTCTTGCATTAGATTTATTTTAATAATAATATTTATTCCACTCTTATAAAAATATAAAACTTCATTGTTAATATTATTTTTATAAATTCAAGTAACAACTATTGCAAATATCTAAATCGCAAAATCTATCTGAATACACAGCTTCTCCCCTTGAATAAATATTTATCATACACGAATCACAATAAACTTATTGAGGAGCCTTAAATAATCTAATATATTTACAATTGATTGAAATAGTAAAGCATGGCCGATAGGGCAAAGTCCTTACTAAATTTAAGGTTTTCGACATTTTTAACAATAACATGTTCTACACTGTTCACAAATATATCGAACTGATATATCAGAGAGCTTACACCTTGAACATGTTATTTGATTTTAAGGGTAAATCCATTTCAATTTGTGATTTAATTCACATAAAGGAATATCAAAATGTTCTTATTGTTGGACTTATGAAGGATCATATAATTTCATTTATTCTTCCTCTTCACCAAATAAAACTTATTGTTCTTCTTTATAAGGATTACCCAAATATGGCTATTTATTGTAATTTTATTGATCACCCAAATTTTTTTATTGTTTTTCACATTAAGGAACTCTTTCTAATAAATCAGAAATGGTTTTTATAGTTTGCTTTTAAAATAATTAAAAATTTTTCTCCATGTCTTGAATTTTTTCAACTAGTGACTTTATACAATCATGTTAACAGAAATAGCTATATTTTGTATTGCATTTCTAACAATAATCATCAAAAAGACCATCCTTTGTATCTTACTTTTTTTCAAATATGTTAGTAGATCTATCTGCTTTTTGGCAAATTTTAGTATGATTCTCCAAATTTTCCATTTTCATTTGTTCTGAACAATCCTTATTTCCACATCTAACAAGAAGTTAATTTATAGCATTAGTAACTATTTGATGAGGTTTCCGTATTTTATATTATTTACAATGACTAGGGCATGTCTATAAATATTACTAATTGAAACCTCATTATTGCAAATTGACATCCATCTTTATAGGCAATAGAGACAAAATATTTTTTAACATGACTCGCATTCTTAAGGTTTATAAACTAATGATTGGCAAATTTGGCATAATAAGAATTTATCGATACTTTATGGGTTTACTAAGTGAGATCTATATTCTTATGCAGAAGGATTTATTTTCATTATTTAAAATAATTTAAATAATTTAAAATGCTTAAATATATATTATCAAAATATCTTAGTTTTTTATTTCTAATCACGAAACTTTAGTTTTTCATTTGAATTAATCAAAGAAACAATTTTTTTAATTTGAGCTTATTAATATTACACAAAATTATTAATTATTGAAAATATTCTCACATATATATCTATAATTTAGTATAAATTTAATTTATCAAATCTTAATTGTTAATAATATTTTTATTAAAAATGGATTGGGCCAGATTAGAGATCATAGTCCCTACAATTCTCATTATTTTATATATCTTGTACTATAGAAAATTCAGATTTTACCTAATCGCTGAAAAAGCTCAACCAAATGTCATCAGACATAAATTAGCTCGAGGAACACCTCCTCCTTCATATCCAAATGGATGGTATAGACTTTGCAGAAGTACAGAGCTGAAGATAGGGTAATGAAATAAACTAATATATAATAGCTAAGTAGAAGAAATCAAATTTGCTGGTCGACATATTGCTTATTATAGAGGTACAGATAAAGTCGTTTATGCTGTTGCTGCTTATTGTCCACACATGGGAGCTAATCTTGGAATTGGAGGATAAGTCAAATTCAACTCCTGCATTGAATGTCCATTCCATGGATGGGCATTTGATGGTAAATCTGGATTATGTGTCAATTCTGAAAAATTAGATCCTAAAATTGTATCAACATATTGTTACAATAATATTGAAAATATGGATCCAAATAAGAAAGGAGAATATTTACAAAAAGTATAAGAAGGAGAAATCAAAATAAAAACTTATCTGGTAAAAGAATTAAGAGGGATGGTGTATATATGGCTCCATTGTTTGGAAGCTAAACCATGGTACGAACCAGTATCAGAACAAAGTGATCACCTTTAATTAAGAGGTGAGAGTGTGAATTATGTAAATTGTCACATTTAAGAAATTCCTGAAAATGGTGCTGATGCTAGACATTTTGATTATATTCATTCATCAGTAAATGACTATATTCCTACTTGGATAGTTAGTTTCAAATGGACAATGAAAAGTCTGCCTGCAAATGACCCAGATTTCTATAAGAAGATGGAACATAGCAAAGAGAAAGTTCGTAAATATTAAAAGAATCTATTCGATCAGTATTTATCAAATAAAGATTTACGATAATATATGAATGTTTTATGCTTGGATGCTTATTTGGTGTTCTTTAATAAATGGAAATTTAATGTTATTTGGGCAACTGGATTTTAGATGGGACCAGCAACTGTGGCCTTGTATGTATTGTCTGATGTTTTTGAGGCTTTATATAAATAGGCTATTCAACCAGTTGAAAGATTCAATTTGAAAGTGTTTCATACATTATACACTACAAGTTCACTGCCTTATTGGGCCAGTGCTTACATTTTGGGAGGAGAATTGAGATAAGTAATCGCGGATGTCAGTTTGTGGAATAATAAAATCTTTACCGATAAGGTTGCTTATAATTTAAAGGGTGATGCTGATCCTTTGCTATTGAGATGGAGATAATGGTATGCTTAGTTTTATGAGGGATCCAGGGATTTTGAGAAAAGTTTAGATGCTCTGGAATGGTGAATATGAATTTAATAAATTAAAAATGTTATAATAAGAATAATTATTTATTGTTCTAATAGTGTTAGTTATAATAGCAATCATCATCGCACATTTAATAACCAAATGCTAAGGAAAAGAAAAGGAGTAATAAGCAAAGGATAGATTGAGAAAGAAGTTTATTAAAAATAATATTGAAACATTAAATGACATGAATGAAGAAGAAGCTTAATTACTTTAAGAAACATTTAAGAATACACTTGAGAATTCCAAATAAGGAAAAATTGCAAAATATGATCCCAGGATGTAAAAAATATAGGAAATCAGACAAAAAACTGTGAAATTTATTCTTACACATGAATGATTTTATATTTGTATATAATCATAATATTGGATTGTTTTCTGGTTATATAGAAATAAAATTAATTAACAGATCACGAATTTTATTATTATTTTATTTATTAACAATGCTCTCTGATACCAAGTATGATATTTCACTATCAATAAGCAATCAACTTTCAACAAAATTGTCTCCTAAATTGAAAGGAATAATAGTGTCCTAATTAATCAAGACTTAATCAAATCTCACCTTGCAAGATGCATTTATAAGGTAAGCAACTTTCCAATTTATTTTAGATGGTAAGTAAGAACTAACCCTGAAATAGTGAAGTAAGCAGTTGACAAAATCCTATTAAACTCTAAGTTGAATTAATTTAACGCCTTCCACAAACTCAAATTCTTGTTAGGGTATTAAAAACTATAAGGTAAATAGCACAAAACCACCTAAGGAGGCCAGAATGAATGCAAGAAAAAAAAAAAATTTGAGTTTAATCAATTTGGCCTTATTTATTCAAAAAAAAGAATTATAACTCAAAAGATAGGCTATTGAATCAATTAAACCAACCTCACAAGATTCAAATAAAATGCTTGGCTTATTGATTTGGTCAATAAGTTCAAAGTATAGAGAAAGATATTTACGAGAAAAGTTTAATTGGTGGAAGTTAATTGCTAAAATTAAATCCAACAAATTAGAAAAACAATTAAAAGCATTAGAAAGATTAGGAGATGAATATAACATGAGAAATGATAGATTAGATAGATAAAGATTAAAAGAAGTATAATATATCTTAATCATAATCAGGCTTTTGAAATTTGGAGGGGAGACTTATTGAATTTCAGACTAAAGAAAAAGTTCTTTGCTGTTTTACTTAAAACCACATTTGGAAGGCTATAAAGATGTTATACAAGATGGGTCGATTTACCTGATAAAAGAGAAAACGACATTAAAAAACAAGGATTATTATTAATTAATAAATTAGGAAATAAAGTGGACTAAAATAAAAGGTTAGTTTGGAATGCCTTCAAAGATATTCATGATGAGGCAAAAAATAAAAAAACCAAAGTCATAAGAGAATTGATTGAAGTAACATTCAATTAATCTTATACAGCATTTTATAAATGGGCTAATTATAATACCTATGCAAAATTAACTGAAACTAATCTTAAAAAAATTAAATCATTGAAATAGAGTGCAAATGTAACTCACTAATTAGTCAAACAAGAAACCTTCAAGTTATTTAATCTTAGCAAAAAAATGTAAATCTGTTCATTCCTAGACAAAATTATTTTGAAATTGCAACAAAGGTAAAAATTGGATGCTTTGAGATTAATAGAAAATTACTGTGTTCAAAAGAAAATGGAAGAAAAACTCAATAATATAAACAAATACGACTTAATATCTAGATTAAAAGATACTGCCAATAAGACTGAAAAGGGGCTTCTTAAATAAGTCTTAAGAAAATTTCAAATTAATAGAGAAACATATGAGATTAAAGATAAATATTTCGGTAAGATTCTCCTATCTGTTAATGGATAATTGATTGATTCATTTAGAAAATGGAAAATATTGCCCAACCCTGATGATATCAATAACATCTAAAAGGTTTCAAAATTTCAGATGAAACTCCAACTGTTTGTAACAAATAAACACAAGTAAGCATATGATCCTTTAAAATATCTTTATTATGAAGCCTTGTAAAAAAAAAGATTTTGTATAAGATAATTATTTTCTGTTACGATGAGTGCTCCTTAGAGATATATAAAATAATGGCAGAATGTGGCAAGAGTCTATAAATCAGTAGTAGCATGTTAAAAAACGAATAATTTATTCTATTCTCTAGCTATGATAATACAGTCAAATCTGCTTACATTCATATAAAACAAAAAAGATGTAGACATTAAAGAAAAATGTATATAAAAAATATTAGCATCTCAACATAGTAATTTAGCAATTGCCTTCTTTAGGTGGAAAAGTCAGAATAAATAGGACTAAATTTTGGAGAGATTGGGAGATGAAAAAATGAAGTTTCTCATATTAAATTTAAAGAAATTCTTAGAAAACGATAAAAACTAAAGATTAAGAAGAGCTTTAAATTNCATGAGAAATGATAGATTAGATAGATAAAGATTAAAAGAAGTATAATATATCTTAATCATAATCAGGCTTTTGAAATTTGGAGGGGAGACTTATTGAATTTCAGACTAAAGAAAAAGTTCTTTGCTGTTTTACTTAAAACCACATTTGGAAGGCTATAAAGATGTTATACAAGATGGGTCGATTTACCTGATAAAAGAGAAAACGACATTAAAAAACAAGGATTATTATTAATTAATAAATTAGGAAATAAAGTGGACTAAAATAAAAGGTTAGTTTGGAATGCCTTCAAAGATATTCATGATGAGGCAAAAAATAAAAAAACCAAAGTCATAAGAGAATTGATTGAAGTAACATTCAATTAATCTTATACAGCATTTTATAAATGGGCTAATTATAATACCTATGCAAAATTAACTGAAACTAATCTTAAAAAAATTAAATCATTGAAATAGAGTGCAAATGTAACTCACTAATTAGTCAAACAAGAAACCTTCAAGTTATTTAATCTTAGCAAAAAAATGTAAATCTGTTCATTCCTAGACAAAATTATTTTGAAATTGCAACAAAGGTAAAAATTGGATGCTTTGAGATTAATAGAAAATTACTGTGTTCAAAAGAAAATGGAAGAAAAACTCAATAATATAAACAAATACGACTTAATATCTAGATTAAAAGATACTGCCAATAAGACTGAAAAGGGGCTTCTTAAATAAGTCTTAAGAAAATTTCAAATTAATAGAGAAACATATGAGATTAAAGATAAATATTTCGGTAAGATTCTCCTATCTGTTAATGGATAATTGATTGATTCATTTAGAAAATGGAAAATATTGCCCAACCCTGATGATATCAATAACATCTAAAAGGTTTCAAAATTTCAGATGAAACTCCAACTGTTTGTAACAAATAAACACAAGTAAGCATATGATCCTTTAAAATATCTTTATTATGAAGCCTTGTAAAAAAAAAGATTTTGTATAAGATAATTATTTTCTGTTACGATGAGTGCTCCTTAGAGATATATAAAATAATGGCAGAATGTGGCAAGAGTCTATAAATCAGTAGTAGCATGTTAAAAAACGAATAATTTATTCTATTCTCTAGCTATGATAATACAGTCAAATCTGCTTACATTCATATAAAACAAAAAAGATGTAGACATTAAAGAAAAATGTATATAAAAAATATTAGCATCTCAACATAGTAATTTAGCAATTGCCTTCTTTAGGTGGAAAAGTCAGAATAAATAGGACTAAATTTTGGAGAGATTGGGAGATGAAAAAATGAAGTTTCTCATATTAAATTTAAAGAAATTCTTAGAAAACGATAAAAACTAAAGATTAAGAAGAGCTTTAAATTTATTTCATTCGAATCTTTAGTTAGCATAATAAATAAAGAAAATTAATCTTAGATTAATGTAGACCTTAATAGGATAAGTGAATACTAGCTTCTAGAAATGGAGATATTTACCTGAAGATAGAGTAAATGGAAAAACTGTCAAGGTAAGTAAATTCATGATGTCCCTTGGCATAGTTGCTTATAGATTTGTGAAAGTAAATTCATGGAATATCTTGGAAGATTATCTATTGGAGGGTTAAGCTAAAAAGAAGTATTGCATAAATAAAATCTTTTCTGTTGGATAAAGCGATTTAAAAACAGCGTTTTTATCTTGGCATAGAAGATCATGGGAAATGAAAATGTTTGATCAATTTTCTTAACTGAATGTTACATTGAATGATGAAATAATTAAATAAAGATTAGTTAATTGGATTAACTCTGGAAATAAAGTTAAGCATTATGCATTAATCGAAATTTTAAAGAGATTCCATTAAAATGGCTAATCTCATAATTTAAGAAGAAAAGCATTAGCAATAATACATAGAAATACAATCTCTTAAGTTTGGATATCATTTAATAAATGGAAATAAATTCCCGAACTTGATTATTCCTAATTAGCCAAAGGTACTAAATTTGAATAATCATTTAATCATTTCTTAATTCGTCAAGCTAAGAAAAAGATTTGGAATCCATTATACGAAATATATGATGATGCACTTGCAATAAGAAAAAGAGCAGTATTGCTCCTTGTGAAAACATAAGAATCAGAACAACAAAAAGCTCTTAGCAAATGGAATAAGAACGTATCTTTGATTTAGGAAGTTGAGAGATGCAAAGGTGTTATATTACTATTTAAATTTGTGGGTGATTAAATTTAATGTAATTTGTAAATTATTTAACCAAATTAAGAGTCAAGATTAAAAGAAAAAGCGTTGTTGAAAATAATTGGAGGTAATTATGATTTCATAAGATATTTTTTTATCAGATGGACAAATTATTTAAAATTTGAAAGAATATAAGCAATAGTAGGAGAGAAAAAAGAATTTCTAATCCGCTAGATTGGATTTTTTTATAGAAATAACATGAAATCTAAATTAAGATTGGCATTGTCTAAATTCAAAAGAAATTCAGTTCTTAGTGCAGTTTAACAGAAGTTTTTTTCAAGATTATTTTCTACCAAGTTTGGAGGAGCAATCGTAGCTTTTTAGAAATGGAAAAATCTTCCTGAAATTTAAAATTATGAAAATGTAAAAAAGGGAAGAAGATTAGAAAAACTACTGGAAAACCTTTATAGAGGCAGAATCAAATTATCATATGAACCATTAAAAGATGAGTATTAAGAAGCTATGAATAAGAAGATGCATTGTATTAGAAAATTAATCATCTTAGGAATGGGATTAAATAAGAGATTGTTTTTATAATGGAGAAATACAAATAGATTATTGAAATCAATTGAAACTTGTAAGTAAACCACAAATTTCTTTTAAACTCTTGCATTTACATTATCTGGAAATGTCTAAGTCATTTTTAAGACCAATCAAATTTAAGAGAGACTCTTTGACAAAATGTTCTCTTAATATAACAATTTATTAAGATGGGCATTCATTAAATGGAATAATTAAGCTAAATCAGAAAAGATTGCCTCGTAGATGGATGTAGAGAAACGAAAGTTTTTGTTGTTTGCTCTTTAAAGAAATTTGAAACATAATCAAAATGGATAATTAAGGGATATATTGAGAAAATTTAATGATGGACGAAATAGAATATATTTAATTAAAAAAATATAATTGAAGTTTTTACATACATTAGCAGGTTAGGCTGAAACCTCATTTTTTAAATGGAAACAATTACCTGATCCTTCTAATTTAAAGCAAGCATCAATATTTGAATAAAAATTACATTTTTTTAAGTTGTAAGTTTTAAGAAAGAGTAGTTTTAAATATTTACAAAACATATATTAGGACGGATAAGCCAAATAAAAATATTCAATCAAAAAGTTGTTATTTAATTGTATGAGTGCAGAAAAGAAGGCATTCTTAGAATGGAATAAAGTAAGTGAATTGTAAAGGACAGAAGAGAGAGCCAGTAAAGTTTTTAGTTTCTTCGGTTCAATAAATAAAATTCAATCAAATCATATGTACTTCTTCTTTGAGGATTAGATTAAAGAATTAAAAAAGTAAGAAGAACTAGTTCGATTATTAAAAGAATGGGAAGAAATGTTCAAAGATTCTTATTAGAAATGGAAATAAACTCAAGCTAAATTAGATTTATTGGCCAGCCAAAATAGGTAGAAGTAAAAATTTTCTATCATTGAAATACTAAAAGATTATATTTAAAATAAAAAGAATTACAATTTAAGATTGATTTTGAGAAAATTCAGTAATTAAAATTAGAATCAAAAGGCAGTTAATAAATTTTTATTGGGAATATCAAATTCCTCAATCGGCTAATTACATAATTCATTTTAAATGTGGAGAAGATTACCTGAGCCTTAGAAAACTAAATAAGGATATATATTTGAAAAGAAAATGTTTGGTTTATTTAGAAGACAACTCTTAAAATCATTCGATAGTCTACAAGATCTTTACTTTTACGCATTAAACAAAAAGAGAAGAGTTGTATTAATATTGGTAAGAACCACAAAATCATAATTATAATAATCAGTACAAAGATGGCGTGAAGCAAAAAATTAAATGAATTAAAAAGAAATACAGAATGTATAAGAAAATAGAAAGTTAGCAATATAATTGTTTTATTAACATAAAATGAATTAGTTGAATGTTGCGTTTATTGAATGGAGAGATACTATTAGAATACACACAAATAAATAAGAAAATAAGATTCAAAAAGAAGAAAGATTGAAAAGAGAAGCTATTTTATTGTTTCAAAATCATGCTTATGTGAGGCTAAGAGTTTATTTCACTTAATGGAAGATAAGGGCAGTCAAAAGAAATATGATATAGATTTGCTAGGCAATCTAAAGAATGATTTAATTAAATAGATTTGCTGAAAAAGCCATTAAGAAATATGTTATGGATATTTGGAAGGGGCAGCCTTCGCAGAATAAGTGGTTTAAGAGAGTAGCTGATATTATAGCCAAGAATTCAAGAATTAGTAAGCAAGTAGCTTATTGGAGAATGAGAGACAATAGCTTAAACTAAAAAGCTGTTGGGTTATCTACTTAATAAATTATTAAATGCAAGAAGCTTTTCAATAATTTATTTAAAGCTTTTGATAGAATCAAGCAAAGAGCATTTACTCATTTAGAACATTATGGTAAAGGTATTCCAGATGATACTTCATTCTAACCTTCACACTCTAGTTTCCTTCAATAGACTCCAATTAAGGAAGCTTTCTTTAAATCAGATTTCGATTCAATCATCTAAAAGAATGGTCAAAAGATGGCCCTTAATACTATTTCAAGGGTCTTTAAAGGATATTTCAAATAGAGATTTATTGAATTTATGATTGAATTGGATGATTAGAAACAAAAAAGTCTGTCTACTCCATAAAAAAAGGGAGCAGAGAAATTGTATGCAATTCTGGAGCAAAACTTGAAATTGAAGCAATAGGTCATTTGTTATTAAATATCATAAGTAATTATAAATAGAATTAATCTAGGTTAATGAATAAGGAGTTTTGAATTAGATTAATGAAATTATTAATTATTAGCAATCAACTTAAAGTGCAAGTAGGTTAGAATTAAGCTAAATAAAGGAGTAGTAAATAAAAATAAATGATTAAGACAGAATGATAGAGGATTTGCAAGAAAAATTAAGATGTATGGCAATTCACAGGTTTAATTTCATTATAGATCTTTTAGATTAGTCAAAGCCTTAGAAAAATGTGAAGATCATTTTATTGAAGATGCATTTTTTGCCATTTTTGAATACTAACTTAAATGAATAATTATCGTATAAAATTAAGCAATATCAATATAATTTGGTTGATGAAATTAAAATTATATATTTAATAATGGGAAACACAACTTCTAATCATCCTCAAATCACAGGAGTTTTTAGTGAATACTCTTTTCACCATAAAAATTGTCTTATTTCCTCTCATTCTACATAAAGAAAAATATTAAAGGCTGCTTCGAAGGGAAATGAAATACCTCATAGAAGTAATCGTCGATTTGCTCCTAATATTCTCAAATCGTTAGAGTTCAAAAGTGAAGGCAATCATTACATCTAAATGAAACAATATAAAAAAGCAATTGAATCATACACACAAGCAATTGTAAGTTGTATTACCTAAAATAGAATCTCTATGATCATGATTCTATCTACTTCTCAAATCGATCAGTGGCTAATAAGCTTCTCAATAGATTCTAGGAAGCAAAACAAGATGCTTAATAAGCAATAAAAATAGATAAGTGTAATTCAAGAGCTCATTTTCTTTATGGAACTGTAATTTTGATTGAAGTCCAAATGTTTCCTGATATTAGTGAGGCACTCATAAAGCAAGCATTATTAGGAATTGAAGAACTTGAAAAAGGTAATATAGTCTTTATATTTATAGCTTCTGATTAGGTTAAATAAAATAAAAATGAATAAAAAAATAAATTAAAAGTCTTGATTAATCAAAATTTGGCTAAAGGAAAAAGAATGATTTATTTGATAAGATAAGAAATTGATAAAAGAAGTACTCTTTTTATAATCATTCTTAAATAGATATCCTCTCTCTAAAATAAACATTAAAGGATATTGCACATAGATAGCATTAACAATTAGATTGGAATCTTATCGAGTAGAATATCCACAAAAAAACCGAAATTATTTTGCCAGAATACTTTTTATGCCCTATAACCTATGAAATAATGGATGAACCCACACTTCTCAATTCAGGATTAACTTATGATAAAATTAGTATCCAATAATAATTTAAATAAAATGGTTATGTGGATCCTATTACTAGAGAAAACATTGATCCTATGGGATTGATTTAAAATATCTAATTATAAAATGGTATCCAATAAATTCAATAATAATACGGATGGATAGGAATAGAAAATGAAAGAGATTACAAGGCAATTAAATTTGAATGAGATACTTTGTAATATGTATTAAAAAGAATGATTCTCGTTTCTTTTTGTTTCGTCTTTTTTAACGCTTTTTCTTATTCGAATTTTCTTATTCCTCTTTCTATATTAATCTAATAGAGTCTATCTATTTCTTACCTAATTTTCTTACTAGTTAAACTTTTGATATACACCTTATATTTTTAATAATTCCCTTATATATATTATAATAATTAGTATCCAATAATGAATAATTCACTTTGAATAAATTTTTGAGGTTTTTTAATTCTAATTCTCTATTAAAGAAAGTTTCCTCTTGTGATGAAAATTATTAATATTTTACGATAATAGTTACTATTTAGTTATAATTAAGTGATATTGAATTCTATTTTTCGAATGTTGTAAATATAATCCCATTGAACTTTAATATTAATTTTTCTTTATATGAGTGATTGCAATTCTCAGATGAGTATTAGATTCAAAAAATTATATTTTATTTAAACTGAAAAATTTAATAATTGTTTCAATTAGATTCTGCACTACTCAATATTGTTATCTAGCTCCTCCTAATTATGATAAAATTAAATAAATACAGATAGCCAATCAGTTTATAATAAGTAATCCTATAATAAGCAATAATTGTTCATAGATATTAAATCTTCATTATCAAGAGATACATCTTAATGCAAGTTGAATACAAAACTTAGATCATAAGAATGATTGCTAAAATAATTTACTATAGCAAGTACAAGTAAAATGCTTCGGCTAATTGTTTTCTTACCTTTGGTAAATTTAAAAAAATATAAATCTAATAATTTACTCGCTAGTTATTATATTAAAAATGTGTTAAATGAATTGATGAAACAATATTATATTGATTGATAAAATATCAATAGTTAATTAAACGCTAGCAGCTAATTTATTTATGGATTAACTTTTATGAGTTTCTTTATATATTAACTAAAACAACGTTTAAGTGTATTCTTTAACCATAGGTAATGATTGTATTTCTTCCTTTTATAAAACAAGAGAAGCTGTTTTAAATAAAGGTAAAACTACTCTGTCATCTAACTCATATAATTTAAGGATTTCAATTAAATTAGTCATTAAGAGATCAAGATTTTAATTCAGATGGATATATTGTACTAAAGCTTCTTCACTATATTTTTAGATTGATTCACTAATTCCTCCCACACTTATACATAATCCGGTTAGGATGTATCTAAAAAATGTAGGATATGCAAGAATGGGAACAATTTGTCTATAACAACAATGAGGTAAATTCCAATGATAAATTAAATCTGTTTTTCCGATATTTTATAGAAAATGTTTTAGATTTCTAATTTCAGCCTCAATAATTTCACTTTAAAATTTTTGATCAACTCTTTCTTAATCCTTTATTATAGTCTATTATAAATTAGCAGTTGAGAATATTGCTGATATTTATTCGTAATTTTCGAATTATTACAATTTTGGTAACACCGATTTAAATAAATCTTACAAAACACTTCCAGCTAATAACCTCACTCTATCAATTTTTTCGCATAATTACTATAATAATTATCCAATAATTTTTATAATATATTATTCATTTATAATATAATATTATTGATTTGATTTCTCTCAATGTAACCTACATAACTAGTTATAATAGATTAGATAGCAATAATTGAGTTTTCTCTGATAAATAAACCAACGTCTCCTTTTTTATTGACTGTGTAATCTAACATTGCATAAAGAATGCAATCAATAATAGGTATAGTAGAACTATTACAGTTGTATTGAGATAAATTTTATTTTATTTCACTAAAAAGTAGAGCTATTGAAAATTTGAAAATAGATTGGATATTTTAAGCATGATAGATCATTTTGGATTAGTCATTTTTTGCTTTTGGTTTATCTGATCTAATTTTAGAAAAATCATGGATCAAATTACAAGTCTTTTTTTGAAATTTCAAAACATCTTTCTAATCACATTTCTTGGTTGATAAAGGTCATCATAGCATATAAAAAAAAAATCTTCATTATGTTATTAATTTGAGCAAAAAAATTGTAGAAGATTATGCATAAAATAAGCATTTCCAGTATTAATTAATTTGATTTTAATCTACCAATATGAACTTATATAGATTTTTGAAGAAATAGGTCACATTTCGATAAGATTTTTATTATAATTGTAGATTTAAAAAAAACATAGAAAAAACTGTTTTAGTTTCTAAATATTTCCTTCAAAATTGAAACTGCTAAAGTTTGAAAATTTTGAATAAAAATACCTATCCTTTTTGCATCTATTTAATTATAAATCCAATTCACATTTTCGATAAATCAATATGTATAACAAAATGATTATTAATACAAATTATTGAGATTCTTTTAAGCTGAATAGTTTATAAATGTTAATTGAAAAGTTTAATTATATATTTATATAGATATTTTAAGTTTACAATTAAAAGATAATTTTACGCTAATGAGATTCTTAAATAATGTATTAATTTTCATTGAAATGATCAATTATATTGTTTTATTGTTTTATTTTATATTTTAAGTCTAAGTCATTAAATTATTAATACAAATTAATGAGATTCTTTTAAGATGGATAATTTATTAATTTTTATTAAAAAGAGTAATTATATGATTCGATATTTTGTTTTAAAATTGACTTTATAATTCTAAGTTAAATATAAATTAATGATTCTTTTGTGATTAATAATTTTATAATTTTTATTGCAAATGAATTTGGTTATTTTTAGATTTTTTTCTGTTAGTTAAGATATTTATATTTTTAAAGTAATTATTTCAAGAAGATTATATTATAAAGAATACATATCTTGGGTGTTTCAGTAATATATTTATGAAGTTTTTTATTTCCAATATTTTCAAAAGTAAGATAAATGATATATATTAATTAAAATTTAATTGAGCCCATGAATAATATTGAACTCTTCAAATTTATTACCAATAACAAAATTTTTTTCTAATAATAACCTTCTTTAGTAATCTAAAATTATTAATCCAAATAGCGTTTAATTCAACATCATAAAAACAGAAATGTATCTAAAAATAACATTAATTTTTTAATTAATAATTTAACATTATTAATTCTAAGATTATTAATTGTATTACTTTGTATCAAAATTAAATAAAAAACGATATTAGCATATATCCTTGATGAGTCTGTGAGAATCCTGCCGAATACAAGTGTAGGTTTGAAGGAGTAGGCTGAGAATGGGTCCAATGACATAGAGAACCAAGAAATGGTATTCGGAAATAAAGTCAGGTTTAAAGAAAAAGAGGCCCCCAAAATCTCGGTCTAGCTTAGATGCTAAAGATCTACCACAATAAATAGTTTACAATTTTTTAAATTATGTAAACAATAGTTTCTATTAAATTCATTTAAATTGTTATCTATTCTAATAATCAATAAATATTATTTCATACAGTTCTTTTTCCTCAATATATGATTAATACATTAGGATTATTTATAATTATTAATATTTTAATAATATTAGAAATTTACGTCATATAATATATTATTTGAAACTGGAATTTTTAATCACCATTGTATTCAATTAGGTATTCTCCAATAGCACTAATTTTTGTGGCATTTTTTTGGCTATTTTTTTTGGAATTTTTTAATTTTGCTCAATATAAAAATATAAATATAATCATAAATTTCGATATATGTCTATTATCCTTAAATAATTGTTAAATGATAATATCAAAAGTCTTATAGTTCATAAATGTTATATGATGATGATGTTTTATCAAACATTACTAAATATTAGCCATTATTAGACAAAGTTCCATACATTATATTTGTTTAGTATTGTTTTGTAAAAACAATTTTATATTATCCATTATTCTATTTTCTTAATATATAAATGTAGTCTTTGTATCGAGTGAATAATAGGTTTACTTCTGGTTTAAATTCAAATGATTAATGTAATGAATCTAAGAATTTATATTAATCTTTAAAATCAATCTTATAATTTTGTTTAACAATTCTGTCGTTATATGAATATTTATATGAGCTATAACAATTTTTTCCTCCTTAGATTAATATAAATTCGTCATCTTCCAAAAATATTGCCTTGCATAGGTCTTCTTTATATTTATCCTAATATTTAGTAAGTTCAGTCATTGGTACCCATTTATTTTCCTTTGACTGTTTCCACATCATTATTTTATCTCCGTATCCACAGGATAATAGTAGATTTTCTGAATGATTTAGACTCAATGAAGAGACCCACCCACCCTCACTCATTTTGATTAAATATAAAAATTCTAACTTATTTTATCTGAGGTCTAGAGCCAAAATATTAATAATCTAGCTCCTGCTCCCATATATGATTTAATCTTCCTTGGAATTCAGTACTAAACAGGTAATTTCATGATGCTTATTTTCTTTCTCAATTTTTTCTTTTTGTTCCTTATATGATAATGACTTTTCCCAAAAATTCATTGATTTTTCTTTCCAACAAATTATTTCAATGCAACCAGAAATAAAAATATTCGATTATTTACTAAATATTAAACAATTAATGATATTTGATAATTGTAATTTTTAACCAAAACTCATAAGACCTTTATTAAAATTCCAAATCATTATTTCTCTATCATTGCTTGTAACTAATATATTTCCTGTAGAATTAAATGCCAAAGCTGAACAATTTTGATTTTATTTAATAGGGTTGCTTATTTAGTTCAAGTTAATTTTACCATCCTTTGAAAGTTACCATTCTTATTTTTCTAATTGTTTTCTTTCATCGTTAATATCTCTCAGTTTTTAAAACAATTCTTTGTATTGATGTGTATAATGTGCATCAATTAATTATTTAATTCCAGTTTTCAACTTATTTAACTATGAGAAATTAATTTTATCAAAAAAATCAAACTAGAAAGAATGCATATATTGTTTTGTACTCCTAATATAATCCTCTAATTCATTGCAGAAGCTATAAATACGAGAATCTTCTTTTTTTTAATTCAATTCTCTCATCCAAATTTAAGTATTATTTATCATCATTTCAATAGATGATGTCAATTTAGTCTTTAAATTTTCTAGATTGAGATTGTATTATTATATTATTTAAATGTACTAATCTGCAATATCGTTTATCATAGCTCTCCTTTTCATTTATTTATCTTCAATGATCTTTTACATAGCAACTATGCTTATGCTCTCAAATACTTAAAGTTAATTATCCAAACATTCTTTACATAAAAACCTCTCATTATTGTTGCGCCGTCTATCAATCAAAATCGCAGTTACTGCTTAATCATGTTTTTCTATGCACTTAAATTCATTATAATTTTCAGACATCTATAAGCCTTGCATATTCTTTTAAATAAATATTTAAATTATCAAATTTTGCTCTTAATTAAAAACTGAGAAGATAAACTAATTGCCTTTAATTTAATATCTTTTAAGATTATTCTACCCAATGATAAATGCAAATTTTTCTTGGTACATATTGCAACTATTCTTAAATAATTCTTCTCTAGGTTGATAATATTAAGAAGTACAATTTCTTTGAAATATACTTTGGGAAAACTCTAAATATAATAAAATGTTCAGGAAAAATATTTAAAGTATGATTAATATCCAATTCTCATTAAAATATGATTCAAATAAATCAGTCTGAGTGATGAATATCAATTTACTTTATTGGGTTCTTTAGATAATATTATGTTTCAAATATTGTAAATATTGATTTCTCTCCTAATTTGATGGTTATAAAGTTTCGTAGTTCACAACAGTTTCTTAAGTAAATATTATAATTTATATTCAAACTCTCTTTTAATGAATTCAAGAAGAAGTCTATCATTGAATTACAGTCATTAGTAGATGTATTTTTTGATAATGTTAATTTTCTAAAGTCAATATATTTGATAATTTTACAGATATATTAGTTTATAAAGAATTTATGTTAAAGTATTTGTATTTATTAGATAATTGCTGGCTTTACAAAAATAGGAATAGAAACTACTTTTGTCAAATTAAGAAAACAGAATAGTCTACCAAAGAGTGGTTTTGTAATTATAGATGATTGAAAAAGAGATAAATCTTAATTGTAATTAGAAACACTTTTAAAGAATAGAAAATGTCAGTTTAAATCCATAGTTGCAAAAAAGCGAGAGATTATTATTTTATCAAAGTTTGTTGAATTCAAATTTGGATGAAAAAAAATGAATTACAATGCAACTGTTTAGGTGATAAATGAAACCTAGTAAAAAAAGAAAGAGAAACTAGAAAACTTATTAAACACTAATTTTGGATAAATTGAACAACTTTAAAGAGAGGTTTGTATTTTTAAGAGTAAAATAATTTAACAGTGTGACAAAGTAATTTCATCTACAAATGAATGGATTAAAATTTATAATCCTTTGGTTATTAAAATATGAAATTCAGCATATTTGATGAAATTGATGATATTATTTGAAATGACAAAGTGGTATTTTCAAATCAGCAAAATATCTTTTCAGAATTAAATTAAATTAATTAACTATATATTGATAAAGTTATTGATTAAATACAAAATTTAGATTTCAAAGAAGTGCTAATTAAGAATTGCGAGAATTTAAATCTAAAACTAATTAATATTAATTTAGAATTTGATAAATAATTTTTACAGCTATAATAACAGTAAGTTTAGGGAAGTTATTTAACTTAGATAAGAAATGTTGAAAAATAGCTAAACCTTTATCCATCTAGTGGAATTGTTAAAATGGTACCAATCCACACTTTAAAGCTATCAAAGAATTTCAGTATGCCTTCTGCTTTTAATACAGATGGAAACTTATTAATAACCTCAGATTACTTAAACAATATCATAGTTTGGTATTTTGATAATGGAAAACAAGATCAAATAACAACTATTGAGGTTGGTATAACCCCGAGAAGTATTTTATTAAATAGACAGGGTAATCACTTAATTATAGGTTTGAATGGTGGAGGAATATATATGTGGAAGCAAATTAATGAAGAGGAGTGGAGAGGATCATAATTATATATGAAACATGAGTTTTGGATTAAACAATATGATATTAAATAAAGCCGAAGATCAATTATTTACTGGAGGTGAAGATCCTTTTATAAATTTTTGGGGTGTGGATTACTTAAATAATGAATTGACATTCCTTTATAGTTTAGATTCAAAAACCATTACTATTTTTCGTTTAATTTTAATGATTCAGAAAATCTATTGATATCTTGCAGTGTTTGTGAATACATAATATGGTAGAAGCAATAATCAAAATGGGAATATTTATGTAATGAAAAGATAAAACGATAGTTCTAAGCCAAGTTTTTGAAAGATAACTGTTTCTGTCTATTACCAATTAATTAGCAAATAAATTCCCTTCTTATTAACGAAATTTATAAAGGATGTTTTAAGCAAACCGAAGCTAAAACAATAAAATTAATCTAAGATAATGATCGGGAGGAAAACATGAATTCCCCTATGCTATACAATAAATTGAAAACTATTCTTGTTGTTAAATCAAAGGGGTTTATTTATATTATTAGATAAACCAAAGTTAATAGTTTTGAGGTTGTTGGGAAAATTGTTTGTTTAAAGCGAGTACTTTCAGATGATGGAAAATTTTTGATTTTCTTTGATATGCCTACATCGAGTGTAATTACTTATGAGTTATTATATGAATGAATGAAGGAAATTTAAGTTTATCGAATTTAATGCTAATTCTTAATTCATCTCCAATCTTTATTACCAATTTTAATGGATAATGTATTAAAGCAGCTTTTATTCATTAAAGATGTATCAATTTATCAATTTTCTGTAACTCTTTAAAATATTAATTAGTTATCTCAAGTAGTGATTTGCTAATGATTAATATATCTCTTTTACTCGAGTCCTTCAGGCTCTAAAAATTAATAAATTATTGTATTAGAAATTCATTAGGAAGGATCTTGAAAAACATTATATTTTTTATCAAAAGTATAAAAGAGAAGATCTAACAGATATATTATTTTATAGTTTATTAAGACCGTAATATTAATTATATTAATCATCTACTTGCCAAATCATATATGATAAGTTAGTATTGCTTTTTATTCTTTTTTCTTTCTTTCAATTTCCAACCAAATACCTACCTTTTTACCTTCAATATATTCCCCAACATAAATAATTTAGTTCAAATCTTTAAAGTCATCAGATATTTCAATCCACTTACCAACCTTAATTCCATTGCTTCTTTCATCATAAGATCCTCCTCCACTAAATATTTGCCCTATTTTATTTAATATTACATTAATTCAAAGGGTAACTTAACACTATATCTGTAGTAAATATCCCATTTACCAATTTTTTTATTACATTAATATTTGCCTCTATAAGTAACTTGTGAATAATCCTTAAAACCATTACTTAGCTCTATCCAGTATCCGATCTTAATTCCATTATTAAATTGATCATATAATCCTCCACCTCTAAAAAATATTGCTTTTAATTTTTATAATTCTACATCAATTTATAAGGCTCATCAATATATCTCCTATACCAAATATCCCAAATACCTATTTTTTAACCTTTCTTGTATTCACCACTAAATGTAATTTAAGAATTATCTCCAAACACATCACTCACTTCAGTCCATTTACTAACTTTAATGCCATTATCATATTATCCACCTCCTCTAAAAATATTGCTTTTTTCAATTTACATCTTTTTGTATTTTTCCTCCTCCTTATAAAAAATTGACCATCTACCAACTTTTTAACCAAAATTATATTCACCTTTCAAAATGACTTAAGAAATCTTTCTAAAATTTTCGCTTAATTCAGTCCACATCCCATACTTAATGCCATCATGATATTGTCCTCCACCCCTATAAACATAATATTAGATTGTAAAATTTTACACTTATTTATTCATTTAATCTTCATCATGCTTCTTATACCAAATATCCCACCTACCAAGTTTTCTCCCTTAATCATATAAACCACAATAGGTAACTTATGAATACTCATAAAATCCATCACTCAGTTCTACCCACCACCCATTCTTAATGCCATCGCTTCTTTCATTATATGACCCACCTCCGCTAAGATTCATGCTTTTAATTTTCACTATTTACATTTTATGATTCTCCTCATCACCTTCATATCTTCTATACCAAATATCCCATCTGCCAATTTTGCCCCCATTTTTATATTTACCGCAGTATGTAACTTGGGAAATGTTCCTAAAACCATCACTTAACTCAGTCCACTCCCCAATTTTAGTATCATTACAATATGACCCTCCACCACTTAAAATAAAACTTTTAATATTGATATCTTACACTTGTTTATTCCATTAATCTCTATCCCCCTTTCGATATAGCATATCCCATCTACCAACTTTCTTTCCATTCTTATACTCACCATTATTTATCACCTAAGAGTCCTCATAAAACTCATCACTCACCTCTACCCAAAACCCAGTCTTAGTGCCCTCATTTATTACATCATAGTTTCCACCGCCACTAAAAAAATATTTACCATTTATCTTATATATTACATTTGCTGGTTCTGTTATTTTCCTCGCCTCTTATAACATATATCCCATTGTCCAATTTTTTTTCCACTTTTATATTCTCCAATAAATGTGACTTAAGAATACTCATAATATCCATCACTTAACTCGATCCATTTCCCTACTTTAATATTATTCCAGTATGAACCGCCTCCACTAAAAATATACACTTTATTGTGAATATTGTACATTTATAAGTTCTTTTAATCTTTAGCATGGTTTTTATACCATGTTTCCCAGAGGCCAACTTTTTTATCATTTTAGTATTCTCCAACATAAGTAACTTGAGAGTAAAAATGGAATCCCTCTTTTATCTCCACCCATTTTCCACTTTTTTAAGAGTACAAATTATAAGTTCCTCCGTTACTATATGCTATTTATTCTACAAATACATCTTTTGTTGATCAAACTCATAACTCCACTTTCCTATTCTAAAATCATTTCTATATTCTCCAATTTCAAGAATGCAAGCTTGACTAAATTCATAATTAATAATAACTTCATGCAAAAACCTTTGGCACAGTCCACCCACAATCCTTCCTTAACTCCCTAAATGTAAAATCCTCCAACATTTGAGAGGACTTTTTAATTCCAGGATGCATTCCAAATACCCTTCCTTCCATTACTTTTGCCATAATCTCCCTTCCATTTAAGATATTTGATTTATTCTAAATTATTTAATATTTCAGGTGAGGTTGAGATTTCCTAATCATTTTGTCTATGATAATAAAGTCAATATTTATTACATTCTTAGAATTTAACCATCATTTCCTAAATATTTGATCTACCTTCCAGAAATAACTTCAATTTCAAACTAAATGCTTGTGAACCTTTTTTTTATGTTATTCCATAACTATCCATCCTACTTCTTTCTTATTGACTTCAACTTGAAATCGAACTTTAAATTTCTATTTATTTTTTCTAGATTATTAATTAAACAAGATTGAATTTCATCAAATTAGCTTTAGAATGATTTCAATTTTTTTTCAACTTTATCCAACTCATTTCCATCTTTTAAATTAATAATTTTGGCCAAATCATCAGATGAAAATTCTTCAGGAGACGAATATTTAAAAAATAAATTCTCGTAAATTGAGAGACTAATTTCAATATCCTAAATATATTGTTTCACCTACTCAAACTTTATTTAAATGCATTCAATCTGATTCTCTAAAGACTTTCTAATATTGTTAAATTTGGAAAAATTAGATAAATTAGATTTTTTATATTTTTCAATTTTTTTTCGTACATCTGTGATATATTTTTCTTAAAATTCAAAACTGGAAAGGAATTAACTAGGATCTGCATTATGAGAAAATTGGCAAATTAAACAATATTTTCTTTCGATATCATTAGGATCTATGCAAATCTTATTAGCTAATTTATTGGGATGTTGATGACAATACTTGTTGAAGTTCTGCATTTTCTCAAATTTAAAATGATTTTATTTCTATTACTTGATAGTAAAATTTTCTGATTCAAATGTTATAAATTTTGAATTAATATTCAATTAAATTAATGTGTTTTATCTATATATTTTATAGTGGAGTGAAATTTTTAATTCATCAAAATAAGAATTCAATGTATTTATAAATATAGCACCTACCGATTTAATTTATAAATTATTTACAAATAATGAAAAAATCTTAATGATTGTTATTAGATGGTTAAGAATCCTTAATCGAAGCTAGATTTTTGAATATGCAGTAAAAATAGAGAAATAACAGAATTTTACATAAAATTTATATAGTGCTTCCTCAGCTTTTAATCAAATTAGTCTTATGTAGTAGAATAATACAAAATACTAATTATTAAGAGGATAGATTTTCTTATCTCTCAAAAATCAAATCATCTAAAGAACTGATTACTTCTCATCTAAGAAAATCCCCGTCAGTAAAATTGATTAACTTTAAATCTAATAAAATTAACTTATCATCCTCATCTAAGAATGAATGCAACTTAGAATAGGTAATAAAATTTAAGTAAAATTCTGATATTGGTATATGTTATGTTGCTCCTTGTTAAAATGGCGGATAGTTTTGATGATATATCTTGTCAGTTTAGATAAAATAATATGTGATAATTTAAAATGTCAATTTTAAATGTTATAATTATAAATACTATATATTTTATTTATCATTAAAAATGAATTAATAATTATATACATTAAGGAAGGAACTCATTTTATTTGAAACATTTTAGATGAACAATTAATAATAATAAACAAGCTTTTATAGAGAAATATATACTTCAATAAATTCATAATGATCTGGCTCGGAATTTATAAATTCATTAACTAACCTCTTACAAAATCTTTGATTATCAAGATTAAACTTTAAAATAATAAATTAATTAAATAGCTTTACCCAATAACAATTTATTAACTTGTTTATTTTCAAAAATATATTTGATTCACTATTAATGAAGTGCATCATTCAATTCTAGAATGATTAATTCTCTTGAGATAAGATATCTTTGGCACTCAATCTACCTTACTGCACAATAAGCTATAAGAGTTGTATCATCAAAATAATAGGGGAAGAATCAAAAAATATTAAGATTTCTAATCTGTAGATATGATATTTTCATTATAGTAATATCATTAATTTAAACATTCACACTCGGGATGTCTTTAAGAAAATCCATTCATGCATTGAATTGACCTCATATTTTTTATTGACATGCATTCTGATTCGAAATTCTATATGCATTATTCGATTTTGCAATCTTCTTTATGTATAGGTATGGTTGTACTTTAACAAAATATTTACCAACAATTATATCTAAATATTTGAATATAACGTACAATTTTATTAGTTTCTTATTTCCTAATCTATAAACGCATTATTAAAAGCATGGTTCTGTTTCACCACATTCGCTTTTACAANTATTTATAAATATAGCACCTACCGATTTAATTTATAAATTATTTACAAATAATGAAAAAATCTTAATGATTGTTATTAGATGGTTAAGAATCCTTAATCGAAGCTAGATTTTTGAATATGCAGTAAAAATAGAGAAATAACAGAATTTTACATAAAATTTATATAGTGCTTCCTCAGCTTTTAATCAAATTAGTCTTATGTAGTAGAATAATACAAAATACTAATTATTAAGAGGATAGATTTTCTTATCTCTCAAAAATCAAATCATCTAAAGAACTGATTACTTCTCATCTAAGAAAATCCCCGTCAGTAAAATTGATTAACTTTAAATCTAATAAAATTAACTTATCATCCTCATCTAAGAATGAATGCAACTTAGAATAGGTAATAAAATTTAAGTAAAATTCTGATATTGGTATATGTTATGTTGCTCCTTGTTAAAATGGCGGATAGTTTTGATGATATATCTTGTCAGTTTAGATAAAATAATATGTGATAATTTAAAATGTCAATTTTAAATGTTATAATTATAAATACTATATATTTTATTTATCATTAAAAATGAATTAATAATTATATACATTAAGGAAGGAACTCATTTTATTTGAAACATTTTAGATGAACAATTAATAATAATAAACAAGCTTTTATAGAGAAATATATACTTCAATAAATTCATAATGATCTGGCTCGGAATTTATAAATTCATTAACTAACCTCTTACAAAATCTTTGATTATCAAGATTAAACTTTAAAATAATAAATTAATTAAATAGCTTTACCCAATAACAATTTATTAACTTGTTTATTTTCAAAAATATATTTGATTCACTATTAATGAAGTGCATCATTCAATTCTAGAATGATTAATTCTCTTGAGATAAGATATCTTTGGCACTCAATCTACCTTACTGCACAATAAGCTATAAGAGTTGTATCATCAAAATAATAGGGGAAGAATCAAAAAATATTAAGATTTCTAATCTGTAGATATGATATTTTCATTATAGTAATATCATTAATTTAAACATTCACACTCGGGATGTCTTTAAGAAAATCCATTCATGCATTGAATTGACCTCATATTTTTTATTGACATGCATTCTGATTCGAAATTCTATATGCATTATTCGATTTTGCAATCTTCTTTATGTATAGGTATGGTTGTACTTTAACAAAATATTTACCAACAATTATATCTAAATATTTGAATATAACGTACAATTTTATTAGTTTCTTATTTCCTAATCTATAAACGCATTATTAAAAGCATGGTTCTGTTTCACCACATTCGCTTTTACAATCTTATTCTTAAGATGCACACCCAAAAACTTCTTGCATACATACACTATAATCTTATGGGCATTGTTAATATGCACATCTTTCATCAAATGCTGAAATAATAGGAATTAAAGCTAACAAAACGATTAAACCTGATTTCATTGTATATACTTCTCCAAAAATAATTCTGAAAAATGAAGAACTTTCTTCAGTTTATAAGGTTTATATTACGTTTAATATTGCGTAATTAATGTATTCATTGTGTTAGTATATAAAAGAAATAGAATCAACAAAGTCTTTATCACTATTGCTATGATAAAAACAATTTAGGCTATTTTTACTCATGATCTTCAATAAATTATAGATTCATACATTAAAGAAAATATTTAGATGAACTAATAATAATCATCAGAATTTTTTTTGTCTTTCTCCTAAATGTGTCACATTTATTAATTCTTTAAAAATTTAAGACAACAATTAATGATGAATTGACGATCATTAGTGATTGTTTCAAATTATAAACTTAAAATGATTCAAAAATTTAGCAATTAGATTAAATTAACAACAAAATAAATTATTCATATTAACACTAATTAAATCAATTATATTTGTTTATTAATATCTCTTTAATATTTGAGTATTTTGGGTATTGGTGAAAATTTAATAATTATGATACATTGCATTTCTAAACTAAAATTAGATGATTTGACTTTTTTTATATTTTTTAAGGGCTTTTAAAATAGAAAATATATAGTTTCAAATTAAAGTAATAAGTTGTTTCTTTCTATATAGCTGATAGACTAATATAAAACTTTGTATTATAGGGTAATTTTGTTAATACATCTTATCAAGAGTTGCTTCTTGTGGCTTGAAGCAGTTTTAATTTAGGCATTCTTTGAATGATATTGATTTTAGTTTAATTCCTGTAAATTGATGGTATTATTATCAAATAATATAGTTGCATAATATCATGTATGTAACAAAGGAGTTTCTTAAGTATTTCGAGTTATACTTCAAAAATATTACTTATAAAAAGTAGATGTATATTTGAATAGAAAGAATCAAATACTTTAAGTAAACTTAATATAAATCGAATTTTTATAACTTCATAATTGAAATTTCTCAGGGTGAATATATCTATATAAATAAATGCTTTATTAATTTTAGATTTTTTATCTTGCAGTATAAATTATAATTTTGACAAGAAAGTTATTAAAATATCACACATTCTTCAAGTTGCATGAGGAAAGCATTAACAAAGTTAAAAGAAATCTAGTAATCAATTTTGTTTATTTAATGGAATATTCACAATTAAATTATAAATTATATGATGAATAAACTAACTATTATCGAAAATTAGTCAGAGTTTCATTGCTACTCTCAACATAACTAACCTATATGCTCAGTTGTATTGGATCCAAATTTAACAAATAATTAAAGATTTTTATGTGGATCATGTCTAGAATTTTTTGAATCTGAATATAAGATAGTTGGAATTAAGAAAGTCATCCAAACTATTGAAGAGATATATGAAACATAAATAATGTAATTGGAAAATCAAACGATGAATACTGTTCAATAGTTATAATCAATTATAAAAAGCACACAACAATTAAAGTAGTAATTTATGGATCTTTTTGACTCCCTTATCGGAATAGCGGAAGGCTGGAAAAACGAATTATTATTACAGATTCAAAAATTCTATAAATACAGCTTCTATGATTAATTGGATGATTATATTAAAAATAAAAATACTAGTGAAGTTGATAATAAAGAAAAAATTAAGATTGTTAATAGAAGTTGGATGACTAAGTTATGTAATAACTTAAATTAATATAATGAAAATGAAAGTAAGCTTACATTTAGAGAATTAAGATTGAAATTCATGAAAATTCTAAATTAGAAGGATTCATTAGATGAAGAAATCAAATTCAATTTAATTTAATAATCAGTTAAATAAAGTATAAAATGTAATTCAATATCGTTTAATTCATCTGGAACAATAATGATATCAAGTGAATATCAGAATATTAAAGTTTGGAGCTTCACATAAGGAAAAATTGAGTTATTATAAACCTTGCAAGGACATAGCAATTGGGTTTAATGTTTATGTTACAGTAAGAAATAAAATTCATTTGTTTCTGGTATAATGAATGGATTAGTTCGTAACCTTATAAATATCACACTGATTGGGTTATGTGTATTATAATAAATTCGAATGAAGATCTACTCTTTTCTGGGAGCAGTGATTACACAATAAAAGTATGGAAGGTTGATTTTGATAAGAATGAATTATAATATCTTTATTCATTGGATAAGCATGTTAATTATGTTATTTCATTAAGCTTAAATAAATCGGAAAATTAATTAGTTTCATGTGCTTAATAGAGGAATTAGATTATTATTTGGGAAAAAAAGGAAAAAGATAAGTATGAATTTAAATATTTTGTTAAATAATCAGTGTATAAAGAAGGATTCAAAGTTGGATTTATAGGCGAGAATTCATTTATTTGGATAACTGGTGATTAAGGAATAAATATGATATATAACTTTGAATAAAGAGAAGGTGTTTATTAGGAGAACTTAAGTAAAACAATTCAGCTAGTTACAAATTATCAGGAATATGATGAATATTTCTTTCCCATAATTTACAATGAAAAAAGGAATTTTATAATAGTTAGACATAAATCATACATATATTTAATTAGAGATAATAAAAAAGGGTAGTTATAAATATTAGATTAATTGAATTGTAATACTTCAGATATTTATGGAGCAATGACAGATAATGGAAAATATTTGGTTTTTTGGGATTTCTATACATCAGGATATTCAATTTATGAATTATAAAATAAATGAATAAATTATTATTTTAATATTATTTTAATTTCGTTTAGAATTCTAATACTTGAGTTAATATAGAATGCTTTGTAATTAGCTTGCTTCATGGTTTTACATCATCTGATTGTCTTGTGCTACGAATAAAGTTCACAAATTGCCAAGATTTCTAATAGTATTTCTATGCAGAATCAAATTTGCATGATGAAATTATATACAAATAAAATTTGATCGTTGATGCTAAAATTCCACTTGTTTTTAAGTAACTTGGTATTAAAGAGTTCTAAATGTTGTTAATTGATATTAAAATATAAATATCTTGCTAATGATAAATATTTATTTGTAATTTTTGATCAATCAAATCCTAAGCATCTTATTTTATGAAAACTTTTTTCTATGTCAAAACGTTTTGCTTTTATTAATATAAATGGTCTATATTTATCAAATTGGTGAAACTGGCTTCATCGGCATTCATTCAATGATTTGTCTTGCTAAAGGAATTCTTAATCTTCCTTATTTCAAATGCAGCTTTACTCTCTTTTATCAGCTCTATTTTTGTGAAAATCTTTTCAAAAATGGATTATGAATATTTTCTGGATATCTTAATCTAATTTTTTCTCTAAACTAATCCAGTGTATATTCTGGAATGCTCCATTTTTGGTCCATAGTAATCATACTTATGTTAGCAGAATAATAATCTAGTTTGTTTAATTTATTCATTTTATAAGGTTCTTAATAAGCATTTATTTTTGATAAGCATGTTATTAAGAGAACAAAGCACTCCTTTTACAATCACTGTATCTTCATAACAAACAAGCTACAGAATAATTAATTCTTTTGGCATGATTTAATTAGTTCCCAAAGATATGCCTACACTTTATACTCATTAGAATTAGTTCTATTATATTCATACTAGATAAAATTCCATTAAGATATAATTAAAAAAATATATTTACATATAAAAATCATCCAAATATCTCTATAGACTAAATTATTTAAAAGTTTTTCTTTGTTTGAGCATCTTAAATGGTAAACATTATTGTGAGTAACATATGATTGAAAAATTTTCATTTTAATACTCTTAACATTTGCATGCACAATCAGCTGTTTTTTCACAATTTATTTATGAATATTACACTTTAACACTAAATAAGACGTCTCCTAACTTTTTCTTATCTTAATTATTTAAAAGCTACTCATCCCAAATTAGATATATAGCTTTTACTAAAATTAGATTTCAGCCAACCAGGCCAACAGTACATTCTTCCCAATTAATCAACAACGTGTTATGATATCAGATGCCCATCAAAATTTAATAAACTAAATATTATAGTTAAAGAGATTCGATTTTTGTTTTATAAGATAAATTTATTTACTTTTTATATTTCTGAGGAACTTTAATATTATTTATAATTTGTTCAAATGAAGTTTGGCTATTAGAAAAGCCGGTCAAAAAGACCTTTTTAATAATCAATCAGTTATAATTACTTTTAGATTTCCCACTAAAATTGATTTTAAACTTTATTGAGATTTTGATGCAAAAATTTGAGATTATTTTTTTTATCCACCAAGTCTAACCATCACAATTCCTTATATTGATTGTATTAAGATTAAATGAAATAATTGTATTCCTTCTTATTATAACCCATTATACTTCAACAAAAGTACTCGTTTACATCTCCATTCATAAACTGTATCATATGCTCGGCATAAAGATCATGATAACCTACTCTCTTATAAACTAAAACTAAATTTTCGTTTGTTTCAATATCTATTTCTAGCAATAACAATTATCCAGGTTCCTTGTCTGTACTATTGAAGGGAAAATCAAAATTGATGTTTCTTTTGGAAATTATAAAGTTACAATTATACTCCAAAATCCTATACTATATGTAACTTTAACATTTTGAAGGATATTGATTTTCTTGTTTGCTATTTAGATACCTGAACTCAAAATTGGCTATTCATAGTTTAAAAAAGTGGATTCTTTAAGAAAAAAAAGTTGAACAACTAAATGTAATAAAGAACTCGATGCTTATGACTTTTATTCTTTTCATACTTATGTTCTAATTAATTAAAAATATATATATTGATGGAATCTTATTCATATTAAGAATGATGCCTATTTGAAATTCATTGCATATTAACATAGTTACATATCAATTCCTAATAATAATTAACAATCGTTTCAGTATATTCAAGACCCTTAGTTCAGATTAATTATGATCAACACATAGTTAATCTATCTTTTATATAATTATGGGGTATTTTCATAAACTAAGAATATGATTCTTAAAATAAGAAGAATAAAATATTAAACTTGAAATGTTTAATAAAATCAATAACAATGTATCAATATATATACAATCTGATTTATATTCATGAGTAATTAAAAACATCTGCATTCTATTTTCTAATTGTCATTTTTATGGAACTCATATTTCTTTGCATTAATTTTTTTTGAAAAAATTAATATTTTTGGATATTGCCTATAAATAAAAGAAAACAACACATAAATAACAAAATAGATTAACCAAAGGTCAAACTTATTATTAAATGAAGTAATATATTCTATTGCAATTTATTTGAGAATTAATTAAAAATTTTGAATAAATTCAAAAATCATAGCCATACTTAGATATAATTATCAATCTAACCTAAATAAAGAAAAATATTTTATTATTAAATTGTTTTCAGGTTATGTTATTTTATTTAAATTGTTCCTGTACCTTCGTTAGGCTTATTCGATTCGAATTCATCTATCAAATTTGATTTCACAACTATTAATTAAAAGTTCACATTACAAAAATATTTAAACTATTTTGTGTATAAATTCCTTAGAAATTTAGTAAGTGACAAAATGACTGTACATCAGCAGTTTTATAAATCTAAATGATAATATAATACATCTAAATCCATAAGAGAAATTCCAATACTAAATGTATGTTATCATCGCAAATAATTGAAAACAGCAGGAAAAATAAAACAAAATAAATTAGGAGATATTTTTAGTAGAATCAATTTCGGTTTTTTTCTTATAATGATTAAATCAAATCAAATTATTTAGCATACCGATGAACAATCAGTATTCACCTATTAAACTTAAGGGGGAATAAAGTAATATGATTTAATTGCATCTTCAAATATCTCTCTCAGCTATTTCTATTATTCCTTTAATATTTTTTCTTAGTTTGTCTCTAAATAGTTCAAAATGACGAATGTATCTTCTGCCCCACAAATCCAATATATATCTTTAATTTATTATTATGACTTGCTTTCTTTTTCTAATAATTAGTCGACGATTTGACTAAATTTTGTTTTTTTTCTTTAAACCATATTATGCTATTATAATTTTCCCAAAGTTATCGCTGCCATTTTCACTTCAATCTCTAATTGACCTGGATCTATTATTTTGTTTGCTATTATTTCGCTAAGAATCTTCGCTCTGCTATTAAATTTATTCTCATTTTTTTAATCAATTGCCTAATCAAGGGCGGAATTTAAAATTCCAAAGGTATCCATAAGAATGGGTATTGGAAGATGTTCAACTGATTCAAAGTTAGAAATTTTTTGTAGTATATTTTAAATCTATTCTGAGTTAGTTTCAATAAGTTAATTTTCGTTTAGTTAAGTAGAGATTTATTGCATAACTTGTAGGTAATAATAAAGCCTCCAAACTAATGATTTATAATAAGTATATTAATGTAAATTTTCTTTTTTATTCAGATCCTCTAATAATTAGTTTATACTATTTCGATCCTACTAAATCATATTATTCACATCTTCTTCTTTTTAATTTAATTTGGGGTTTTCTTCATATGGTACTTGATTCAATTCAACCTTTTCTTGTTATATTTCTAAATGTTCTTATTATTATTCATCAATTTCTTGTTATAATTCTTCATTTTCTTGTTGTAATTCTAAATGCTCTTATTATTATTCATCAATTTCTTGTTATAATTCTAAATGTTCTTATTGCTATTCATCATTTTCTTATTATGGTTGATAATTTGCATGGTATTATTCATCATTTTCTTGTCCTCCTTCTATCTATTGTATTTATGCATCATTTTCGCTTACTTGATATTATTCTACATAGCCCGATTCTAATTCCTCATTTTCTTGTAATGATATTTCATTATCTTGTTATGAGTCTTCCTTATTTTGTTATAATTGAACTTTTTATTTATTTTGTGTTTCAAGCTGATAAAATAATTGATCAAATTTTTCATTCAGTTAACCCAATTATTCAATTTAAACTAATTATTGATTTTACTTTATTAACTGGGTATTAGGGATTGATAAAATTTGCTTTAGTTTTTGTGATATTGTTATTAATTATTTGCTATAATTAAGAGACATCTAAAATTAATCAACCGTTTCAGTAGGCAAACTCTCCACAATACTCGTGAAATCCTATGTTTTTAAATTCAAAATCTCGAGTAAATCAAACTTAGTTATTAAATGATCTATATTTTCTTTAGTTAATTGTAACTTAGTAATTTCTTATTCATCTAGGTTCTATAAGATGGTAATGGCTTTTTCATAACATTTCAAACCTTATCGAACATGAAATAAGTCAAAATTTTCATAATAGTAATCACCTAGAGTGATTAATACTAAGGGATTGTTAGGTGATAAAGTAAGACTTTGTAAGTAATCAGATAATGCATATTCTTTCCGACCCATATTATTAAATAAATTGCCTAAAAGGTAAATGTACTGTATTACCTCTATTCAAGAAAGCATTTAAATTATTTGGATTAAGTTGGATTGCCTTATCATAATCAATTAAAGCTTTGTCTTTCTAGTCAATAATTTCATATAAGTTGGCTAGTATATTAAAAGTAATATATTCACCTCTATTTAGGTAACCTTTTATCGATTTTGGATTAAGGTTAACTGCTTGATCATAATCAGTTAATGCTATTTTGTACTAACCAGTATTTTTATAATAATTGCCTAATATATATGTTAGGAGTAACAGTATTACCTCTAAAAACGTAGGCATTTGCATTTAATTAATCAAGTTGGATAGCTTGATTATAATCATTGAAAGCATCTTCTTTCTCTTCAATACTTTCGAATAATTCGCCTAGTATATTAAAATTGATATTATTCACCTCTATGTAAATAGGCATTTATATAATTTGGATTCAGTTTGATTGCCTGATCATAATCGCTTAATGCTAATTGTTTTTCGTTAATATCTTTATAACAATTGCCTAAAAATTTAAATTTATTAGCACTTACCTCTATTATAGTAGGCTTTAGCAAATTTTGGATCAAGTTAGATTGCTTCAGTAAAATCCATTATTGCTTATTCCTTTTCACCAATAAAATTATATAAATGGCCTAATACATTAAATGGAATAATATTCACCTCTATTGAAATAGGCATCTACCTATTCTGGATCAAGCTATAATGCTTGACTATAATCAGATAGAGCATTGTCTTTCTCATCAAGAAGGTGATATAAAACACCTAATTTGTCAATTCCAATTATAATTACCTCTATTCAAGTAAGCAATTGGGTAATCTGGATTAAGATATAATGCTTCATTATAATCTGATAATGCTTAGTCTTTTTCTTCCAAACTTTAATATATATTGCCTAAAATTTTGAGTTCATTATATTTACCTCTATTGTTGTAGGCAGTTGCATCATTCGGGTCAAGTTCGATTGCTTAATTATAATCAATCAATGCTTTGTCTTTTTCACCTATATCTCGAAATAATTTAGCTGATATGCTAAAATTAAGAATATTCACCTCTAAATTTGTAGACATTTGCACTATTTGGATCTATTTGGATAGCCTAATCATAATCAAGCAATGCATTTTTGATTTCCCCCAAATCTTTATATAATTTACCTAAAATGCTAAGTGTAAGAATATTCACCTCTATTTATATATGTGATTGCATTTTGTGGATCAATATGGATTGCTTCATTAAAATCAATTAAAGCTTCATCTAATTATCCAATAAGATGATACAAAGCTCCTAACAAGTTAAATATAATAATATTCACCTCTATAATTATAGTTTGTTGCATCATTTGCATCAAATTGTATGGCTAAATTATAATCATATAATGCTTTTTGGTTCTCACCAATATCTTTATATAGTTTTCCTAATATGTTAGTATAAGAAAATTCACCTCTTAATATATAAGCATTAACATTATTTGGATCAAGTTAAATGGCTTCACTAAAATCAGAGATTGCTTTTTCTATATTCTTAATGTCTCTAAATAAATTTCCTAAAATATTATTCTATAATATTCACCTCTATTCAAATAAGCATTTACATATTTTGGATCAAGTAGAATTGCTTGATCATAATTAACTAATGCCTCATCATGCTCACCAAGATCTTTTTATAACTTGCCTAATATGTTAATTGTGAGGAAATACACCTCGATTATTGTAAGCAGCTGCATATTTTGGATCGAGCTAGATTGCTTGATTGTAATCAATTAAAGCATTGTCTTTCTCACCAATGAGATGATATAAAACACCTAATCAGGTGAGATTAATAAATATTTACCTCTATTGTTGTAAATAGTAGCATCATTTGGATCAAGTTGAATTGCTTGGTTATAATCAACTAATGCTTTGTCGTTCTCACCAATATCTTAAAATAGATTTCCTAATATGTTAAATATAGTTTTTTTTTACCTCTATTCAAATATGCTTGCATATAATTTGGATCAATTAGAATCGCTTGATTATAATCTGATAATGCCTTATCATTGTCACCAAGATCTTTATATAACTTGCCTAATAATTTAAGTGTTAGAATATCACCTCTATTGTAGAAGACTTTTGATTATTTCGGATAAAGTCGAATCGATTGATCATAATCAGATAGTGCATTTTATTTATCACCAAGTTGATTATATAAAATACCTATTATGTTAATATTAATTATATTCACCTCTATTGAAATAGGCTATACTATTATTGGGATTAATTTTAATTGCTTAGTTTAAATCTTGAAGAGCATACTTACCCTTTTAATCACCCTCATAGCAAAATACACCTATATAACTAACCTTATAGTACCTCTACATATATATGCATAGGAACAATTGCTGTCTATTTCTATTGCTTTATTATAATATTAAAGTTCTTTAACTTTTTGTTACAACTCATGCATAATTGTGCCTTTAGATTAATATTTAGACACTACCCATTCTACAAAATGCCATTGCAAAGTTTTTATTGATCTAAATACATTTTAAACAATCTTATATTGCTTGATCAAAGGATTATTTTCTCCAAAAAATAGTTGCTTGGGTCTTAAAAATGAAGAATACCTCTTTAAAAATAACTTTCCTCCAGATTGTCTTTTATTTTTAGACTACAATTTACATCTTCCAAAGCCTTATCATATAAATTCAATTTTTCAAATAATTCACCTAAATAGTTATTAAACTAATATACTTCTTAAAGTGTAGGCTTCTGCAAATTTTGGATTAAGATTTAATGCATCATTTATTTCTTTTAATGCTTCCTCTATTCTATAAGTAATTTTCAACTCCTTAAAACATTCCAATTAATATATGTACATAGCTTTTAGAATAATGCTCAAATGCTTCACGATATTACTATTCCTTTTCTAGTTGACTGCTCATATTAAAGCAGTATCCAATTTTTTATAAAAAATAATTTAAAAAAAATTAGATTGTGTTATCTGTTTAAATATTCAAATTCTTTGTCAAAATATTTGTAGTTTCGCTTTTGCAACTAGAGCAAACCCTTATGTTATATTGTTCTCTTATAGTATGAAATACTTATTTATTTGATTCTAACTTGTTAAATTATAAACATTTAATTAATATTTTATATAATATATAGTTAATACATGAACAATACAGAATAATAATTAACTAATTGACAATTAATGTGAAGATAACTCAGCAAAATAATTGGAGAAAAATATTAAGTAAAGCAGTTTTGAATCAATTTCTTGCACATCAATAAAGATTACAGTTTTATATGCTACATATTTTAATGAATTTGCAATTATGGACAAATTTTTTCAAATCAAAATGCTGTCCTCAAAATAAATAATTCCTTTAATTTAAAGATAAAAGCACTTCAATAGATATACATTAAAATATTGTTCTTTGATTATTGATATTAATTTGATTATCAAAAAACTTTATATAAATTAAATTAAATCTTTTTGATGAAATGCTAGTTATTTTAATTTATTTTAACACAAATTTTATCCTAGATGGAAATCTTGAATTCAAAAATTAACTCTCTTCAATAGAAAGATAACATTCCTATCATCTTATTGTTCATTTAAAAAATATTTGTTAAATTGACTCTTAAGTATTCATTGTAATGACCAACTTTTAAGTGAAATTTATTTCTACTTTTTGTTTTCGATTTTCCTCCGAAAAACTAGAAAAATTGTTTAATATTGTCAATTTCATAATTAATCAATATATGGTCACCATTTGATAAAAATAATGACATATTAACAAATTATACTAGGCCATTAATGGATTGCCTACCCTAACATAGCCCCTAATATAGCTATAATTATTTAGAATTCTGCTAAATACTAGCTAAATTTTGTATTAAGTTTGATGTTGTATGAAAACAATAAATCTATCTCAACTTAGAGCTATTAACTTATTTCTTTTTAAATGTTAAAATCTTTTAAATCATTATGAAATAAATAACTATCATTGTTTATAATCATGGTCTAGTTATGATTGATATGTGTTGCTGATTTCTAGATTGGGAATAAAACTGTATTTATATATTATTTTTTTAGTTTAGTGAAAAAATAACATTTTAAGAAACTGTAATAATTTCAGTATTTTCTTATTATAATTTCATCTTAAGTTTAACTTTATTGAAATATTGATGAAGGTTCTTTTCTGAATATGTTTATGTATAAAATAAAATATTCAAATTTAACATGAAATATTATACTAATTAAAATAGACAATATCTAATTTAGATGAACTGTATTTAATTTCTTTAATAGTAATGTAATTATAAGTATATATAACATCATGTGTGAAATATTTTAAGAGAGTTTTAATGAGGAAGGGAGATTTTCTTGACCTAAAATTTATAAATTTAATATGTGATAAAATTTAGATGGTAGTATTATTTGAATTTAAGTCTCTGATTTTTATCAAGATTAGACAATAAAAGGTAAAAGTAATAATTTATTATGTGAGATAGAAATGATGTTTATTTAACACTCCATGAGATATTAAAAATTAAATGAAATTTCATTTATTCTGTCCTGTTCTGTTTTTCTTCCTTCTGTCATTAGGAAATTCGAAAATCTCTAAATGTGTTTGTGGACATGTTAGAAGTTAAATTGAATGTTAAAATTCAGGTTTTTGCATTTGGGACACAAATTAATGTAAATTGTGCCCAGGTCAAACATACAATATGTAAATTTAAAATTAGAATCCATGCAAAAATTTCGCATAAGAAGATTGCAGAGAATAAGAATCATGTGGTTTTCATTTGGGTTAATGCATCAACTTTACAGATTGTAGCATTTTTAATAAAGATTATTGTTAAGAATCTTCATACAAATGTGTTTCTGATGGCATAAAGTGTGTTCAAATGTTAGATTGTAAAGATTATAAGACAGAGAATGGATGCTAAAATAAAAATCAAAAAGGTAAGTACTATTTTTGGGTTTAGGATATAGAGAAAAAATGCAGAGATGTAAAGATTTGTGAAGAATTACCAACATATTTAATGAGTCATAAAATGTGTAAAGAAGGTTTAGATGTCTGCACTGTAAGTGAGAAAGGTCATGGATGCATTGAATAACTGCAATCATGTAGTTAATATAATAGTGACTTTTAATGCTTTGAAAGTAAATAAAGATAAGAAAATTGCTTTTGGAATCAAAAAAGTAGTATGTGTATAGAAAAAGTTTGTGACAACCTTCCATTTTCTTAAGATTTTGAATGTAAATCATTTTTAAGTGAATGTACATCAAATGGAGTTCATTGTGTAATAAGGAGATAATGTAGTGATGCTTAAAGTAAATTTGGGTGTGTTACAGATGTTTAAGGTAGGAAATGCGAATATCATTAAAATACATGTAAAATCAAGAGTTGTAGCACTGCTTCAAATAAGCTTACAAATTATCAATAATGCTAGAATTATGATAATTTATTAGATTGTGTTACTTCTGAAAATGGAGGATGTAAAATAAGACCTGAAATCTGTGATGGCTATGTTAGAGAAATGGATTGCTACTCTGTAGAATTATAGGATTGTTAATGGTACAACAATAAATGCGAATAAAGATAATGTTATCATGCACCTATTTATTATGGCCATAGAGATTGTAAAAAGTATGGAAATTGCATAGGCAAATTAAATGGTGGATGTAAAACAACACCTTAAATATGCGATGAAATTCTAGAATAATAATTTTGTGAATTAAATTATAATAAAGAAAGATGTCTTTGGTTAGAAGGTAGCTGCATATTATTAGAATGTAACAAATTGTACTTACCAACTTACAAGAGTCATAATATATGCTAATAGGCAAGTCAATTTTGCACTTTTAATATAGATTCTTTGGGTTGTACAGATTATCTATGTGAAAATATTCTAGAAATTGAGTATTGCACAATTGATTCGATTGGTACTGTTTGCACATTGAATCAAGGATGTATAGAGAAGAAATGTAAAAGTGCTCCACCGCAGTATGATACTAATTAGAAATGTGAAACATGGTTATCTAAATGCACAGTTAATGTTTAAATGTTATCAAACAATTAAAAGATTCTGATTGGATGTGTAGATAAAATGAATACTTGCTAACAAGCTCTTCAAGATTAATGTTATTCTACGCTTTCAGGATTTTAGTGTAAATGGGATTAAATTAGTTAAATTTGTGTTGATTAAGTCTGTACAGATGCAAATCCTAGTTAATATAAAACTAATGAAAATTGCAAATCATTTAAAGTCTTTTTAGGTTCTTGCATAATTGGACCTACTGGAGAAGGATGTTAATAATGGCCATCGGATTGTAACCTAATGTTAAGTTAATAATAATGTGAATTGAATCTATAAAATGGAACCAAATGTTTTTGGAATAACAGCTATTGTAAAATATCTGAATGCTCAGATGCTTCTAAAATTGATTACACCAATAATGTTGAATGTAACACTTGGCTGGATTATTGCATTTTTAACCACACTGTAGGAGGATGTAAAGTCAGGCCTAGTTCAGTTGCTTGCACATCTTCGCCGAACAATAGCATGTATAAAACTCATTAAGAATGTTTTGCATGGAATCATTAGTGTACTGTTACTCCTTCGTTTGCAGCTGAAGGTTGTGAACAAAAGAAGTTAAATTGTAATGAATTTATTAGGCAAAGGAATTGCAGAACTAATTTAAATGGTTAGTATTGTTATTGGGATGATGCAGAATAAAGTTGTAAAAATGAGGACGACGATAATGATGGGCAAATTGATTGTCATAAGAGAATATATGGAGAATTATCGCATGAGGATTGTGAAAACTTCCTGCCCAAATGCACATTAAATAATATTGATAGATATTGTTCAGATCTTTCCTATATGTGTGATTATAAACTTAAATAACAATGCGAAATCACTATGCTTTAGTAGCCTTGTAAATGGGATGAGCAAAATTAACTATGTAAGGAAGTAGTTTGCACAGACAATACAACTGCAACAACTGAAGCTGAATGTTTTAGATTTAAGAAATTTAACTATTGCCAATTGAAGATTAATTCAAATGGAACATTTGGACCAGGCTGTGAATCTAGACCAACTTTCTGTGAGTATATTACAAATCCAGTTATATGTAAATTAACTGTTACATTAAGTAATGAAAGATGTTATTATTTTAATTCTTAATGCTAGGTTGTACAAGACGATTAATGCGAGTTTATTACTGACAGTAAAAGTAATGAGCTCTGTCAATTATATAATAATAATTGTGTATTATAATCAAGTGGATAAGGCTGTTATTCTACTAGAGTTTGTTAAGATTTGACAAATTAAGTTTGTAACAGTGCGATAATGCAAAGTAATTAGATGTGTAACTATTCTGACATATGGAGAAGAGATTTGATTTGTTCTGATAAGCTTCTATCTAAGAGCAGCTGTGAAGGCTAAAAAACGCGATTAGGATAACTATGCTAGTATGCATAGTCTTGTTCTGGCACTTGTAAATATTAATGCATCGGATACACAGCACAAAAAACTATGAACTTCACCTCATCTAACACTCTTTCATATAAAAGATAATAATGCTAAGCCTATTCATCAACCTATATATATGATACAAATTGTAATTGCTGTGTTTTATTAACTTCCTGCAATCTTTTTTCAGGTGCTGCGTCACTTTGCAATGCATCAATAGCCCAGTCAAGCTAGGTTATACAAAGATGCGGATATAATTCCTCTAATAGCACTTGTGAGAACAGAAAATGTGAGCATATTTTAAATGCCACTTCTGATAAAGGGTGTTATGATTGGAAATATGATTGCATTTTTGATGGTACTAGTTGTAAGACTTACTCTGGAGATTGCACTTAAATAAAATTAATTTATCAATGCTAATATTATGCTTGTTTTTGGCAAACTGGTAAATGCCTAAATTATCTTGATTGTCAACTTAATACCAATGCCATCTCGAATCGTGAATGCTTATTAATAAATGCCCAATATTGCAGATTAAATTACACTAAAGGCCAAGGTTGCTCCTTTATGGAATGTGATCATATTACAAATTCTGTTATTTGTACTTAAACTAAACTTGTTGATGGATCAAATTGTAAATGGTACAATTCTTCATGCTATTCCAAATATTGTTTTGAGTATACTACATAGTCTGAGTGCGAGAGTAGTTATGCTTATTATGGACATGTACCCACACAATGTTATTGGTGTCCCATTTATTCTACTCGATGTTCTAATTCGAAATACTGTAGTTTAGATACCATGATCTAACCTAAATCACATAAAGATTGCAATGAAGTAAATGTACTCTAAACAATCTATTTATCATTAACTACAAAATGCACAGTGAAGAAATAATTATGTTCAGAATATACTTATGAAGATTCCTGTGTAATTACAATTGATGGGATAGACTGTTATTGGAATGTAACTGTCTGTATCAACATTTGTGAAGCTTCATAGATTAATAATATCGCCAACAATAATTCTTCTTGTGCTAGTTGGCGTTCATATTGTATGTCATCAACTGGGCAGGTATGTCAACTTTTAAATTGCTCAACTTTAACAATTAGTAGTGAATGTAATATTTTTTCTGTAAAATGCATTTGGGATGGATCAACTTGCATAACTATTGGTCCTTGTATCAATTATTCAAGTAGCATTTTATGTGATAATAAAAGTAATTCTTAAGGAATTCCTTGCTTTTGGAATGGTACATAATGCACAGAAAAGACTTGTTCAAATAAAACTACATCCTCATTATCATACACAGACTGCAATAACTGGCTTGTTAATTGTTAATGGGATGGTAACAATAATTTATGTGTAGAAGATTGCACTTAAGCAGATAATACTTTTACTTCCCATTAATAATGCGAATCGTATTATTTAAATAAAAGTTGCACTGTCAAACTTGATCTTATTCAGTGTGTAGACCTTCCAATTACTTGTAGTTTAGCAAAATAAACTTAATGTTATATAGATAAATTAGGAAATGAATGTTACTTTCAAGCCTCATTAAATCAGTGTGTTACATTAACTTGTTTAAATTTGGAAGACACTTATACAACTCATGAAAAATGTAATTAGAGAATAAATTCTTGCACAGTTAATATAAATTTAAAGGGATGCTAATATTTAGATGACTGCAATAATTATTTAATCCAATAGCAATGTGTAATTGATAAAAACAACTTAGAATGTGATTGGATAATGAATCTAAGTAGTTGTAGAATCAAGAAATGCACCACAGCATAATTGATTTTATATACAGCACATAGTTGTCAATAGTATTTTGGTGATTCATGTACTGTAAATGCTAATTTAGATGGATGCGAAATAGGTTAATCATTATGTATGAATTACAATTATTAATAATGTAAGAGTGATGGGCAGAAAAACTTAAGTGGAGTCTATTGTTTTTGGGATGAGGGGAAAAGTACTTGCTTAGAAAGGATATGTGAGAATGGACCTGCACTTGCCTAATCTCATTTAGAGTGTATAGGATTCCTTTCTACTTGTTAGAAAGGAGGTTGCCGTATCAAAGGGTGCTTTGATTACAAATATGCTATAGATTCAGCATGTGCTTCTATTTTTGAAGATAAGAGATGTGTTACTAATGGTTATTAATGTATTTTAAGAAATGCTTGCGAAGATGTTAATATTATTGATGGATGTACTTTTGATATCAATCTAAATCCCTGCGTTTGGATAGACGACAAATGTTATACCAAAACTTGTTAAACTGCCTCAGTTTCACTTACCAATTATTTGGAATGCAATTCATATTTACCATATTGTACAGTTAAATTAGAAGGAGGTTGCACCAAAAAGTAAAATTGCTAAGATTACACCATCAAAGAAGCTTGCTATTCAGATAATGAAAATGAGGAATGTATTTGGGATGAATATCTAGGTGAATGCTTTTCCAATTCATGCATTGATTTCTGTGGAGATGGCATTATTTCTAGCAAGGAAGAATAATGTGACGATGGCAATTATTTACCTTATGATGGTTGTTATAAATGCCAAATACAATGTCAATAAGGATGTAATCTTTGTAATGGTCCAATATGTTAAGATTGTTATAACAAAGGGTGGTTATTATCAGATGGAGTTTGCATTTCTATATGTGGAGATGGGTACCCAGTAGGAAAGGAATTGTGTGATGATGGAAATAATATTGAATTTGATGGATGCTATTAATGTTCCTACTCATGTCATAAGTAATGTCTCAATTGCTTCTAAGGGTTGTGTGTAGAATGTTAAAAAGGATACTAAGAAGATGGATCATAATGTCATAATGTTTGTGGGGATGGATATATAATTTAAGAATTAGAAGCATGTGATGATGGAAATCTTCAAAATAATGATGGGTGCAGTGATACTTGTAAAGTTGAGATGAATTGGAAATGCCGTTTAGAAAATAAAATTAGTGTTTGCAATTACATTATTCTACCTAAGATTATTCTTTATCAACTTTCTAAATCAAACTCAGATTATCAAGAATACTAATTATCATTCTCAGAATAAGTACGATTGAATGTAACAGAAATTAGTGAAGAACAATTTCTACAAATGATTATAGTTGTCCTTGAAAATGCCAAAGATAACGAATATGATGTTGAAGTTAGACCAATGTTCTCTATATCNAAAAACAACTTAGAATGTGATTGGATAATGAATCTAAGTAGTTGTAGAATCAAGAAATGCACCACAGCATAATTGATTTTATATACAGCACATAGTTGTCAATAGTATTTTGGTGATTCATGTACTGTAAATGCTAATTTAGATGGATGCGAAATAGGTTAATCATTATGTATGAATTACAATTATTAATAATGTAAGAGTGATGGGCAGAAAAACTTAAGTGGAGTCTATTGTTTTTGGGATGAGGGGAAAAGTACTTGCTTAGAAAGGATATGTGAGAATGGACCTGCACTTGCCTAATCTCATTTAGAGTGTATAGGATTCCTTTCTACTTGTTAGAAAGGAGGTTGCCGTATCAAAGGGTGCTTTGATTACAAATATGCTATAGATTCAGCATGTGCTTCTATTTTTGAAGATAAGAGATGTGTTACTAATGGTTATTAATGTATTTTAAGAAATGCTTGCGAAGATGTTAATATTATTGATGGATGTACTTTTGATATCAATCTAAATCCCTGCGTTTGGATAGACGACAAATGTTATACCAAAACTTGTTAAACTGCCTCAGTTTCACTTACCAATTATTTGGAATGCAATTCATATTTACCATATTGTACAGTTAAATTAGAAGGAGGTTGCACCAAAAAGTAAAATTGCTAAGATTACACCATCAAAGAAGCTTGCTATTCAGATAATGAAAATGAGGAATGTATTTGGGATGAATATCTAGGTGAATGCTTTTCCAATTCATGCATTGATTTCTGTGGAGATGGCATTATTTCTAGCAAGGAAGAATAATGTGACGATGGCAATTATTTACCTTATGATGGTTGTTATAAATGCCAAATACAATGTCAATAAGGATGTAATCTTTGTAATGGTCCAATATGTTAAGATTGTTATAACAAAGGGTGGTTATTATCAGATGGAGTTTGCATTTCTATATGTGGAGATGGGTACCCAGTAGGAAAGGAATTGTGTGATGATGGAAATAATATTGAATTTGATGGATGCTATTAATGTTCCTACTCATGTCATAAGTAATGTCTCAATTGCTTCTAAGGGTTGTGTGTAGAATGTTAAAAAGGATACTAAGAAGATGGATCATAATGTCATAATGTTTGTGGGGATGGATATATAATTTAAGAATTAGAAGCATGTGATGATGGAAATCTTCAAAATAATGATGGGTGCAGTGATACTTGTAAAGTTGAGATGAATTGGAAATGCCGTTTAGAAAATAAAATTAGTGTTTGCAATTACATTATTCTACCTAAGATTATTCTTTATCAACTTTCTAAATCAAACTCAGATTATCAAGAATACTAATTATCATTCTCAGAATAAGTACGATTGAATGTAACAGAAATTAGTGAAGAACAATTTCTACAAATGATTATAGTTGTCCTTGAAAATGCCAAAGATAACGAATATGATGTTGAAGTTAGACCAATGTTCTCTATATCAACTAAATTGAATGATGTAGCCTATAAAATATTAGTTTTTTTTAAAAGTAAAGTCGAAAATCCTGTTTTAAAGGTAACAATTAAGTGTGATAATATTGTGAATAGATAAGATAATACTTTATACTCTAATGAAGCAATATTATCTTTAAAATCTCCTAACAAATTGTCAAAAGATCAATAATTTATTATTGAAAAAACAGCTCTTATAGGTAGAATTGTTATGTATATCATCTTGATTGTAAGTGTAATTGCTTTTTTGTTTGGTAATTTAGAAATTCTGTGGAATCTTCTTGATATGCTCCAATAATTATCATTTATGAAATACCACAATGTAATATTCCCAGAAAACTTAATAATCTATTTTGAAATATTTACAATCGGCTCATTTACCCCAATAATGCAATTTTTGTAAACAGATTAACTTTTCCAAAATATATTTGATTTCGAAGTACCAATTATACCTGCAAAATGGAAATTCGAATACTATTCTATTAATTGTTACTTTTTGTAAAACTTATAAACTCTACTCTCTGTAATTGCAGTAGGATTTGCTTATTTTTTACTTTCATATTTGTTTTATTAATTTCTTCTATATATTAGGTATGAGAATTGGCCAGCCATATTTTATAATTATTATCCAGAATTCTTCTTTAGAGTGGTTAAATTAATTTTTTCATTTTAGAAATTGGCTAGAAAATACTTTACATATTTCATTTACTCTGGATTAATAAGAATTTATTCATCAAATTTTTATGAATTCACCTTTGCATCCCTGTTATAGGTGGTTAATTTCAATACAGATACCACTCTCAATATAATTATCTCCTTATTAGCATTAGTTGCCTTAATATGTAATTTTCTACTTTTAACTTCCTTTTTTTCATATTTAAGTAATAAGAATGGAGTAAACAAAGCGTTTTCAGGCTTAGTGGAAGGAATTTAAAACACAAAAGATTAAGGATCTAAATAATATTTTACTATTTTATTATTTAAAAAAACCTTATTCATTATTAACTTAGTTGCATTTTAAGACCTTGGAGCAGCTTAGAGTCTAATTACAGCTAGTCTATCAGGAGTTTTTTCTTGCTACATTAAAATTTATAAACCTTTTAAGAATAAATTTGAGAATACTAAGTTATTTATAACAGAAATACTGATTATGTTAAATACCTTAATCTTTTCTGTGTATGAAATTATCAAAACTAATTAAGATAAAGAACCATCTGAATTAATGGGTTGGATTAATGTAAGCGGCTTCACTTTAATACTTATTTCCACATTAACTATCGATGTCTATTAACAATTATAAAAATATTGTAAGCCAGTCTTGCTTTAAGTCAAATAACAGCCAATAAAATCAAGCATTTTTTGAGGCTTTGATTATTATATTAATTAAATTGATTAATCAAATTTAATTTTATGCCATCATTATCAATTTATTCTTAATTATAATTTTAGCTTTGATTTTTTAAAATAGTATTAATTGTTCGATTACATTCATTTATTTTTTATATTATTAAAGGTAATCAAAGTTACACTAAAAAATAGAAGTCTTCTAATTTGTTTACTATTTTCTTATTAGAGGTGATGAGGGAACTTTCTATTAAGAATTATATTGCCTCTTATTCTGATATCTAGAATTTCTTAACATTATTGCTGATATTAGATTGATACTTCTCATGAATTACTTACTATTTATGTTAAAGTCTCTTCCTTTATTTTTTATATCTAGCTTGAGTTTATTATTACTCCTTCTAAAATTTCGATTATCTTTGAATGCCTATCATCACCTACAATATAGGCTTAGTTATTAGGAGGGATTATTCAAAGAGATTTTAGAAATAGGATAAAAATTGAAATTAAAAACAAGAAATAAAGTTAGGCTTAAAAGACAATATTATAGTTCCAATCCAAAACTTTTCAATAAAGATGGAAGCTAGGAAAATAGAAAATAATTTTGTGAGATGACTTACCAAATCAAATTGTAGATAAGCTTCTT